TATATTGAACCAGCTTTGCATCCCTGAAATGAATCCTGTTTGATCGTGGTGTATGATTTTTTGGATGAATTGTTGAAGGCGATTGGCCAAAATTTTGTTGAGAAGTTTTGCATCAATATTCATCAAAGACATGGGTCTATAGTTCTCTTTCTTTGATGAGTGCAACAATTATTTTAATATTAAAAACAGTTGAATTAAAAAGACAAATGTACCAAAGTATAGAATATATAAAAAGTTGTAAACACTAAGAGAAAGCAAAAGAAGGGGTGATATCTGAAAAGAAATATACTCTTCACCTGACTTACCTTTATAATAACAATAAAAATTAAAAAACTTTTGCATTAAAAAGATATAAATATAGAAGTTTAGAAGTAGAGAAAAGGACCAAATATGGACAAAGAATTGATATCAAGAAGTAAATGTAAATGGGTATCAATGGCTCTCAAATCTATAAGATCAAAGTTTGAAGCCAGCCAAGGCAGAAAGTCTGAGAGACTTCAGCTCCAAAATAACTAGCCAAGAGCAGAATCTGGAGGCCTAAGTAGCAGAATATCTGTTCAGCAAGTATGAGACTTTGAGTTCACTGGTAACACTCTCCTCCCCCCCAAAAAAGTAAATATGGGGGAAAAGGTAGATAAAAGGGCATAAAAGGAAGCAAGCAGATACAATGATATTGAAGATAAAAATATATTTACTTAAGATGCAGCCAACTTCAAATTAATAAGGTAAACTGTAAGTTCTTTCCCCAAAGGATGTAAGAGTTTCACTTCAGCTTTTGGATTTCCTGAGGCATTAAGAAATAACTGCTTTTTATCTTTCAGTTCAAATCTGCCGTTCTCTATGATGTACTCTTGACAAAGATAAGACACAATGATAAGTGTATCTTGATAGATAAGTAGCCTCATAGTTTGGTGTGTCTGTCTGTCTGTGTGTTTGTTTGTGTGCCCATACTGGGGCTTGGACTCAGGGCCTCTCACTCTTGTGTGGCTTTTTCACTCAAGACTGGCACTCTACCATTTGGGCCGTACTTTCATGTCTGGTTAATATATGAGTTTAACAGACATTTCTGTCCAGGCTGGTTTCAAACCAAGATCCTCAGATCTCAGCCTTCTGAGTAACTATGATTACAGGTATGAGCCATCAGCACCTAGCATAGTTTGGGTTTTGATAAGCACTGAATCATAAAGCTACAAGTTTCAAATATATGATGACATCCCTATGTTTAACATTAGTGATACATTCTAGTCAACTTTGCCAAGTTCCTCAAGAAAAAGAAAAGTGAAATAATAGAGTAAAAAAAATCAGATAGACTTGTTTTGTATCCACCCCCCCCCAAAAAAAAACCAATTATGTCAGAGAAGATGCCACTGAAGGATAGATGAGAATCTCAAACCTACAGGATTTAAAAGTTAAACAAGATCTGACTGAAAGAACATTAGCAAAACTTAAAAAGCATAAGACAAGAGGGGAAAACAGCACACTGTGTTCAAAGCTGTTGATTTTTTAAATTACTTACAATTAGATTGTGCTTAGCAAAATGCAGTTCCCGGATGATGTAATACAGGCTGGCAATGACAGAACGGATATCAGCCCTGAAATTGTCATTGAAGAGTTCAATGCCTGGGAGTAGCTGAGTGATTTCATACTGAGCATAGCAACGATCTGCTTTGGGATGTGGAAGTGTGGTTCGAAGCAAACCCTGAAACAGAAAACAGTGAAACGAAGAGTGACAAATTCCATTTGCAACAAGGAAACAGGTATCACTTCCTAAAGTACTTTGACATACCTAGTACACTATACACCACAGAATATTATACTATTATCATTGTTATAGGTGTTAAATTCTTTTACTTCTCATATAAAGAATAGTTGTTGAATTTTTTAATTTCAAAAATTTGCTTTAAAAATCATTTTTGAAAACCAAGAAGCTATTAAAATAAATCTCAGCAGCTAATTTTTACTAATATGACAATAATATCCATATTAAATAAAATGTTAAACTTTGGGGGAGAGTATAGGGTTTTGAGTGCAAGACCTCATACTTGTGCTCTACCACTTGAGCCAAATCTCCACTCTCCAGTAGCACTACCACTGGCCACACCACCAGTCCTCTTTTGCTTTAGTTAGTTCACAATTAAGGTCTCTTGACTTTTCCCCAGGAATAGGCTCCTACTGTGATCCTCTGTCCTGTGTCTCCTACATTGCTGGGATGAAGGCAGAAGCATTTTTAAAGTCACATCACATATTTTCTAGAACATAAAAAGCATTACCTTGGAGAACAAGGAGCATGAGAATGTAAAGAATGAGGCGTAAGGAGCTCATCATTCTCTTAGCTCTTTTGCCTCTTTGCTTTGAAGCACATGAAGAAGTATTTGGCATATAAGAAAATTGCTAAGTCTGACCTTATGTTAGAAGAAGAAGCCTTTCCCCCAAAACTGATCTACCTACATTTCAGAAGCTATCAGCCTCTTCTGATACACAGAACAAGAGCATCTGTCCATCCATCAAAGTAAACAGAACCTTTAGCATTCAGCAAAGGCCCCTGGCTACATTTCTGAATCACAGACTGCCTCAGATTTCAGATAAAAGTTGCTTTCTTCTTCAGTGAAATCAAACCAAAATCCTGAGAAACACAAACACTCCTGTATTCTCAAACTTATTTCTTGCCTTCATTAGATGAAATAACTTACATCATGACACAAAGCACAGCTTTGCTTAGAGATGTGACAACCTCAGGCAACCATTTAGATTCAGGTAGATTGGTATTGCATTAATTGCTAGTGACAAAGATCTTATTAATGAGAGAAGACTCAATTTGCCTATCTGTAAAACATCTTTGAAAGAAAAAAACTGATGGTGCTGAATATTAAAGAGGAAAATGTGACTGGAGTTCAGCCAGCAAGGGAGATACGGGCTTTTGATATTTAATTATGGTTCATATTATTTTCCTACCTGAAAGTTTTTGATTGGTGTGTGTGTGTGTGTGTGTGTGTGTGTGTGTGTGTGTGTGTGTGTGTGTGTGTGTGTGGAGAGAGAGAGAGAGAGAGAGTGCTGTCCCTGGTGCTTGAATTCAAGCCTGGGCACTGTACCTGAGCTTTTTTGCTCAAGGCTAGTGCTCTACCACTTGAGCCACATCTCCACTTCCAGTTTTTTGGTAGTTAATTGGAAATAAGAGTCTCACAGTCCTTCGCCTGGGCTGGCTTTGAACAGTGATCTTCGGATCTCAGCCTTCCTCGTAGTTAGGATTACAAGCTACTGGTGCCCAGCTGGGACACATACTTTTTACGGAATGAATTGACAGCTGTGTTACTATAAAGAAACATACATGAAATGTTACCTGAAAGAGTAATGCAGACAAAAGGCAACAGTTTATCCTCTTTTCAGTGTTCAGTGTCTTAATAAATCTAAATAAATAGAAGAAAAACCAATTAGGTGTTTTCTAAATTGTCTTTAAACATACACCTAAGATGTAGAAAAGACTAGAAAAATATTTAGACAAGAAAATGTAAGAAAAACATAAAGAAGAAAATGAAAGATTAACTGTAGACCTACCACTTAAACATGATTGCTGGTGACTTTTCATCAATTTTCTTCTAGTTGTACACACAAAAAAAACCCATAAATATCTACATATGAAGACTGAAGGTATATAACACATACTATGAGCATATACCTTATGAAAGGTATAGTCATTGGGTAAATTCCTATACATAGAAGTAATCTAAAAGTTAGGTAAGCAGTTAGGAAGCCTGGTGACTGAGAATGTTAAGTGAAATTAGTGATTTCATATAAGTGAACTGCTGATGTTAACAGAATGACCCCAATAAAAGCTTGAGGACTTAGGACCTCCAGTGCATTGCTATTTCTTAAGCTAGCCCACTCTTATGTCCAGCAAGTGCATTTCTGCTCTTTTGCTTTGCTTTGCACCAATAAACCTGCCCCTATGTAAGCTCTTCTGTGTTCATCCTTGAATTAGTTCTCCAACAAAACCAAGAAGTTTCTGACCCTAAACCAGTGGAACAAACCCAATAATGTACTTTTTGGCAAAAGTAGGTAGACAATTAAGGTTTTTGATAACTATTTGAATACTACTCTCTTAAAGAAAGCAGAAATGTACTTTCACACTAGCTATATGGAACTGCTCACAACAGTAAGTCTCTGCACAAACATTAAGACAGGATCTCTCCATTTGCTATTGCCTTCTTTTACGTCCTTTTAGAGAACTTTCCTTATATTGGTCTTGAAACTGCATTTCCAACTGTATATATTACCTACTCCTAAATCATATTTAGATAACAGTAGGCAGCTTCATTGAATTAATAACATAACCAGTCTGAGTTCAGCTGCTCGGTATGGGTATTTGAGTTGGCATTTTGCAGTAAGAAGAGTTTGTTCTACTCAAGAGTCTGGGAGAACAGCTAAAGCTCCTGTAGACTCACATCTGTGCAAGTCAGACTTTGAGCTGTGTAACCAGGAAATAGCTTTCTTCTGGCTGAAATCACTAGCTAATAACTTTAGAGGCTCAGAGCTGAGGTGCCCTCTGGCAAGAATGCTAAAACTATTCCTTCCTGAGCTGTGAACTTGCCTCCTCCCTTTGCTATTCTAGTTCTGACTGCCAAGTTTAAGTCATGGTAGGATGGGGAGTGTTCCTTCTCAAAAGTACAAAAAAAAATCATACTCAACACAGGTTTAAAAGATCATTCTCATTTAATTATTTTAGAGTAGTAATTTCTTGCTTGTTCTCTCCAAAGATACTATCTGGAAATAAAGTCTTTTTTGTTGAATTTGCTCTATAGCTCAAATTATAGTGTAGATCTCTGATTGATCACTCCATCCTACAGATGAGCTGAAGAAGTAACTTCAAAAATAGTGGACACCTCTGCTACCCTTATATTCATGTTTCTCACACTGATGAAATACTAATAGAGTTTGAAGTGCTAATTATGTACAAAGCATTATGATAAACATTCACATGTTACTATAATAGAATAAATAATGGCTCCTTAAAACATACATGTCTCAATCCCTGGAGTTCATGAATATCTTAACTTATGCAGCAGAAAAGATCTGGCAGATAAGACAATTATTCTGCATTATTTAGGTAGGTCCAATGTAATTACAGTGGTCCTAATAAGAGTAAGGCAGAAGCTCAAAAGGAAAAGATGGGAGGATGGAAGTAGAGGTCAGAGACAGTGAGACACAGAGTAAGAAACTTGTGGGGGAAGATGGGGGATTAAGGGAGAAGGGGGAAGAGAAAGATGGTAGGCTTTTGGTATTGACATAGAGGAATGACCTGGGGTCATATGTCATGAAATGTAAGAAATCTATAAGGCCAAAATATGCCTAAAAACAGATTCTCACTTAAAGCTTCCCCAGAAAGCACATCCCTGCTAACACCTTTATTTTAACACTTCTGAACTTCATACTGTAAGATACTAAGTATGCACTGAGGTTGAGGCTACAGCTCAGTGACATAGCATCTACCTAGGAGTGTGCAGAGCCCTGTGTATAATCTCTAGCCTCACTTAAAAATTAGTTTAAATCACAAGTTGGTAGCAACTTATTACAGCAGCAATAGGAATACTGCTGTTATAAGCTACATTGTATCCCACCAGAATTGGTATGCTGAGCTCCTAACCCCAATAACCTTAGAATGTGACTGAACTTGGAGATAGTTTTTAAAAATGTAGTTAATTAAAAGAGGTCAAGTGGGGGGCTCTGATCCAATGTGACTAGTAATTTGTTAAGAAAAAGATATTAGAAGAGCCATCCAGAAAGAAGACTTGTAGAGACACATTGATCATTGTTTGCATAGAAGACAAGGAGAGAGGCCTCAGGGAAACTGTCCACTGTCCCTTGACCTCAGACGTCCAGTCTACAGAGCTAAGAGATGACAAATTTATGTTGTTCAAGGCACTTAGTTTGTGGTACTGGGTTGTGGCAAGCTAAGCAATCTAGTTTCTCCACAACACCACACTTAACAGGTGAGGACACTGAGGATCAGAGAGAATGAGTGACATGCTGAGATACAAGGTAATGAGGCCCTTAGGCCTGAGTCAGCCAGCCCCCATCCTGTTGTCCCCTACCAACTGATCCTCCCTTGACTTGTTCGTTAAAAGTCCACTCCATGCCAGGTACTTGGCCTGTCAGCATGTTGTCCTTGTATCTTGGGGATAGGAGGTGTCACAGGAAGAAAAGATAGTCATAAACAATAAATTTCACAGTAAGTAAAATATGTCACTCTGTACAACTGTCCAAGAACTGTACATGAGGTATGCTCTCCATGTGACCCACAAAGGCCGCCAGTAGCTAGAGTGTGAGTTATTACATTTTCATACTCACTGTGCTATCTTTGCTGCTATGACGGCACCTTGCAAACACCCCCAAATGCCAACTTTTGATAGAAATTCTTCACTGTAGTCTTTGAAATTGGCACCATGGGTGGCACTGGGGAGAGAGGTTCCAAATTCTTTCCAAGTATGCAGCACATCTGTTTTTCTGAATATATCATCAAGAGCTTGACACCAACACTTGAAAGCAGCTCTACAACAGAACAGAGTACCAAGCAGGATGTTTTGGCCTCTGTCTTCTAATAGGTAACACAAATATGCTGAAGAAACATTCCATCAAATGCGTTAGAGAGTAAACTGTTCATAGCAGTTCTCTCAGGCAGAATTTGCTGAATAAAATGAAGCTATGTTCTATTAACTAAAATTTAGGGGAAAATATATTGTCTTGATTAATTTTTTAAAAAGTTTTCAATAAAAAAGAGAAAGCTTGTGCTATTAATTCCAAAAACTCTACCTTTTCTTTTCTGCAAAGATGAGTAGACTTCCAAGTGAATGCAATGCCTGAACTTTAAGACTCCTTTGATTGCTGGCTTGGAGAACATCTGTATTTTTTAATCAAGTGAAAGAATAAATGTCAGTTCCAGGGGAAATATTTCTTTAATATTTGCAAGAATATTTTAAACTGTATTATTCCTTAACTGTGCAGACTGCAATAAGAAACCTGCAAACTAACAGTGCTTTCAAATGTCACATAGTATATATACCCAGAGAGAGAGCAAATGGCATGCTATTTGAACACTTCAGAATGAGCGACTGTGTGTAACACACGCAAACCAAGGAAGTGCCATGGAGGACACAAAATGAGGTCAGGCAGGTAGACATGTTGAAAAGGACATGAAAGTGGGAAAAGCAGTGCACATGAGAAGAATGGGTGCATCTGGAATATGGTATTCTACAGAGATAGTACTCAAGATTCCCAAGGGTCCTTAATGCCACAGGGTGAGAGTATCCTAGAGCAAAAAGGCTCAAAAAAGTTTGTTTTTAGCAGCGATATCTTAATTCACACATAGTATACTAGATTTTTCCTTTTCCCTAATTGCAGAAAGATAATATCACACACTTACACAATCAGTTGTGTAGTCAAATAAATGATAAGCATGGTGTGGTTAGGCCCCAATGAGGTCAGCACCCTGTCCTAGTAATCTAAGGGAGAGTCACAATGGGGCCTCTACTGGCATTTTGTAAGCAAAGATTAGAGATTCTGGACAGCCTGCAATGTACAACAACTTCCCCCATGGCAAAGGAAAAAGTGAGAAAGAAACTTGGTTACAACCGAGTCTAATATCTACTTTCACTTTATACCTAAAAAATGGAATTCTGGCATGACTTCTAAAAAAGTCCTGAATGTTCTGCAACTACTATAGTCTTTTTTTGATTCTGAATTTCAGAAGATTTACTCCTCAATTTAGTCCCCAAGCTTCCCACTGCTGATTTTACTTAAGCCACTATAACACACCTATATTAGCTCACATCATTGCTGTCATATTTATGATACCAGAACAGGAAAGAAGCATCTCAATATATCTTCATACCTTCTAAGGCCTGGGCATTTACATATTAACCAAGAGATTATTTTATTATAAACCGATTTTCTTTTACTTATCTTCTATATCAGAGCTCACAATTGTTTTTTGGAATAATGTATGTAGGAAGAGCAAGACCCATTTCAACAAAACTGCACATGCCTGTAAACCCAACTATGTGGACAGCATAGGTAGGCATATTTTGGCCTAAAATGGTTTGTTGCAAAAAACAATACTGGGTCTACAATAAAAGTTGAGAGTATACAATACAAGTTGAGAATTTATTTTAAAAAAGAATATGGTGAAGGAAAAGAAATTAGCTAAAACACAGCCAAAGCTGTGTTCCTGTCTGTGCAGAGATCATAGTTCAAGCCAAGGAGGAAGGAAGAAGGGTAGCAAGAACCTCATGTTGGCCAAAGGTAAGTGGGTAATGGCAAGGGCTGGAAGCATACTGTAGAGAGACTGTTCTGTCACTGCCTACATGGGAATCATGAATACAATCTGGTCAAACCCTTTCATCCTACTTGTAAAGCAATATTTTCCGAGCAGATGCTATCTTATCATTTATTCAGACAGTCACATTGACAAGGAAGACATAATGGCTTAGTCTTACCAATAGTTTGATGATAAGAAGAAATTACCAGTCCCAGTTGTGAATAGGGAAGTTTGCTTTTCTCCACTGAACTACAAACTCTGAATTGCTCCTGAGAAAGGTCAGGAGGAGTTGTCATGTGCATCTCTTCAGTCCCCAGGCAAAATTCTACTTTCCTCTTGCCAGATCTTGAAGAGTTTACTCTTCCTTTGTCTTCTAAATTTGTGAAAACAAAATTTTAAAAATGTAAAATGAAGAAGTAAGAAGTTGGCAGGAGGGAAAAGGAATTGGAAATGGGGCAGGGAAGGAAGGAAAAACTTTATAGAGACATAGGACTTGTTTGCAGGTTGAGAGACAAGTTTTCTCACAATTCTTGCATCCATGATGGGCCCTGGGCCCAACTTATTTCACTCAGACCACTGCAGCCCACAAGCCAGAAAGCTCATGCTCACCTAATACTTTGCTTCTCCTGGGGATGAATGGAAATTACACAGTTTGAGTTTGTCTTTTTAAAATAGCTTCCAACAGTAAGATGTTGCTTTGCCTTTGAGGCAGAAACCTCTGGGATGGAAGCAACATGCATGTAGTTCTGGCCTGAGACAGAAGGCAATGAAAAAAGAGTCTCTCTTTTTAAGATGAGAGAACACATAGGAAAAAAGAAAAAAACACTAGCAAAGCTATCAAAAAGAGCAGAGTAAGAAACTAATGTGCATTTTGAAGTCCACAGCCTGCAGAGCAGGAAGGACTAATGAGAATAGTGAGGTTCAAGGCCAGTTTAAAACCATTCTTAAGAGCTATATTTGCTTTTTCAATTCATGCCCTTTCCTATCACTAATGTATTAAGTAACTGAAAGAAGGTAAACATGATAAAGAAAGCTAAGTTAATACAATGTAAGTCTGAAGACAACACAGACACAATATAGCCCAAATTGTTGAATAAATAACTATGTAAATAAATAAAGCTTCCGGTAGTTACAAAAATTGGTCAAATCTCTGTAGGATAATCTCAGTGGAATAAGCATTTTACTTAGAAATGAGTTTAAATCTAATTTTAGTTATTTTAAGTTTCTTTTTATTCTGATGAATTTGAGAGCAAAAGGCACAGATTCTGATTAAAAAATTTAAACTACCCTCACTACAAACAATTCAGTTTTCCCAACCTAACTTTGAGAATATTCTTTTCTGAGTATATCACTTAACCAGACCAGGCCCTGCCTTGATTGAATTCACAAGTTAATAGATATTGAGAAGAGACAAAATGAAAATAATTTAACCAGCAACTGTGGTTTTAAACAGAAAGAAATCTCTAAGAACAAAATCTAAAGGATTAATTTTTTTAAATCTTTATGCTTATTTTAAAATGTATCTGTTTCTTTGAAATTGATAAATTGATTTTTGGTAAAAATTAACCCAGTATGACTCAATCTATTTACTAATGAAAGAAAACATGATCCTGTTTCCACACCTGCAAAGAAAATGGAAAGAACATCAGTGTAAAGAATTTCAAAAGTAAGAAATATTATCTTCACATCCACTGTACCCAAAAGAGATTTTGTTTTGCTTTGGTTTTGCTAATTTGGCAGAAAGTACAAAAGCAGGTGGGTCAGGGTTTTGCCAGACAACAGGACTGGATTTTGGCAGGAAGGGGTACAAGGACAGGCTGTGGTCTATCCCTAGGAAGCAGACCCATATAAACAATTATCAGGGAACATAGCACAAGCATTTACCTTGTGTCTGTGCAAGAAACAATGAAAACAACTTCCTGCTGTGTCGGATTGATCTGTTATGGTATCTGGACTTTTCCAGGGACTCTCTAAAGCATCTCAAAGTATCTGTCACATCCACAGGCACACAGAGGAGCTGTTTGGCTTGGATGTATTCTGAAAGAAAAGGAGAGAAGAGGGGGGCGATGGGATGAAACACTGCACAGAGCCAACTAGTAGCAAATGTGGTTCTAATTCAGAGAATTTCTTGGTCCCAACCTGAAGCTGCTAAATTCAAAGTCCCCAGATCTGCAGCAGGTGTTTCAACATTCAAATCTTTTCTCTCTCTCTCTCTCTCTCTCTCTCTCTCTCTCTCTCTCTCTCTCTCTCTCTCTCTCTCCTTTTGGGATATTTCAAAGTTCTTTCAAAAAATCTTAGGAAAGTTTTGATTATTATGAAATGCAAATAGCTTTGGATCTTGCCAATTTTCCTTATGAAGCCTCCTACTTTTTCTTCTGCTGATCATAAAAAAAAAAAGAAAGAATCTGCTCTTTTTCAGCAGCCTCTTCAAAGCAAAGGTGCTTTTAGGAAAAAGAGGAAAAAGGGAAACAAAGAATCTTGGAAATGGATAATTGCTCTCTGAAGGGGAAAAAAAGACACATACATTCCTAAGATAGAAAAGTACAGAGGAAAGCCAGGTTGAGGGACAGGCATGTGTTGTGGGGAAGGGGTGGTTCCTGGCTGGAACTAACCGGGGTCCTGAAAAGTTCCAGAGAGGAGAGGTGGTCCAACAGCATTGAGGTAATGCCTCTGGGCCAGTGAGCCAACTGCCTGGAAATGAGGCTACATGAAGAAGGTTCAAGAGAGCAAGAAGTACAGGCTTCAACACTGAATAACAAATTTATTTCTTCAATAAGCTGAATGACTACTCCTTCACAGTGTACCAATCTAAAAGATAACAAAGCTGTAATACAGGAAGGGGCATGCCTTCACAGAGTAGCTGAAGAAAAAGGACATTCTAACACTAGAATAGTAAAGTAATATTCGCAGAATATGTAGCTACATGGCAAAATGAGGGAAAGATAGAAGCAAGTTGTCAGCATAGACAGAAAAGGGTAGACAAGAAAGATTTTAAGAACCAGTACCAGTGCCTCACAGCTGTTCTTTTAGCTACTCAGGAGACAGAAGACCAGGAAGACTGAAATTCAAGGCCAGAACATTTGTAAGATCCACAGTAACAGAAACATTGTAGTGGCATGTTTCTGTCATCTCAGTTACATAGAGGAATAATGGTTCAGGTGAACCCAGGCAAAAATGGAGGACCTATAAAAAATAACTACAGCAAAAAGGAGATGTGGTTCAAATGGTAGAGCACCTTTCTAACATGCATGAAGTTCAAGCTCCAGGAAAGAGAGAGAGAAAGAAAGAAAGAGAGATAGAGAGAGAGATAGGAAGGAAGGGGAAAAAGAAAGGAAAGGAAAGGAAGAGAGGGAGTGAGGAAAGGAGGGAGGAAGGGAAGAAAAAGAGAAAAGGCAGGGAGGAAAGGAAGGAGGGAGGAATAAAGGGAAGGGAAGGGAAAAGAAGGAAGGGAAAGGAAGGGAGGGAGCAAGGGAGGGAAGGAAAGAAAGAATTATATTCTATAAGAATACCTAAAATTTATTAAGGACTTAAGTATGTTGGAAACAATAATTTACTGTGATTGATAAAGTCTGACAAACAACCACAAAATGTAAGTACCATTATTATCCTTATTTCACAGATGGGGAATCTAATACATAGAAAGGCCTGATATAGATCAGCCTCTTAATAAACTATATGCTAATTGAGATGCCTTTCCTGATTTTTGCCAGTAGGGGTACAGAAGTAGTAGGAAAGGGGTGAAAAGTTTGGGGCACATTTAGTCAGCAGGACCAGTACTGTTGAACAATGATGTATCTACCAAAATCCTGAAGCCCTCCCTAAGGAAGCAGACTTTACTTTCTTCAAATGGAAAGCTAAGGAAGGGTTTTGAGCAGGACTCTTGATGGCAAGAGATGGTAATTTAGGAAGAGTTAGCCAACCATCATATTCTTGTTGCACTGCCACTGAGAAAGGCAGGTGACTGAAACTGTTGAGCCACAATACAGACCCTGTATAATTTAACTCAACTAAGATTGGTAGCAATAGAAATGACAGACACACACCAGGCATGGCAACATTAGAAGCAACAGGAATGGCTAATTGGTTTTGAGGTAAAGGTAAGAGTCATCTCTTCCTCCAGCTTCTGAATTACTCCCTACCAAACTGGAAAGAAAAAGGAATCAAGTAGCCCAAGGTGATTTCTCACCATATCCATGCAAACTCCAGGACCTGCACACCTCTGAGGCATTACTTAAGTAGTTTTCATCTCTTCCCCCAAACCACTGACATTTTTCCCATCTCCCTCTCCAAACCATTGATTTTCCACTCTGCGGAATCATTCTCACACTTTGCAGCTATTTCTCTTGTCTTTAAAAAAACAAAGACAAAATTTCTCTCTCTTGACCAATTTTCCCTCAGGCTATAATCCTATTTCTCTGTTCCACTTTACATCAAAATTCCTAAAAAGCTTTCTCCATTCATTATTTCCCATACTCTCATGTACCCACTTAAATGAAGCTTCTCCCCTTCTTACTTAAAGGTCCAACTTCATAGACCATATTTGATATTCTTTGCTAGTTTATCCTCATCAATTTGACCTCTTCACTTGAAATTCCAGCTTAGTCACTGGATTGCATTTTCTTCTTCTTAATTTGCACTTATCTTTTAATGATTGTCTTTGGTCTCGGCCACATGCTAATAGCTCCCAAATTTATGTCTCTGGCCCCAATTCTCCTCAAACCCACTCATGTACCCAAGGGTCTACCATGTTGTGAGCCAAACACACAGCTCAAATATGTCCCTAACTGATTTCCTAATCTATCTCTCTCTGTCTCTGTCTCTCTCTTTCTCTCTTTGTCTGTCTGTCTGCCTGTCTCTCTCTCTCTCTCTCTCTCTCTCTCACACACACACACACACACACACACAAACCCACAAAAATATCTTCCTCCCATAGTCTTTCATCTCATTAAAGATGGCTTCACCTTTCCAGATGCTTGGGCTGAAAGCTAGAATCATCAAGAGGTGCTTAGAAGTTGTTTTTGCTGAAAAACACTGCTGAAGTTTACTTTATCCCAAGAATAATCTATAACCAAGAGAAAAGCTTAGCATCCTTGCTTCCATTTTGTATATTTCTTTGCTGTAAGCCATTCTCTCTGTCTGGAATCACTTTGTAATCACCTTGGAATTTGGAACAGGAAGAAATCATTGATAGTATCTTTATGATGGTGAACCAAAACTAACCCTAAGAAACAATGGAGCCGCCTCAAGACAGAATATCCACTAAATAATGAAGAGTTGTTTAATCCTGACCAGTAATGACAGCAATAACAACTTTTTAGGAGCACCTCCCAAAACAAGGACTGAAATAATGGTCCACCAGGCCACACTTAGACCAGGACTATTTAATTATTATGCATATCTCTCTCCCTGCTACCCTAGGCTCCTTGTATATTTAAATCTACAGCTCATGTCTGTACTCCAAGGTGAACTAAAGTTCTGTCTTCCTATAGCATGTATTATTATATAACTATAATATATATATATAATATAATAAACTATGTTTATTATATAACTATAATAAACCCATTTTCTTTGTCCTTCATCTTGTCTCTTTATTTGGCAAAAGGGGTCAGTGGCCTGACCTGACTTGTAGAACTTGTGGGGTTTGGGCCTGGAACCTAAAACTCTGGTTTCAACTATTCTCTCATGCCCATTCACAAATTCTGTAGGACCTCCCTTCAGAAAATACACTTCGAGTCCCAGCATAACTCACCATATGCTTTTAATTACAGCTATTGTCTTCTGCATTGTTTTCTTGTTTCCACACTACTATGTGCTCTTGGCACAGCTACTAGGAGATGCTCTTTAAATTTAAGTAGATTTATGTCACCTCTTGTCCCAACCCTTCCATCTTCCCCTCGCCCCCAATTGCCTACAGTAAATCTATAGGACTCTATGTGACCTGGCTTTCCATTACTGCTCTGCCTCCTCCTACTACTATGCTCTCCTTTGTTCTAGTGCCTTTTTAAAAGAGCTGCAGTCCCATTAATGTGGACCCCATTCTCATGAATCACTTCTCAAAGACCTCACCTCTAATACCTTCCTATTGCAAGATTAGAAACTTGACATATGAATTTTGAGGGGCCACAAACAATTGACCCATAATAAACGGAAAGAGGAAGGCTGGAACCCCCACATATTGATAGTACTCTCTCCAAATCTTAGTATTAAGACATGTTAAATTTGGTATGATAATATTTACCTCAGAAGTTCATTGTTCCAACCTGTGTCCAGCATGAGACACAGTTAGAAGACACTGGCTCACATTATAACTGCTAGTCATATTTTAAAATATAGACATGTGCCACCTATGAACATTTTAGTAAATGATAACCCACATAAACAATAACAGTTCCACAAGCCTATATTATATCACCTCTAATGTCATAGCCATCTTAGTTTATACAAATACACTGTCTGAAGATCACACAACATGGAATGGCCAAATGATACATTTCTCATAATGTATGTCTGTCATTAAGTGATGCATGACTGCACATATTGAGCATTGACAAGTCTGTGCCAGACACTAGAAGAATACAAGTCAACAAAACAGTCCTTGCTTTGAAAACTTAAACTCTAAGTGTTTACAATAAATCGTCTGAATAAAAATCATCCTGCTATTTTTTAAATCAAATATATGCTGATAAATAATCCTTCTTTGCACTTTTCTCAAACTATATTTTACTTTTTTGGTGTGGTCTTAGAGTTTGAATTCAGGACCTTGAACTTGTCAGATAAGCATTCTCCCACTTGAGCCATGTTCTCACCCATTTTTGGTTTCATTATTGTAAGACCTCGTGTTTCTGCCCAGACATCCTGGACTGTGGTCCTCCTGTGTGCACTTATTATGTAACTAATAACAAGAGAAGATGCTTCTGCCCCTAGCTTTTTATCGGTTACAATGCAGTCTTGTGAACTTTTTGCCTGGGTTGCCTTAGCCATGATCCTCCCAACTGCTGCCTCCCAAGTAGCTAGAATACCACCTCAACAGTCTTTTTCTTTGCTTTTTTCTATCTTTTAGTCTTTTTTCTTCCTTCTTCCTTCCCTTGATCTTATTTCTTTCCTTACTTCTTTCTGTTTTAAAGTCTTTTTCATGTCTTAGAATACCTTTTTAATTAGTCTAATCAGTGTTCTGTTGGTGGTGTTCTGGCTGTCTACATGAAATAAATAATACAAAGAAATGAGGGAATATCCTCATTCAGAGCCTTTATCCTAATAGCTGTGTCTCAAGGGGGCTCCTTTCTGAAAACATTCATAGATACTTCATAAAACTATTCAAAAAAACATTGGCAAGGGAGAGGAGGAGGAGGGGGAGGAAGAGGAGGAGGAGGAGGAGGAGGAAGAGGAGGAGGAGAGGTAAAGGAGGAGGAGGAGAGTAAGCTATTATGTCTCTAATTGTACTGAGGTAGCAATAAAAACCAGAATGCCAATGACTCCTGAGAGTTGGGTCCACCAAGAAAGGAACCCAGGGAGTGATTTGAACTTTTCAACTGCTTTCTACACATTTAGTTATTACATTAATTCAAATGTCTAGGGCACTAATAAAACATACCTGTCAATGAGCTGGAAATTCCAACACATCTCAGGACTGAGTATCCCCATCAGAGAACTTAAATAGCAATAAGGTCAAAGCTCAAGAAAGAGATCCCAAATAAAATGCAAAAACAGCTCACAATAAAAGGCATATCCAGGCTTATCTCTCCCACAGAGCTTAACAAGCAGGCAAGAATACAATAACTATACAATGAGGTATTCTCAGTTCTCCAAACCCTACTGAGGCTATACCAAATTACATATGCATTATTAAATAGTTGAAAGGAGAATAGGATGCTGTTAAATAATGAGAACACCAAATGTTCCTTGGCACTAGGGAATTACAGTATCTGTTGTGAATAATTAAATATACTAAGCATCACACCAAAAGCTGTTAAGCCAAAAGAAATAACTGTAAGGTTCAAGCAGGGATCTGATGTGGAAAGCATCATGAGTGTCCTCAGACTTATAAGAATTTCAAGCCGGGACTTGGAAGGTGGCTCAGTGGTAGAGCACTTGCCTTGCATGCATGAGGTCCTGGGTTCAATTCCTCAGCACCACATAAGCAAAAAGAAAAAAGCCGCAAGTGGTGCTGTGGCTCAAGTGGTAGAGCACTAGCTTTGAGCTGAAGAGCTGAGGGACAGCGCCCAGGCCCAGAGTTCAGGCTCCATAACCGGACCCCAAAAAAAAAAAAGAATTTCAAGCCGGTCATGGTGACATCATAAGACTGAACATGCTTTCACTGTATTTGATGTTGGTATAATTTGTGGAAGGGAAGGGCAAAAACAAATCGTTTAACTAGGGATACAGGTGGACCCATTGCAACAATGAGATGTACAAGTCATTATGTTGAAAAACGAACTTTACAATGTTGGTGGGGGGTGGGAAGAGGATCGGGTGGGGGGGAGGGAGGAGTATGGGAAGGGATGGGAAGGGGAAACAAAGAGGAGGCAGCAATGCTTGATAAGAAATGTACTCATTATCTTGCCCATGTAATTGTAACTTCTCTGTATGGTATTCTCACACACACAAAAAAAAGACTCAACATATTCATGGACACATCAATGATTTGAATTTAGAACACTGAGAAAAAATCAGCAGCATAATCTCCAAAGCATAGGTATAAAGATACTCCCAGTTACAGAGGTCTTAGTGTCATATAAAGAACTGTAAACTGAGCCAGGCATTGGTGGCTCATGCCTGTAATCCTAGCTACTCGGGAGGCTGAGATCTGAGGATCCCGGTTCAAAGCCAGACAGGGCAGGAAAGTCCGTGGACTCTTATCTCCAATAAACCACTAAAAAAACCGAAGTGGTGCTGTGGCTCAAGCTGTAGAGAGCTTGCCTTGAGCTGAAGAGTACAGGGACAGCTCCCAATCCAAGAGTTCAAGCCCCACAACTGACAAAGAAAAAAAGGAAAGAAAAGAAAAGAAAAAGCTGTAAGTTGGAAGGCTTTAAAAAAAAACAGTTAATATAAAACCTCTGATCAGTATGCAAAGTCATCTAAAAATTACAATACTGTCACAATAAGTCAAAATAAAGTGCTTGCCTCACTTGGACACTGAAATACAGCCAATTACTTCCTTTTTAAATTTAATTTTATTTTGCTGAAAACATGCTGTACAATTACATGAGTAAGGCAATGCGTACATTACTTGTCAATCATTATTACCTCTTCTTCCCTTGTTGTTGTCCCACTATCCCTTTCCTTCCCCCACCCCCACATCCCCTAGCCAGAAGTTGTAAAGTTCGTTTCCAATATACTATCCTGTGGGCATCCTTGTTGCAATGGGTCATCCTATGTTCTTGTTTTGGCATTTTGTTTTTCCCCTTCCCCTCCCCAGATTAGACAAATGTATATACAAGATGCAGGGTACCAAAATCAAGTACAGTGACAAAAGGGGAAAGAACATACAAAGGAAACAACAACAAAAATAAATAAATAAAATCACATGGTACATTTAAAACAATGACAATGAAGACAGACCTCTTGTGTCCATATCTTGGGGTTCATCCTCACTTAGCATCATCTTATATGGTCATATGTACACAGCCAAATATTTCTTGAGTATTATAAATTTAAAGAAGATTCTAACCTAAAAGCAAGCTGTGTGGAGTAGGCTTCTAGTTCTGTGGAACATTCACAGATGGAGCAATTAGATTGACAATGTTTGAGTCAAGGTCCTTCTACTTAGTAGGAATATTTCATTTTCTTACCTGTAATATGAACATAATAATGCCTATCTCCTAACACTGTAAAATTAAAGAACCTCAATACAGTTATAGCTCAATATTACTACTGCTATTATAATGTATTCACTTTTTATCTCTTCAAATATTCCTACTGTAATCATAGTTCAAAGGCTAGAAGTCCACCCCAGTTGAGAATCCAATCAAAGGATACTGACCTCTCTTCTGCCCTACCACCTCAGCTTGCCTTACCAAATGCTGCTTTAACAAAAAGGAAGCAAAGTGCTTTGTTTACACATTGTATCCATCACATATAAGCCTCTACTGGTACATGGGGCATGTTAATCACAATTCTTGGCCCAGTTTCTCACATTTGTAGTTACCTTTTGTGATCATGATAATTATATTCAAGTACAGAATCTAAAACTGGGGATCCCCAAGGTTTCACAGAAAGGATCTAGAAAGGGAGAACATACCCAGGAAGAATCACATCTATAACTGAAACTAATTATAGGTGACTTAGCACCAAAGACAGTCCTTCCATTCTTTACTGAATCCAAAGGCAATCTGATTTATTATTGACAGTAAAACCTACAGTCATGGCCACTAGCCATGTTACCTAAACCCTTCTTCATTTCTCTTTTTCCCAGTAGTAAAATATTCTGTTTGAAACCTCCAACTCCCATCAAGAAAACCTCCCACATCCAATGAGAAACCTTCAACTTCTACCCTTTCTATCCACAAACCTTCCTACATCGGGGAAATTCTCTCTTCCTTCTTTTCCCCTTAGCAGAAACAATGTCCATCCCTCTTGTATCTCAATCCCTCCATTTTCTTCCTCAAAGTCCTGCTCCAGTAAAAAGAAAAAATCTTTGTCTCTAGTTTTCCTTCTCTACTGGCTCTTTCCTTTTAATATATACCCATACTCCTCTTCTTTCATCTAAGAGACATGTAAACAAAAGTAGGCTCTCCTGAGCCTCCTGAAATCTGCATTCCCTCTGGCTTCTGCTCTTTGTCTCTTGGTATCTGTGTCTCTCCCTTCTTCTCTGCCTCTCTCCATCTATCCTACTCATCTCTTTCCCCTCTCTCCTCCTGTTTCATAGAAGGCAATTCTCTACTCAATGAATCTCTGCAGATGTAACACACCACTGCCACACTGCTCAAAATACTCCTCCTCATTTCTAAAGTCACAAAGTCATTCATTAGCAAATAAGAGATACCAATGATATCAGTGACAAAACAGTGACTCCTGCTATCACAGAACTCATACTGTAGGAGAGGAAATTAGTAATCAATAAATAGTACATAAATCCTAAATTATATAGTCTGAGAGATAATAAGATTTTCAGCATTAAAAAAGCACACAGCAGGGTTAAAGAAAATGAGAGGAAGTGGGCAGGGTACTGTTTAAAACTGGTATGGGTAAGTCATTGAAAAGATATACATGAAAACGTAAATAAAGGGAGGGCTTTTCAATCAGACATCTAGGTGGTAGAAAGAATATTTCAGGAAGGAGAAACAGCTGGAGTAAGGCAAGGGTATCACAGCAAAAAAGCTACCCATATGTTATGTGACCTGACTGGTGACTGCTTCCTATTCTCAAAGTTTTCTTGCGTGGGCTTCCACCTCTTAGGGGATGTCCCACTTCTGTCATACACTGTTATTCTTCTTGTTGTTTCCTGAGTCACAAGAGCCCTTCACAGATTCTGTATCTCTTTACCCTGAGTACAGAATCAGAACATAATACTTTAATCCTTTAGTGTTAGATGTGTCCATGCAACTTTGGACAATGAAATGTTAGCAGATATGACATCCATCACACTCTGATGACAGCTTTTAGAGCCAGCACATAACTCAACACATGTCCATATTCTTGAAAAAGTGTTTAATTCCCCCTGAAGTAACATTTATAACAATGTAAGATGGTAAGTGTCAAATAGATTACATACAAATGAACCTGTAAAATAAATTTCACAAACATTGTAATTGACATTCAGAACACATTGGCAAACTTTGTTTTGAAGGAAATCAAGGTTCAAGTTTAAGTTGATTCTGACCTGAATAGATGAGCACTGTTAGTAAATCCATATTGTTTCCTGTTTCTATTATTTTGGGTGAAGAAGGATCAATCTTGAGCTGTTTACCAATGAAATTTCGGCAGGTTATCTTTAAAAGGAAAGATGAAAGAAAAATATTTCTTAACTAGGGGGTAAAAAAGTTTAAATTTGGATTACTTGAAATGTTTTTCTCATCTCTTAAAATAAGGAGATAATAAGACAATGGTACAAATAACAGCTAACAGAATAGCATTTAATCATGAGAACTTTTGGGATAAAACACTACTATGTAACTTTTCATATTGCTTTTATACAACACAGCTGGAAGGATATTATGCAAATTATGTAGCACAATTAGAATATGATTTTCTCATATACTATAAATTCACTAGTCTAAATATATATTATATTAGGTAAGTTTAAACATATTTAAAATATAGCCTGCTTTTCTGATGGCAGATTTTCCAGCCTACTCATAATTAGTGCAATTTTAACTTCTCCAGTGAAGTTTTTCAAAATTAATTGCCTCTGTAGTATTTTGACAACAACTTATTTTCTAACAGATATTTGAGTCCTCAAATTATAAAATATCTGAAAACAGAAAAGTTTTAGATAGAAGGAAATTCTTTCCAAGTCAAATGCAGTCAACATTTCTCTACTCCTATGTCTAGATATTTGAGGGATCACTCCAAAAACAGCCCTCCTTGAACTCTAGTCTCATATGCTTGCTCCTTTATTGTTCTGTGGACACGTCTATAGCAAGACGTAAATATAATATAATGAGATGTAATTCCTTCCCACAGTCTACCTAACCTGGTTATTTCCATGTCTCCAGCTTAAATAACATTTATTAAACAACTATTGGGTGTTCCATGCTGGAAGGAAGACAGATGACAAAATGAACAATTCTTAATTGTAAGGAATTTATTCTATGTGTTAAGAAAAATAAAGTAATAAAATATATAATAAAACAAAGAATCATGACTTCTGTGGAGAAAAACAATGCAAACAGACACATAATTAATTAAAATATGTCATAAGGAAGAAAATTGATATAGGCATTTGGAAGAGCAGCATTCCAAGAAAGACAACAGCAGATGTAAAGCCCCTGAGGCAAGAATTTGGGGGAGAGAGGGTAATAGTCACCAGCCAGTTACAAGAGGATATGTTATGAATGATAAATTACATTAAAGTCACGAAAAAGATGTTCACTTTACTCTGAATTAGATGCAAAGGTAGCACAGGATTTTAAGCACAGGTGTGACATGGTCTGACTCAGGTGTTTTTTTATTTTTTAATTTTTTTTATTTTATTGTGAAGATGTTGTACAGAAGGGTTACAGTTACATGAGTAAGGCAATGAATATATTATGTGTCAATCATTGTTACCCCTGCCCTTCCTTGTTGTTGTCCCACTATCCCTTCCCTCCCCCAGCTCCCTCACTCCGGTCCCCCCTACCCGCCCTTGGTGCGGAAAGTTGTAAAGTTCATTTCCAATATACTGTCCTGTGGGTATCTTTCTTGCAATGGGCCATCCTGTGTCCTTGTTTCAGCATTTTGTTATTGCCCTCCCCCTCCCCAGATTACACATATTTATTATGTACAAGATGCAGGGGATCAAAATCGAATACAGTGACAACGGGAGATAAGCCATAGGGGAAAGAACATACAAAGGAAACAACAACAAAAATAATAATAAAATCACATGATACATTTAAAACAATAACAATAAAGACAGACCTCTTGTGTCCATATCTTGGGGTTCATCTTCACTTAGCATCACCTTATATGGTCATTTGTACATAGTCTTTGAGCCTTTCATCTCATCTGATAAGATTATCCTATATGTATACTAATTATTGCAAATAAGGGAAAGCATGAGCCTAAATTTCTTTGGGACTGGGTAACAAATCCTCAAAGAAACAACCACCTCATTAATAAGTGTGCTAAATAACCCCTCTGTACAGTATGTTCACAAAAAATTAAAATTAAAATTAAAAAAATAAGTGGGCTAAAGACTTAAAGAGAAACATCTCTGAAGAGGAAATAAGAATGGCCAATAGACAAATGAAGAAATGTTCAACTTCTCTGGCCATAAAAGAAATGCAAATCAAAACAACACTGAGATTCCACCTCACCCCAGTTAGTATGGCTATAATCAAGAACTCTTAATAACAGATGCTGGAAGGGGTGTGGCCAAAAGGGAACCCTACTGCATTGTTGGTGGGAGTGTAAACTTGTTCAGACACTCTGGAAAGCAGTATGGAGGTTCCTCAGACTCTACATAGAACTCCCCTATGGCCCAGCAATCCCACTTTTAGGCATTTACCCAAACAATCACAAACAAGAGCATACTAAAGCTACCAGCACAACTATGTTTTTCACAGCATTATTCACCATAGCTAAGATATGGAACCAACCCAGATGCCCCTCAGTAGATGAGTGAATCAAGAAAATGTGGTACATTTCTGATGCTTCCATCAGAAAGAATGACACTACCCCATTTGTTAGGAAAGGGAAAGACTTGGAAAAAATTTATATTAAGTGACTCAGGTTTTTAAGAGTCATTTCTATCTGCTACATTAAGAGCAATAGGAACACCGTATTTTTTCTTTCTTGCTATTGTTTTAACGTATTTAAAATGCACTATGTGATTTTTTTGTTTCTCTTGTATGTTCTTCCTCCACAGTATAACCCTTGTTTTCACTGTATTTGACCTCGGTGCTCTAAATCTTGTATATACATTTTTCTAATTTGGGAAGGGGAAGGGAAATAACAAAATAAGGATACAGGTTGACCTATTTAACAATGAGATGTACAAGAAACTATATTGAGAACAAACTTTACAACTTGAGGGGGTAAGGAGTTGGGGAGGTGGGGTGGGGAGGGATGGTAGGGGAAAAACAAAGGAGGAACTTAACAATGCTCGATAGGAAATGTACTCATTACCCTATTCATATAACTGTAACCCCTTTGTACAGTATTTCTACAGTAAAAAACATAAAAAAGAAGCTGGGGACTGGTGGCTCATGTCAACTGATGACATCCATCTTTCTCACTACTCAAGATGCCTTGAAGACAACCTTAATTCTTCTCTTGCTCTCACACTCTACTTCAAATAAGGACTTAACTTCATACTGTTTCTAAAAAATACTGGCACACAGTAGGCTTCTTATAATGTTTGCTGATTGGGATAAAGAATATCTAGGTGAAAATCATGCTCGGAATGCCCTCTTGGTTCCGAAATCTTTTCTATTGGTAGTAATTTCCACAACTGCATGGATACCAGCACTGCCCTTACCTTCTCTTTGTGTTCAGCCTCATATCGTGCACACGGTTGTTGGGAAATATCAGGGCCCTGGAACTTCTTAATTCTCAGAAGGAGCTGACGTTGGGCATATACTAGCAGTGGTGTCACTTGTTCTGTGTATCGCTCACTAGGCACAAGTAAGGAATATATTACATCCGTTTTAAAAAAACCTTGATTTTCCAAAAGAAGTCTGCTCTTTCTAATTGTCATTACTTACTGTGAAATTATATTAAATTGAATAGCAAGTGATACAAGTGTTTCCCATTTTTCCACTTGATATAGAATTTCTAGAGATTTTAACACGAAGTCATGGATCCATTTCAAATCAACCACATTTATGTCATCCAGAGGGTGTTCAAAAACAAGGCTGGAACCACCATTATCATATTTGATATTCCCATAACAACTTGGGACACTGAACTCTCCATTGTCTTCAATAAACTGTAACACATTTAAAAACATTTCTTTATAATTTCAGATTTTACTAAGTATTTTTTCCAACAAATGAACATGATAATATGGCTGGAGATATGGCTCAAGTAGTAAGGTATCTAGCAAGCTCAAGGCTTACCCAGTACTATTAAAAAGAAAAAGAAAACAATTAAAAAAGGTGGGCGCTAGTGGCTCATGCCTGAAATCCTAGCTACTCCAGAGGCTGAGATCTGGTGATTGCAGTTTGAAGACAACCCAGGCAGAAAAGTCTCCATGATATTCTTATCTCCAATTAATAACTCAAAAATCAGAACTGGTGCTGTAACTCAAGTGGTAGAGCACTACTCTTTAGTACAAAGTAGCTCAGGGACAGCACCCAGGCCTTGAGTTCAAGCCCCACAACCAACAACAACAACAAAATTTCTAATGTGACAAAATAACTCAACTTAAAATAACTCAACTGATGCTGAGCACTGGTGGTTCACACCTGTAATCCTAGCTACCCAGGAGGCTGAAATCTGAGGATCTGGGTTCAAAGCCAGCCCAGGCAGGAAAGTCTATGACTGATCTCCAATAAAAACCATCAGAAAACTGGAAGTGTCACTGTGGCTCAAGTGGTAGAGTACTAGCCTTGAGCTAAAGAGTTGAGGGACAGTTCAAGCCCCATGACCAAAAAATAAATAAAAACTCAACTGGACTAAACAATTAAAATACATTTTAATACAAATCAAAGCTTGATCACCTGAAGTGATACCATCCAACAGAATTTTCTGAGCTGTAGTTGTCCTGGTCAATATAATCCAATTTAGTCACCAGACAAATATAGATAATGAACTTCTGAAATGTGACTTAAGTAAGTGAATTTCAAATTTTATTTGATTTTAAATATTTCAAACTTAAAGTGAAATAAACACATATAGCTAATGTTTACTATATTATACATCATAATCTGAGATCTATACTTCTCAACAGTGTACAGTCTCTAGCCATTTAAATAAATAAGGATATTAAACCAACATAGTAGAACTTTTAGGACAAACAAATTTTATTCCTTAGTGTGTTGGTTACTGTGAGGTCTGCCCCAGGCAATACTGACACTGGCCTCCCCACCTCTTAGCTAAGTCTCCACCCAGTACTTGTGTCACCTAGGTAACTGGCACACCTGGAGGCAGTCACTTCCCCCTTTGAGGTCATACTCTGGACCACCCTCAGGTCAAGCCTCACATTAGACCAAGGGAGGGTCCCAGGCCCTGAGGTCACATCAGCATCCTGTGTGACCACACCTTCCCATGCCTGGCTACACCTTCTCCCCCGCCCCTTCTCAGGTGGGACTTCAGCCCCTTCCCTTCAGCCATGAACTTCTCCACCATGCATGGCAGGGCAGCAGTTCGGTAAACTTCTCTTCCTGCCAGAATACCATATGATGTACTCTTCATTGGCTACCTAATTAAAACAACCTATTTAATTTACCTAACAGTTACATTTATTGGTTTTCAGATTATGTCTCATTCATTGATGTCTCATTCATTGATGTCAGGTCAAACTTGTGGAGTGGAAAATATTGTAGAAGGCCTGTTTTACCAAAAGTACAGAGTCATTGTTTCTACCTATGAAGAAGATGGAGGTCTGGAGGATCATATTCCATCCTAACCCATGGCTGGGCACAGTGGCACCTACATGTTATCTCAGCAATGCTGGTTGTAGTCCAGGTTGGCCTGAACATAAAACCCTATCTTGAAAATAATCAACCCAGAAAGAGGCTGGTGGAGTGGCTCATGTGACAGAACACCTGCTTAGGAAGTTCAAGAGCCTGATTTCAAATGGCAGTGCCACAATACCAAAGGGGGAGGATGTTTCCAATAGTTTAATCCTATTTACTCTTTTATTTTCTAGTCATGGGGCTTGGATTTGGGGCCTGGGCACTGTCCCTGAGCTATTTTTCCTCAAGGCTAATGCTTGAGCTACAGTGCCACTTCTAGTTTTCTAGTGATTAATTAGAGGTAAGAGTCTCATGGACTTTACTGCCTCAGCCTCCTAAGTAGCTAGGATTACAGGTGTGAGCCTCCAGCAGCCAGCTTATTCTTCTGATATATCGCTATTACCTATTGCTATTACCTATTTTCCTTCTGAAATATTACAAAGTCACTGTTTATGTGACTTTGTGACTTATTTTTGGCAATACTGGTGTTTGAACTCAAGGCCTTGAACACTATACCACACAAGCCACACCTCTCTAGCATATATTTCAATATATTTCCATAATTTAAATGACAATGTGGTAGATTTTAAATAACTGCAATTTCTACCATATTTGGCATAAAAAAACTGGAATAAAGATCAACTGACAAGTCATCCTCTGAATCTACTTCTTTATCTGTCAAAAAGATTATCATGTAGATTAAATGCACTAAGCTTAGTTTAGGAGGTAGAATGTTTTAGGAGGTGGAAATATTTCCATTTCCTTCAAATTAAGTTATTAGAATAAGATATTTTAGTTAATATTAATGCAAGTTGTATAGTGCAAACAAATAATTATGAAAAGCAAATGAAATACAGAAAATCAAGTGAAAACTGAAGAAAAAGTATCAGTTTACACTCATCCCAGGCTTTATAAGCTTCATAGTAAAAGATACATTTTTTAATAATTTTTAAAATAATTTTTAAATAATTACCTAAATGTCCTTACCTTAAGAGAACTGCTAATTTGTAGTTGTAATAACATATCAATAAGTAATTCTGCTCCCAAATAGAATGGTATAACAGAGGTACAGAGGAAGCCCTCCTGACTAATTGAAAATGTTTTGTAAAGATCTACTGCCTGTTTAAGTAGTATCTGCAGCTCTTGAGTGAAGTTCCAAAAGACTCGACAGCAGTTCTGAAGTAGAGTCCAATAGCCACCACGGTGAGCAAGGACCTAAGGAGAAAACAACAGTTAAAGCTCCAAAGTCCCAAAAGGAGTCCAACTCTACAAACATCGAGGTCAATAATAAAAATTATACCATTTGCTATGTGCCACTCACAAGCTAGATACTGTGATGAGATGTTTACATGTAATATTTAATTTGAATATTAATCCTGGGAGATAGGTACACTAGCATTCTACTCAGTGAGGAGGAAGTGGAGTCATGGTCATCAACCTAGTAAGTGCAGAATAGGATTTGTGCCCCAGTGGTCCATACCTGGAGATACAGCAGTGAGGGCAATTGAATCTGCCCTCATGCTGCTTCCATGTATCAAATAGGGCAGACTTGGGGATTCATGGAGTAATAAATTATATAAAGAACAAAAACACAGAAGTAGGTCAGAACTGGAGAAGGTATGACAAGACTTTTTTCAGACAGGATGTGTTAGCAAAATAATAAACTTTGCCAGAGAACCACCCAGACATCCAGGTACATAGAACAAAGAACGGTTTATTGCCAGAAGAGGGGGGCCGGCAAGACTTCTTCTCACAAGGGAGGAATGAGAAGAAGCACCAGCTATTGTCGAAACCTAAGAGGTTTAGGAGGGGCTAAAAGGGGATAGGAGGTTCTGGTGTGGACCTGTGGGCCAGGGGCTTTATCATGGTGGGCTAGGATTTATGGCTGCTATCCAAATAGTAGGTAAGAGTCTTGCAATTGCCCAGACCTAAAGGTCATTTTAAATGGCTCTTGTTGCCTTATATGGTGATAGCTGCCCCAGAGAAGTGCCATCCCAAGGTAAAGGGGGCTGGAAGTAGTTTATTTACTGCCTTTACTACATGGGCCTAGTGTTGCTTAGGAAGGGAGCATGCTAAGGTATGGAAAAGGGAAGGAGTGGACTAAGCTATGGGAAGGGACTCATTTTGCTAACAAGATGGTCAGGAGAGAAGTCTTCTCTAAGGAGGTGGGAACCCAAATGTTGCATGAAGGTGGTAGATTTGGGGCTGTGGAGACAGAACATTTGAAATTTAGGGAACAGTAAACAGAGGATGGAGGTTGGAAATGCAGGCTGGGGGAGAGAGGGGGGAACAAGTTTAGTGATTTCAAGACCACAGGATGAGAGTGGGCTCAAGAAGAGCAGGAGAAAGAAGAGCTGAGTTCTACAGAGTATGTGGAATTCAGATCTTCCATAACCCCTGAAGCTAGAAAGAAAGGAAAATAAGAGTCAATGCTTATAGTGGCCAAGGGGATGATTGGTGTCTACCTGACATTTTGTAAAATTCACCCTGTCCACTCCTTGGAGACTGCAGAAATATACATGTTCTTCTGTTATCTAGAAAGAATAGTTCCCTTTTCCACACAAGAAGGGTTAAGTATATGCATTTCCTGCTGTGAGAAAAAAGACTCATCTCTTTATAACTGATGGTTCCAGTTCTGTGTTTAACCATTTACTACATAGTGTCTTTAAAGTATATAAAATAGTTAATAGTTTAGCAATCTATTGCATATTTTTAAAGCATGAGACAAAAAAGCATTGCAAAGAAAATGTAAGTGGCCAACAGAGAAAAGAGATTGGGCTATGAAGAGGCCATTCTACAGCTGTGAAGTATCTTCCCCTGGTCCTAGAAGAAAGAAGGTTGTAGTTTCCTAGGAGACAGCAAGACTCCAGAGAAGATCCTATGGCATCACAAGAGCGTCTGTGTCCTACATGTGGCATGAAAGCAGCAGGACATGTGTGAGAGTCACAGGAATTTCATGGACAAGGACAAAGGCTACATGGGCTGAGTAGATGACAGAGAACTAAAGGAGCATACTTGCTCTCTTGACAGCCTGACACTGCATAAGACTTCAGAACTAGAAAAGAGACACACCTCAAAAATGGCTGTAGCTAAATCCAATAAGATGATGTCACGACAAAACTAAAATTACATTCAAAACTAAATACATGTGGGATGTATCTTACATGCCTGATTTTATGGGCTAAGATTTATATATGATCAAATAGAAGAAGTATCTTACCATTGCTCTTCTGCAATATAAAAAAGTTTTCATAAAATGATCCAGTCCCAAATTTGATGTTCGATCCTTTTCTTTGACATTAAGAACTAACTGAGAGTCAGACTCATACATTATTTGTGGCTTACAAAGAGTTTCTTCCTTGGCTTTAGCATTCAGAAGTTCAGAAAATTCTTCATACTCTACAGTTTAAAAAAAAGGTATAACATTATTTTTAAAACAGCATAACACAAACATCAAATGAGCAATCCAAATACTAAATGCTCCATAAAATTTGGAGCAAGGGTAGACTAACAGAAGCACAACAAAGCAGGGGAAGTTACCAAAGACAGGTACTTAAATGTGAGAGCACAGGCTGGATTTAGTCATGTATAAAAATACGGAAAACATTTCATGCAACAGTGAAGGCAAAAGGTATAATGCAGAGAGAAGAATGAACATATTTAGGGAGAGCAATGACAATCCCACTGGTTTTTAATTTCCTCCAAGTAGTTATATCCATGACACATGCACTACAGAGCAAGTTTCACTCTGAGTTCATCAGTGCAGCAACCTTGGCCATTCATTTTCCTGCAGGTATAGCAGCAAAACAGAAACACTGTGATGAATGTAATGGCATACATCATAATCTAAACTTCTAGAGACGCAGAGTCAGGACGATCATGATTTGAGGTCAGCATGGGAAAAGTTAGCAAGACCCTGTCTGGAAAAAAAAAGCTAAACTAAAAGCAAAAGCCTATGTGTAAGAGAAGGGGAGGGTATATAGTTCAAATGATAGAGTTCTTGTCTAGTGAGCATGAGGCCCTAAATTCAATTCTTAGCCCACCCCCAGTACTACAAAGCAGTAATGATTTTCCTCTCACAATCTTCTTTTCAAACTACCATACAACAATTCTCAGTAGCAGAATACCCTATTGCTAATAGAATTTTAGGTTATAACCAGGAAAATTTTAGATATTATAATCTTATACAAAAATCAGTCTATACCTATGGAATTTACCATCAATATACAAAAATATTATTTGCAAGAACCAGTTAAACCTAATTTATGCTTAAAAGAAATTAGCATGTTAAGTATGTGAATCAGCACTACTGATGTATTAAGACCTTGATTAATAATAATTTATAAGGATCTTAAAATGCTAAATAAATGGGTTTGTGATAAATGAAGATAATAAAAATAAATTTTATTCATAACACGGGTGGTATTTGAGTGACTATCTACTGGTTGGGAAGTGTGTTCAGTCTCTCCATCTTTGCAGAAAAGCTTATAAAATCATCCATATTTGGCACATGTCATCAGCACAGCACTCAGATTCAGAAACATGGTATGCACTGACTCTATCTCCCAGGGTCCCCTGACACCTAACATTTCTTGGTCCTGTTAGCAAAATATTATTTCATTCATCTTGGAGTGAGATTTTACAAAAGGTGCTAGTTGGAGATCCTAGGGCAAAAAGTGAACTGTCCTTTGACAATAAATTCATCTGTTATGAATATTTTTGTGCTTGTTTTATGTTAGTACATTTAGTGGAATTAGAAAAGTTTCTTCTACTAAACCAGTAGAAATAATAAGTCTGATAACAGTTCTTCAACTGTCTTTAACCACTCGATGCAACAATATTTGACAAGAGCAGAATAGTCAAATGGGTTTATATTGGAACATACAGAATAGGTATTTATGAATATATGTGATGACACAATAAAATATCTATTTTTAATACAGCAAATTCCATACCAAAACTCTATGACTTGCCAGGTTCAGGAGGCTCATGTTTGTAATCCTAGCTATTCAGGAGGCTGAGATGTGAGGACTGAGATTCAAAACCAGCCTAGCCAGGAAAGTCTTGAGAATCTTATCTCCAATTAAACACCAGAAAGCTGGAAGTGGAACTGGAGCTCAAGTGGTAAAAAGAACTCGTTAAGCACAAAAGCTCAGAGACAGCACCCAGGCCCTGAGTCCTGAGTTCAAGCCCCAGAACCAACATCACACACACACACACACACACACACACACACACACACACACACACACACACTTCTATGACTCAAGTAAATATAGCTGGAGTTTTGGAAAAGGGCATGTATACCTTTTTGTGCCCAGGGGTGTGTGCATACGTATGTTTGTATATGTGACTGTGTTACCAATAAATAAAAACCTACAGACAATTAGTAAATCAAAATACTTATCTTACCTGGTGATAAAGTTCCCTTCTTTTTTTTAGTTGAAAGGAAATTAAGTATTCCCTTGTAGTTTTCTACTTTCAATTTTGCTGTTGGTAATACAGTTCCTGAATTATATAGTGAGAACAGATTAGGATCACAGGTTCGGAAACTGCAAATGTAAATAAACCACACTTAAAAACGATATAGACAAAACTGAATAAAGTATGTCAAATACAATGCATTTTTATTTTTTAAAAATGTAATAAGCTCTCAAACATTTTGATGGGCTCTCAAATTTTAGAACATAAATTTGGGCACTTAAAGCCTTTCTTATTAACTTTTAAAATTATGCAATGTAAGCCTGCTCTTAAGAATTTTAAATTAATATCTAGTTCCCTGAAAGTATGATTGAAAATGAAAATTAAAAAATCTACACTCTCTCAAAGAGCACTAGAACAAAAATTTGTGTCAGACTAAAGCCAACTGACTTAAGTGCAACTCAGTGAAGATGGCTACTATATAGAACAAAATGTCCATAACTGCTATTTCTTTTTAAAAATAAAGACTAAGCCATAAACAGCTTTCTACCAAAAACAATTAAATAGGTACTATATATATAAAATCAAGGTCTTAATAAAATCAAAGTTAGCAGCAAGTTACAATTACACAAATTTAGTCAATGTCTTATTGTGCTAGCATGAGACCATGTATATTTTGTTATACATAATTGGAAGTTGAAAGACTTCCTCATTCCAGAATAGTAAGGAAATCTATCTTTTCCCTGCCAGTGATTTTAACCAAAATTCTGGAGAAGCACAGATACCAGAACAAAATTCAAGTGGATTTCAATTTATGTATCTTTTCCTCATTACATTATTAAGATACATACTCTCTTAACTCATATTCCTGTCCCTAGTCTTTTCTCTCTTCAATCCATTTGTATGCTACTGCTATAGAAATTTCTTATAATGGCACTTCTCAAAAATCTTCAATAAACTGGGTTCTTGCCATTTTAGCTTTGTAGGAGGCTGAGATTGGGAGGATCACTGTTCCAGGCTAACTCGGACAGAAAACTTAGAAAGAAAACTCTAAATAGTAGAAATGGGGCATGGTGGTATCATATGAGCTCAGACAAAAAGGCTAACATAGATGGATCACAATGTAGATATGCTCCTGGGCTGGAGGTGAGACCTTATCTCAAAATAAACCATGTTAAAAAAAAAAAAAAGCAGGGCTGGAGGCATGGCTAAAGAAAGGTCTTACCTGCTTAGCAAGAACAAAGCCTTGAGTTAAAAAAAAACTCCAGTACTGCAATAGTACTAATATTTATACTAATAATAGTACTGATCTAATAATGATAATCCTCAATAACCCCCTACTGCTTAGGTTTCATAGGAATCCATGATCTGGTACCAATTTACTCTTCTAATTACTTCACACCACGCCCTTTCATATGCCCTAGAATCTGGTCAGACTACTTGAGGTTCTTATCCTGTTTCTGTGCTCCTGCAACTACCAAAAACACCTATTTTCCCACTTGCTCACTTCTAAACCTTGCCTATTCATGCCTGCTACATCTAGCCAGAAGAGAATAGTCCAAGGAAGATGACACCTTTCATTGTAGGTACTAGTGAACATCGGTGATACAATCTACCAGTCTCTTACTTGTACATCTTCCTCATCTTCTCGTATGTGCTACAGCTAACTCAGTACTTGGCAGATATTTTTTGCATCATAGGTACTATATAACCTTTTTAATGGTTACATGACATTCCATATTATGTACTTATCTTCTATTTCCCTCAACACTTAGCCAAAAGCACTCAAAAGAGTTCAAAAATGTCTATTAAACTAATGACAGAACTTTATTATATGAGAAAACACAATCTCTTTATAGAGATTTCAAATATAGAAAAGAAATATTTTCATCAGGTATACTAACATTATCATGAAATTATCCTTGCACTGAAAGCCAGACTGACACATATGCGGGATTTATACAAGTTAGAACTTCATAAGTAAGGATTTATATCCCCAGCACTTGTTTGGAAAAGATTCTGACATGCTAAATTAAGAAATATCACAATGGCTAGAATACACAGGGATGTTCTATAAGCCTCAGAGTCTTGGGCATACAAATGCACAATCCATGTTCATGAGGCTAACAAAGTGTGATTTACTAATGCTATACTATACCTGACCAATGGGTGTGAAGTGCCAGGTTTCGCCTTCGTGCGCTCCCCTAGCTTTTGTAAAAGCAAGTGGTAGTGTGCGCTTGCCAGAAACAGGTTCATCTGAGCTCTCCAAGGCATTTCCTCAAGAAATATTTGATGAAATCTCTTCTTTCTAATGTAATTTACTACTATTGGAGTCAAGCAATCTCTCAAGCTTCGGGATGCTATTTTTCTAACATCAGCTCTCTTATTTCTGCCAAGGGAGAAAGATGTTTAAAATTGCACAACTTCCAAGTATGTAATAAAGAAAAAGGTTTCTAATTATCACAAAATACATTAAGAAGATACTTGACTTCCCTTATGCAAATGTTTCTGGTTTGCTTATCATTTCCTCAGTGCTAAAAATGTGAAATAGGATGGAAAAGAAGACAAGGATAAGCACCAGAGAAAACGACAACACATATTGCCTTGAAGCTTCTCCCATGTTCCAACCCAACCTAGAGATTTTCTTGTCCATAACCAAAGGTTACTGGGATTTAATGCTCATACTCATGGAGCAAAATTTTGCTTAATATGAAACTCTAAAGGAAATGAAAATAGTCAAACTTAAATTATATGCTACAGAAAAGATTTTCAAATTTTAGTTAATATTTAAGTTTGGTTTTAGTTTGGGTTTGAGCTGCTTGAGATAATATTTCCACTATGTTGCCCAGATTGGCCTCAAATTTACATCCTCCTACTTCAGACTTTACATGTTTTAGTGATATCTTATTTGGGTTCTTAATTATTAATTTTTAAATAATTATCATGAAAATTATAAACATTAGTCTTTTCCATATGTGAGGTCAGTTCTCAAAAAGGCCAGGAAGCTCCCAGGTGATTAGCCATATCCTCCTTGCTCTTGAAAGTGAAAGTTAGAAGAAAGGCTTCCTTCAGATATGATGTTGATTGACAGACTCCACATGGCTTGGAAGGGCACTAACCACAGCCTACCAATGATGTAGAATGCCTCTCATTTCATCATCTCAAAGTCTGTTAACATTATCGAATTCCAACAACCACATTTATCACACTGGTAGTGATGGCCACACAAGTTTTACAAATTGTTTAGAATAATATATATATATATATATATATACATGCACACATATAAAATTTCCGTAATCTGAATGAGGTCCATGGATTTTATCAGTGTCAATTTCCTGTGATATTGTACAACAATCAGACACTCTTAGAAACTAGACGATGGCTTTATGGAGTCAATTTCTTATAACTGCATATAAATCTACAATTATCTGAAAATAAAATGCACTATACAACAAGTATGTCCACATTATAAAGTATTCAAGATTAAATTTAGGGCTATATACTACAGACTAGAAAGAAAAGGAAATAAGAGGTTAGAGTATTGCAAAGGAATCAGCAGAACATTATCTGTTCACAGTTTGAATTCCCATTCAAAAAATTAAAAAGCTGATCTAAGAAAAGCAGAGAATAAAATAATGGTCACTAGAAAGCATATGTAGAGAAAGATAAATAGATGTTAGATAATATAGTTAAGATAGGAGGGATTTATTCAAGTATTCTACCACAATAAGATAACAATGCTTAACAAACATTTATTTTTAAAAATTTATTGTTTCAAAATAATCAGATTCCCAACAGATAGAAAAGATAAATATTAGAGGAGATGGAAATTCTATCATCGTACATTGTATACATGTATTAAATCAGCATACTGTACCCCATAAACATGTACAAACATGACATGTAAATTAAAAACATCAAAAGAATATTAGATTCTCCTTCAAAATAAGGAATCTCCTCACTAAACTACTGTTACCACCAATTGCTCTACAACCAGTTATCCTACAGCGCATCATTCTTCTCATTCATAAAATATATAGGACTTTAAAATATCTGCTTGGTGTTTCTAAACTTAGTTACTTCATTCTTGTCACCAGTACACAAGCTCCTTGAAGACTATGATTTTTTATGCCTAGTTCACCAGTGTATCCTCCATACCCGAAATAGTGCCTGACACCTGCCAATAAATGTTTGAGGTGTTGTTTTTTTATTTTTCATTTTTTGGCCTGGAGCTAGAACTCTGGGCCTGGGTGCTGTCCCTGAGTTGTTCTGCACAAGGATAGCACTTTACCACCTGAGCCATAGCTTCACTTTTGGCTTTTTAGTAAATTGGAAATTCAAGTGTCGTAGACTGTGCTGCCTGGACTTTGAATCAGGATCCTCAGATCTCAGACTCTTGAGTAGCTAGGATTACAGGCCTGCGCCACTGGTGTCTGACTCACATAGCAATAAACGTAAGCTTTTAATTAATTACTTAATACCTTTCATGTTCTGGCAATTCAAGTAAATTTTGATTTTTGGAAAAAAAATCCTTGAGGGTTTCTCTTCTTCTACGTCTTCTCCTTGCTCCAACTTCTGAACTCTTAGTAGATGGGATAACAAAAATATTCCAAATTAAATATAAGCTTTGAAACAAACACTTAATGCTTATCTTCTAAGATTGAGACATAAGAGTTTCTCTCTATCATTCAATTGAAATTACTATCAAATGTAATGTTAATACCCCTAGACAAAGATCTTTGACTATAAAAACCCTATATGATAACTTAAGAATCTATAATGTATCACAGAATTACAAAATTATGTTTTTGGTATTTCCTTCTGTTTCATATTATAAAATTAAAATGTAGTCAATCATTTCTAAATACATGATCTCATAATTTTTTTGTCAGTCATGGGTCTTGAATTCAGGGCCTGGGCACTGTCCCTGAATTCTTTTGCTCAATATGGCTCCACTTCCAGCTTTCTGGTGATTAATTGGAGATAAGAACCTCACAGACTTTCCTGCCTGGGCAAGGTTTTGAACCATGATCCTCAGTTTCCTGCGTAGCTACAATTAGAGAGTCATGAGTCACCCCAAGCTTGGCATAATCTCCAAGTTTCATTAACTTAAAATTCAAAACTCACTAAAGCTACCAGCACAACTATGTTCATTGCAGCATTATTTACCATAGCTAAGAATTGAAATCATCCCAGATGTCCCTCAGTAGATGAATGGGTCAAGAAAATGTGGTTAATATACAAATGGAATTCTATGCTTCCATAAGAATGGCATCATCCCATTCATAAGGAACTGGAAAGACTTGGAAAAATTCTATTAAATGAAGTAAGCCAGACCCAAAGAAACATAGGCTCCATGGTTTCTCTCATTTATAATAATTAGTATATGTCTAGGACAGTCCTAGCAAAGGATCACAATAGCTCAATAGCCATACACATATGACATGTAAAATGATGCTAATAGAAGTGAACTCCAAGAAATGGAGACAAGAGGGATTTTTGTATTTTTTAATGTATTGTGTGAAATTATTTCTTTTTTCATTCATTTTTCCTCCTTTGATTTATCCCCATTGTTACTGTCTTTGATTTTGGTACATACATTTCGCTATTGGGGAAGGAAAGGGGAATAACAAAATGGTGAGACAAAGTACAAAGGGTGATTCAATGCAACAGCGATACTCACAAGACACTATGTTGGAAGTGAACTTTACAAATTGGAGGTAAGGAGAACCGAGGGGTAGGGGAAGTGGGAAAAAATGAGGAAGCAGGTAACACTATTTGTCAATAAATGTACTCACTACCTTACTTATGTAACTGTAACCCCTCTGTACATCACTTTTACAATAAAATACAAGTTTAAAAAATTCAAAACTCAGAAGAAACTTACTTTTCCAATCTCTATTATTACAGCCTTGAACTTCTTTGGATATTTCCCTGTCTTTTTATTAAAAATATTTTCCTTATATTTTTGTTTCTTTACTCCAAGTAGAGACTCATTCCTCCTAATATAAAAAGATAAAGTTAGCCAGAAAGATCTGCAAAAGGTATCAAACTACCCAAAAGTAATAAAATGTTACTGAATTCTATTACTAAAATTATGTAAGAATGAAATCCAAAAACTGCTGTGTCCCATTCATAAATCAGACAGTGATCTCTGTTCATGGAGAAACAGAAGGCCTCTGAGAAGAGCAAATCATCAGTCATACTATAAGATACAAGGAGCTGATGTGTCTATAAGAAATGGACAAGAATTGAAGGCATCATGTAGACATAAAGAAAATAAATACAGATAATTCCCTTTACACTAAGAAAAAAAACTATATCAGAGTAACCTAAGACATATCTATCTTGTGAGAGCTCCAGCAACTACTGACTTCTGGATACCAAGAGAAGCCAAACACTACATATCTGTTGAACTTTCTTCCTCTCCTAATCATGCAAAGGAGTTCTTGACCTTCTCTTCACATTTATGAACTTTAGTGGATTCCCCTTCTCCAAATGATTATCCTTCTATTGATACTTAGCAGTTAATTTTTTTTCTAAAATTTATATACTTTCTAGAATTTACATTTCTTTTAGGAAGTACTTGCCAGGTACAGAAAAATTCTGCTGTAACATGACAAATGGGATCCAAAAATGTAAATTGAATAAAATGAAGAAGTGCAGCAGTACAAGGTTAATGCAGTAACTGGGTGTACAGATAACTAATTCCTGGAGTTAGAATGTATTATATGATCTAGTCCATCTTGGTCCCACTGGCAGTTGCCCGGCCACTTCAATTTTTATGAAGACTAAAATCCTATGGTTGGTTGGGACTCCAGCACAGTTGCAGCAACTTCAAGAATCTCCCAGTTAGCTGATATTCATTTATGCTTTTCTTTTCTGGCTGAGATAGAAAGCCTTAACCAATCATTGGTAGGGGGTTGGGGACTCAAACTCTGCAACTTACATCCTGAGATCAATTGCCTGCCATATTCCACTGAGATTAGTCTCTTCTCCATGTCTTTCCTATCATACCAAATATTTGAAGGTTGTGTTATGTTGCTCCAGAAATAAATGAGAAGGTAAAGAGAATATAAAGATATATACACTTAGACTACCACACGCCTCAGCATTTTCCTTCATGCACTAAAATACTTGGAGCCACTGGGCACATCAAACTTATCTACTTGGTGACTTCAAAGCTTTGCTGGTTTTCAATGCTGTTTGTGGTATGTTTAAAAAAAATTGTGCCAGGGGCTGGGAAGGTGGCTCAGTGGTAGAGTGCTTGCCTTGCAAGCATGAGACCCTGGGTTCAATTCCTCAGCACCACAAAAGCAAAAAAAAAAAAACCGGAAGTGGTGTGACTTCAGTGGTAGAACACTAGCTTGGAGCTGAAGAGCTGAGGGATAGCACCCAGGCCCAGAATTCAGGCCCCACAACCAACAACAACAAAAAATAATAATTGTGCCAGTATGGGGCCTGAGCTCTGTCCCTAAGCTCTTTTGCTCAAGGTTAGCACTCTATCACTTAAGACACAGCTCTACTTCTGGCTATTTTGGTAGTTTATTGGAGAGAAAAGTCTCACAGACTTTTCTGCCTGGATGGCACTGAACTGCAATCCCCAGTTTCAGCCTCCTGAGTAGCTAGGATTACAGTTGTAAGTCACCAGCACCTGGTTTATGGTTCATGGTTTTGTTTTGACAGATCATATTTTAAAATTTTTACTCAGTCAGCATTATTGATCTTCTAATTTATGGAATTCATTATTTTTATTCTTATAAATACCTGTCTTTAACATTTTGGTCCCAATGGTTTCACATATATATTCTTACTACCTCACAAACATAAATATGTTATATATACTAAGAATGACTGACTTATATATTACTTCCCACTTTCTTTTTTTGTCATGGGGCTTGAACTCAGAGCCTGGGAACCATCCCTGAGCTTTTTAATTCAAGGATAGCACTCTACCATTCGGAGCCACAGCTCCACTTCTAGTTTTGTGGTGGTTAATTGGAGATAAGAGTCTCACAGACTTTCCTGCCCAAGCTGGCTTTGAACCATGATCCTCAGATCTCAGCCTCCTACGTAGCTAGGATTATAGGCATGAGCCACTAGCACCCTGCTTACTTTCCACTTTTTTATTCTCTTGTTATAGGGCTCTGCTAACACAGCCTACTAAAGTCAATATACTAGAAAACTATACTCATGTTTTAAAATAGCTTTATGTGAAATAAAAATTATCCACTTTTAATTATGAAAGAATTACTCTAAACAAATTTGAATTATTCAATTTTTTAAATTTTTACTCAACTGTTACAAAACTTTCTAGAAAATCATTACTTTCAACTAGATTTTTAAAGCTATTAATGTTAACTTATAATTATGCTAAATTATTACGATTGTTAAAGAATCATCTATTGGAGTTAACCAATTAGATTCTCTTAGAACCAACTTATAATTGACTAATTTCAACTTTTATTGTTTTCTTCTTTCTTTGGTTTCTTTCCTTTTTTGTTTGTTTGTTGCTGTTATTGGTCATGAGGCTTGAACTCTGGGCCTGGGTGCTGTCCCTCAGCTCTTCCACTTAAGGAAGGCGCTCTACCACTTAAGCCACAGTGCCACTTCCCGTTTTCTGGTGGTTAATTGGAGACAAGAGTCTCATGGACTGTCCTGCTCAGGGTGGCTTTGAACCAAATCTCTGAACCTCAGATCTTAGCCTTCTGAGTAGCTAGGATTACAGGCATGAGCCACAGATGCCTGGCCTATTTTTTGATGTCAATAAAATTCTACCTAATTTTATTTTCTTACTTTGTAACAGAGACTTTTAAACATAATCTGTCTCTTGGGGCTGGGAAGGTGGCTCAGTGGTAGAGCACTTGCCTTGCATGCCTGAGGCCCTGGGTTCAATTCCTCAGCACCACATAAGCAAAAAGAAAAAAGCCAGATGTGGCACTGTGGCTCAAGTGGTAGAGCGCTAGCCTTGAGCTGAAGAGCTGAGGGACAGTGCCCAAGCCTAGAGTTCAAGCCCCATGACCGGACACACACACACACATACACACACACTCACACACACACACACACACACAAATCTGTCTCTAACTGCTATTTCATATACATTTAAAATCTAGGGTTCCTCATTAGAATTATTTTCAAGAGCACTTTTTTTTTTTTTGCCAGTCCTGGAGCTTGAACTCAGGGCCTGGGCTTTGTCTCTGGGCCTCTCTCATGTTCAAGGCTAGTGCTCTACCCCTTGAGCCACAGCACAACTTCTGGCTTTTTCTGTTTATGTGGTACTGAGGAATTGAACCCAGGGCTTCATGCATGCAAGCATTCTACTACTAAGCCACGTTTCCAGCCCATAAGAGTACTTTACACTAGGTTTAGTCCTTTGACTAAACATATAAATGTTATTCCCTTCCTATTTTTCCTTACTGCTAAGTGACATCTTAAACTTTATGTACATTTAGTTTTGACTAAATTTTTAACTAAAACAAATGCTTTAATTGTGATCAATTCTCTGATTTTCATTGCATGCTGCATTTAGCAAAAGCTATTCCTTCCTTTACTTTTTGAAAATATGAGCTCATCTATCCCAAACTTTTTCTCTAATGTATAAAGTACTTATTTTAAAGAGTTTTTAAAGAAATGTTTCTCTACTCTTTTGCTACCATTTTTTAAAATCTCATGTTACTGATATTTACTTTTATTAAAATGAAATGGATAGATTTATGTCCTATGGTGTCAAAAAGCCCACTTATCAGTTATTGCAGGGTAAGCTGAATTCATTTAGGTTCCCTCATAGTTGGCATGAGACATGATCATTTTCCCTGGGAGCAAAGAGAATTATTCAGGCTAAGAAAATAAGAGGGTCCACCTGTACAGGTGGACCCATTGCAACAATGAGAAGTACAAGTTGTTATGTCGAAAACAAACTTTACAATTTTGGGGGTGGGGAGCGGGGAGGATTGCGTGGGGAGGCAGAGGGAGGATGGGAAGGGGAAACAAAGGAGGAGGCAACAATGCTTGATAAGAAATGTACTCATTATCTTGCCCATGTAATTGTAACCCCTCTGTACAGTATTTTCACAATAAAAAATAAATAAAAATTTTAAAAAAACAATAACAACAACAACAAAAAGAAAATAAGAGGGATAACTTTAAGGCTTACTACTTCTATCTCAGAGACGTCTCATTCATACATACAAATGGAAATGATATGAAATGGTTCCTGCTCATTAAGACAGGAGAATTAGAAACCCGTGATACACAACCAATATTGGACTTTAAATATGTGTATGAAGGGGCCAAAGGCCACACATCTATCCATCCTGGCCCAATAGAAAAGACCTAATCTATTTCCTGTTGGAAATCTGAACAAGCTCTAGCCTTATTTCTTCATTCAGTTACATAAATATTTTTACATTTACTTGCTGACACAAACATAAATCTTCACTATCTCCCAGGTGACAACTACATAACCCACCCCACTTCTTTTTTATCCAGCTCTGTGACTTAAGGTTGTAAACTTAAGGTTATAAAACTGATATTGCAAGTACCTTCTCAAGAAGTCATGAACAGGAATAGTTATCTCCACCAAAATGTGAAATTTTTCATCATTCAGACACTTAAGCATAACCTGTGTAAAGAATTCCAGGAATCTAGGTCTTTGCTTAAATTTCATAACTGTAAAAACAATTAAGTTTAGATACAGTTACCAATATAGTAATTATGGGTGCTGAAGCATTACTAGTACTAATAATAATTTGTTCCAAGTAGAGGGTTCATTAACTTGTCTTTTTGATTTCTTACTTTAAAAAAATATGAGTTTGATGTGAAGTATTAGTTTTTCTAACACCAAATAATACTTTACAGTCTATATTTCTCCCACATCTCAAAAAGTCTCAGTGCTGAGAAAGCTTGCATTCAAGTTGGCTTTACTGTATGAATCACTAGCAAAGGGGCAAAGGTTAGTAATTGTCATAAGTAGTTATTTCTTGTCTTATTGTACATAGTTAAGGTCATAACTATACATAGTTTATATAGATAATATTTCACTCTGGGTTGCTGTCTCTTCATAGTTGAACTTAAAAAATCACTAATGCACTTTTCAATGCCCTCAATTTTATAAGCTGTCTTAATTTTATATGCACTACCAAAAGAAGTCACCATGATGCTTCTTTCTTTCCGGTACATATTTAGGTGTGTTTCACTACTTTGCATTTAAAATTCTGCAGTATTCTGAATGGGTAAGAACCAAAAATATTCTACTGAGAGCAGGTGAAATCTTTATAGACTCCACACCATAACCATTCCTCAGTAGTAAGCAAACAGCACGTGCACATTCAGATCACCTACCTTCCTTCACAGAATTTTTCACAGACCAATTTAAAACCACAGGATAAAGAAAGATAGGGTCCTCTATTCCTGAGAGTTCATACGAAGTATCTAAGTTTAAAAGAAAATCAGTAAGCTTCAGGTTTTGTTCTGAACAACCAAGAATAAAAATTCTTTGGAACTCTGAAATGTATAAGACTATCATTAATTTTTGAAGCTTACAAAGAATACTGTAACCTCAATTGTTTCCTTTCATTATTTTCCCCTAAAATTTAAGGGACTCACCACCAAAACTATAAATTATATTAAATTTTTCCTAGTATAATTATTATCTTTCAAAGTCAGTAAAGTAGAGCAGAGCCACTAGCACCAGACTGGCTGGGTTCAAATTCTAACCCTGATACTCTTTAATTTTGTGAAACCTTGGGAAGTTACCTAGTAACTCTCTATCTCAGTGTTCTTATCTTTAAAAATGAGGATAATATGTTCATTTTTTATTTGGTTGTTATATATTATTTATATAACTCTTAATGTGCATCAAATACTTAAAATAGTGTCTGACACATGGAAAACACTGCCTAAAATATGATTTTTATTATTTTTATTTGTTACTGGTTGACTAGTAATATCAAATTGCACTTCTTAGTAAAATGTTTTATTGCTATTGTAAAAGTGAACAAATCACCTTTATAGAACATTTTATATATAATGGTTTATGCTTTTATATGTAGCAAGAAAATTACACTTTTTCAAAAACTAGGTTTACTAATTTTAGGAATGAGAGAACATTGATTTCAATTAGTAAATTTTCCTCAGAATCAGAGTGGAAGTTGAAAGAATGTAAACAGTAAAACCACCAAACAATCAAATTTTGTGAGGCATACAGTAAGAAAGTTTACATGGGGCCATAGAATTATATAAATTCAGTAGTTCCTAAAAGACCAGAGGGCCAAGTGAGAGAAATGTAGATACTGCTCTCTTGTTCTTTAAGAAGATTTTTAATATCCTTTTAAGAAAAATGTGACAACAGTAATCATCATCAGAGATTAAGTCAGTTTTACAGACAGCTTTCTCCAAAATGCCCAACATTGCATTAATACATTATTAGTTCATTATAAAATTACTGCAATAGAATTCCTAAAATGTAATGTGTACATTCATATAATGGAGATTGAACTTGGGGCTTTTTTGTGCTCTCGCTTGGCTTTTTGCTCAAGACTGGTTCTCTGCCACTTGAGCCACAACTGTAATTACAGCTTTTTGCTGTTAGAGATAAGAGCCTCACAGACTTTTTGCTTGGGCTGGTTTTTGAACCCTGATTCTCAGATCTCAGCCTCCTGAGTAGCTAAGTGCTTGGCTTTTTCACCATACTTTCTAATTATTAAGCCATGGTTCAAACCTCTTACATATGAACATTCCTCACACCATCTCTTGTTTGTTGCATTCCTGCCTTGAGAACAGTGATTTACAGTTTTAGGTCATCTTTCTCCCATCCCACCACCAATACATTTGGCAATATTTGATTCCCAGTTGTTTCTCATGACTGAGGGAAGATGTGCTATATTTCTACATGCAAAGTTCAAGTGTGCTTCCCAATATCTTATAGTGCCCAATATAGTCCTTCCACCATAAAGAACCTTATGACCCCAAAATAGCAATAGAATCAAGGTTAAGAAAAATCTGCTTTAGTATTAGAAGACCTAGTATTAAGTTCAAGCTGGTAATATAATCCTCAGTAAACCGTTTATCTTTCCAAGACACATTCATAAGAAGCAATTAGCAATCCCTTATTAACAAGGCATTATGAGGATTAATGACATAACATAAAAGCACCATATAAGCCTTAAAGGGTTTCCCAAACATGAATCTTGTCTTAGTACTTTTAAGAAAATATATTCTTATTTTCTGAAACATAATGACAAAAAGTATATACAGAAAAAATTTACATTGTCTTGTCATTTTGAGTAGGTATGTCTCCAATGTGGATAGCTGCTCATTTATTTTTTCAGGGAACAGTACCTGCTGAGGCTTCTTAGGTTTTAAAGGTTTCTTCAAAGAATTCTAAAAAAAAATTGGTTAAATGTCAGAATGCACTTTAACATGTTATAACAAATAACTTTCTTTAAATTGCATTTTAATTTTTTCATATTTGGCAGATAAAACTATGATTGGTTGGGCTGGGAAGGTGGCTCAGTGGTAGAGTGCTTGCCTCGTATGCATGAGGCCCTGGGTTTGATTCCTCAGCACCACATAAGCAAAAAGAAAAAAGCCGGAAGTGGCGCTGTGGCTCAAGTGGTAGAGCGCTAGCCTTGAGCTGAAGAGCTGAGGGATTGCGCCGAGGCCCAGAGTTCAGGCCCCACAACCGGACCCAAAAAATAAAAAATAAAATAAATAAAAAATAAAACTATGATTGGTGTGCTAAAACAATAACAATTAGTTAGTCTCAATAACATTATATTCTAACCAAAAGCCAGACCAAGTCTATTCAAGAATAACCCAAATTCTTTTTCCTTTCCTTTCCCTTCCTTCCAGTATTTTCCATCCCTTTAATGAGCCCCATCCCTTTAACAAGCCACATCTCTCTCATGAAGGTTATATATCCAATGTCTCCAAAAGAAAATCTCTGGAGTCCACTCATGAATGTATTCTTTTATTCTTTTCTTTCCTAAACCTTTTCCAGAATGAATTTCTTTACAACTAAGCTAATTACCTTTGTGCTTTGCCTTTCAGTAATTAGTAGATTAAGAAATGGCCTGTCTATGTTCAAGCTCTTTATATGTATGCTCTGTCTGAACCAGAGAACTAACCTCTCAATGTCTACTGTTACCAAAACAAAACAAAATATGCCAAGCCTAAAAGGACCTTGGCAGGCTCTAAGAATTTCTGACTTGAACAAATGAGCAGTTCCTAAATCCTTGGTCAGAGAAAAGTATCTCAACCTTCTGTTGAACCAGAAGCTCCAAGGAGAATAGTGTGGGGTCCTGTCCCACAATAACATAATCCTCAGTCAAGGCCTAGGTGACTAAGGCACTGAGAGTAAACATTTCATCAAAAGAAAAAACTCAAATTGACTCCAACTTGTTTTGCCCCTCTAGACAAAACTTCCCCTCCAGTAACAAAAAGTCATGTAGTGATACAGTTGTGATTTATGAAGCCTTTGGGGGCAAGACAAATGCCTACATGGGAAAAGTAATGCAAACAAATGCTTATTTGCATTTTATCTCAGCACATACTAGAGACAGAAATGAGGTTAATCTAAGTGAAACCAGTGTTGGAGGCAGAGTCTCTACCCACATCCAAACCAACAAAGGACCTCCTTCGATCATTCCTGGTATGTCTCTCAGAGACCCAATAAACTAGTAACATTTCCAAACTTGATCTCAAAAATATTTAATCCACACGGTTTCAAAGGAAGGTAATAAAGCATAAGCTCTTATAAGACCCATGCTTAGGAGACAGATATTAAAAATTAGTCTCATAAAGAAGAAAACTTGGGTATCACAATGCATTTCAGAAATCTACTTTGAACATGAAATAAATAACTCTGGCATGTATTTACAATAAAAATCTTAGATTCAAAGGGGACTTCAGAGGGCTTTTAGCCAATGTCTGAGCTCTCTACCAACTCCTGAGAGCTGGTCGGTACTGGGACTACAAACTTCCAGTATGCTAGTGTGGATGAGCTTTTCACACAACCCTGCTCCTCCTCTCCCCAAAAAATTAAAAAAACTAAATAAACTCTTAACTCTATTAGTTTTCTTCTATGTAAATATGACAAACTAGTAATGGACCCATTTTCTAATATGTTTGATGCTAATAAATGAACCCTAAAAAAAACCCAAGTAAATGTATGAGTAAATATGAGAAACAAAACCATTACCTCCTCTATTACTTCTTCTGGCTCAGTAATACCAAATAGAGATTTGCAGCTTGATGTGGTGTCCAACATTCTTTTTCCATAATTTATCATCATTATTGCCAGGTCATATTCCTTCCATGAACGTAGAATCTAATTAAAATATGTATTGATTATCTCTGTTAGTTACTTTGGTCTATTCTCAAGTATCATGCATCATGAAGTCAGAGTCCCATAAATGTTTTAAGTTTAAGAACTTCTCTGTTTTTATTAAGCTAACTGGAGGCTTATTTCCCTAGAATTAAACAATATATGATTCTATTTTAAATAAAGGGCTGACAAATGATTCTTCAATAATAAATTCCCCCTGGGAATTTATACCCTGGGAGTATGGCTCAACTGGTATATCTGTCTAACAAGTACAAGGCCCAAAGTTCAAATCCCAGTTCTACCCAGTAAGTTTCCCTTTCCTTGGACCATATAGACATATGCTTTTGGTATAGTATTTGACTATTAAGAAACTATTTCCATTTAAAAAGTCTACTTTAAAATAGTCATTAATAAAGGTCACAAACCCATAGCCTCTTATTTTGAGTTAATTTTTTGTGGAAAACTGTTCAAGGACTGACCTCATGATGCCTTAGGGGGAGTTTATGTTGATCAAAGATTTGCTTGGTAATCTCTAGAGACCTGGTCAAGAGGTAGGCTATATTTGGCAGATTCTCTTGAGTACATTATGGAAAAGCATAAGCTTTAATAATAGAATTGTGCAGCATAATAATCTGCCAGTCCTTATTGGTATTTTCAAGCTTTCTCTAGTCTGGTATAATAATCTACCTATTTCCTTTAATCTTAGAGAACATTGAGCTGAATTAAATTCTGCCACCATCATATTTCAAGACCATGCCTTTCCCTAGCTAAGCCATTTTCCAGTACACCTGCCCTCTCCTTATTTATACAGACTCACTTGTCAATAAAACCATGACTCTACTAGCATCAACTGGCCAGCAACCTGATAGGCACTGATTCACTACCCTGGAAGTAAATTACATTCACTAGCTTCCCTATATGGCAACTAAGAGTATAATTAGGTGTATATGAATTTGTTGGGTATAGTTGCTTTCTGTTAAATTGAGTGAGTTAGTATTTTAAATACCTTTTACTTCCTGTGCATGGAAGAAACATATGAAGAAGCTGAAAAATAGCAACTTTCTAGATCTGTAAAACTGATCTACTGTGAAGAAATAGGAATGTTTTATATATACATACGTGTATGTATATATAATCTTTAAGTAGATATACAAAGGAATTGGCATTCAACAAAGCGGTTTATGAATAGAGTATCTTGATCAATGTTACCCCCTTTCAAAACTCTCACTCATCTCTCCCAACCCACCCCCTTCTCTCTTTTCTTAATTTTATAGGATATACTGAATTTGTTACTGTATTCTTCCCCTCTATTCTTCATCTGTTCCCCTCCCCTTCACCTCACACCTCACCCCTTCCAAGTAGTCATTCCTCTCTAAGAAATTATACTGTTTGACTTCTCCCATCCAAAGTATTTATATATTTATAAGCTTCCACATATGAGTGTAAACATGCAACCTTTGTCTCTCTGTGCCTCACTTTATTTAACATAATTTTTCCAAGTCTTTCCATAAGAAATGGGACTGTTTCTGTGGAGTCAGTACAATATGCTAAAATAAAAGCTAATGTTGATGGTAGAACAGAATGTGGGAAGGAAAATGGTGAAATAAAATTTAAAAAGGTAGATAAGGCTATGCTGTACTGGACCTTGAATGCTTACACAACAGTCCATTCTCGTTATAAAATGTATATGAGACAACTTTTGAACTAGAAATCAGAAACAAGTTAATGTGTACTTTCTACTCTACTATATTTTGCTTTCTGAAATATTTAGGTCCTAAGCTTATCCAGAACAGTACAATTTCCCCACATGTTTAAATATAGTAATAGAAAAATAGTAAATTATTTTCTAATCAAGAGGAAAACAGAGAAATAATTCCATGTAATATACCTAATGTTGAACACAAATAAAGGATATGACAGATGTTTAACACAGCAGCTTTAAAACAATGTAAAAATAACGAAGCATTTAAGATGGCAAGTCACAGAAGTGGTACTTTATTTGGAATTCTAGTCACTTTGGGCAGGGGTGGGGAGGCGGCAAGGTAAACATGTTGCTTAAAAAGGTTGAGCTATCTGAAAAGACTACTGATTTTTTTAACAAAACAGTAAAAAGAAATATACTTTTTGACAAATTAAGCTTTATACATTCTAAGAAGAAGTCTAGTATTGTTTATATCAAATAAAAGCTGAAATCTGGGACTAGTCCAAGATTCTGTGTTTGTCAGTCAGGCCAAGTGAAACTTCTAAAATTGCAGTGCTCAACATCACTTGGGAACATATCCAGCTCAAGTATCAAAATCCTGACATTAATATATTCTTTTAAAAACATGGTCAAAACATTTCTGGCACAACTTGGATTTCAATAACTCCTTAAGGTAGAAAAGAAGCAGGTGGGTTCATCAGGTAGTGCACAGATTCGGCCCCAAAATCACTGTTTGCTCAGAAGGAAATTGTGTCCAGAACTGAGGGAGGCAGCTGTCACTAGGACTTACTGCTTACGGAATACTATTTATTCTAAGCAGAACTCTCTCTCTCTCTCTCTCTCTCTCTCTCTCTCTCTCTCTCTCTTTCTCCCTCTCTCTTTTTTCTCTCTCTCATCTTCCACAGTGTTTGTCAAAGCCCTTCATTTCTTCTCAAATATCTGAAACCCACCTTTATTTTCCATCTTCATTATTAGCAAATGATCTGATTTCCTCTTTCTATTAAAGAAAAAGTAGGAACTAGTCATTTGTCTACTAGCCTATCTTCACACTTGGCCTGTATTTATACTATCTTCCCTGCAATCTGCTGTCTAAACTAATGTCTCTCACCTATGTGGGAATCCCACTGCTTCTGCATTCTGGGAACTTGCTTCAGTCATCCCTCTTCTTCTCCTACAACCTTATCATTTCCCCAGTTGAGGATCCTCTCATCAATATTCAAATATTTTAGAGGACCTGGCTAGGCAGACTTGAGCTTTGGGAGTTGGGTTTGATTTGGTTTGTCTGTTTGTCACCATGTGACAGTGACAGAAATAATAAAAACCAGAATAGTCACAAGGTTAACGGGGTGGGCTCAATAAGGATGGTAAGTTGGGATCAATCAGACTTTCTAGTTCTTTCTGCCTTGTGTTTGGAAATAAGATTGGCCTCTTGAACCAAGTAAAACAATGAGATTCTTAGCTTTAATTTTCTTCCCTTCTCTTGCCCAGGAGATACCATTTATGTATCTATTGCCAGAAGTATAGTCTTCACATGCCATCCTTTTATCTTTTGTCTTTGTTCATATCTGGCCTGAACTCCAAAGTTCATTTCAAAACACAATCTGTCCAAAACCCATTTTCTCTACTTCCCCTTTTTACACAAAAGTACTCCTCACCATGGATCATTAAAAACTGTCCAAGCATACTGGCTGGGCATTACCATTGACCCTTCCCTCTCCAATCTTTGTCCACTATACTTGATAGATTCCAGTTTTTCAATTCTGTTTTATAAAAAAAGAATCCCTTTGTTCCTCTTTGCCTTCCACTTTTTCCACACTAGTTATTATCGCTCTCTTTATAACTAGTTAATCCTCTACCTCAGATATTGTCATTCCCTTCTCATTATTAGCTACTGTCCAAAAATGATTTCTTTTTTCTAACATTCAAATCTTATTGTCTCATTCCTGAACTTGAAACTCATTCAATGACTCCTCTCCCACCTAAGGAGATGGCCCCTTCAGTATATGGTATCTGTTCACTGCTCCACCTTTTTAAGCAACTCATATTTAATCATATTTTCCATGATTAAGATAAATCTGGTTTTCCTTTTCATAAACTGTAAAATGTTTCATATTTTTCTCATTAGACTTTGAGATAATCAATGTTAATAATCCTGTGTTTATCATTTAATTTTTCTAACCTAATACCTAACTTTAAGCTTTGCTTATTGTGTATTGCCTTTGCCACAAATAATCTAATCATCTATATTTTCCTGTGAATCCTGTGCCTTGTTGAAAAAAGATAGTCTCTGATTTTATATGTAGTGGCTTTGTTTCTTGCAGATGAATAGCTAGTTATGTCAGCATCTTTCATTAAATAAGCTATTACAACAAACTAATTTTCTCATTGAATCAAATTGCCAACTTTGTCATGTTTCTTCTTTGGTCAGCTTGGGGATATTCCTGAATGCTCTAATCTTATTTCATTGAGCTATGTGCCCATCCACAAATTTTTATTAAGATGGCCTCATAGTAAATTTTTTTATCTATTGAGAGTTTTTACATTATCCTAACCAGTTCCAGCGAGATACTACTGGAACTCTGTACGTTATTTTAGGAGCACTTATATTCTATAACAGTAAATCTTCCTTTTCAGAAAACTTCTTGTGACCTGCCATATGTTCAGATCTTATTTTGTATCCTTGGCAAAATTTCAGTCCTTTTATCTAGGTTCTTTGACAGTTTGCTAAGATTTAAATATCATGTCTTATAAGTGAACTAATCTACCCTCTCCATTTCTGACTCCTGCTGATATAAAAAAAAAAACTATCAGTTCGTAGTACCATATGTATAATCACTATTATACATATAGTCTGTCACTTTCTCTCTTCCTCTCTCTATAGTATAATATATATTCTCTATCATTTGATAATTACTAGATTCTCAAATGTTTTGACACTGCTACAGTTACAAATAAGGTAAATTTCCTTTATTTTATTGTCATAAAATTATTTCATATCTTCATCACATGACAGAATCTTTGAAGATACTGAATGTCCCTATTAGGAGCCAGCATCTCTTTCCTGTGCTTGAATTTTAAGAAAATAGCTTCAGAAATTTGCCATTTAGTATGATATTTACTGTAAAGTTTGGGTAAATGTCTTTATCATTATTCAACTTCTTTCCATTCCTAACTTATTAGAAATTTTATTAGGAAAGGTTGCTAAGTGTTATCAAATGTCTTCATTGCATTTTTGTTATAATCTTATTGTTCTATTTTAATCTACTGTTATAAAAATCCAAGATTTGTTTTAATTTAGACATGATTTTTCTCTTTCATTTTTTTGTTCTTAGTGCTAGGAATCAAACATAAGGCAGGCTTATTTCTTAATCCTTGGGACAATGAGCCTGTCCTCAGACTAGCAAGTGACATCATGCCATCCAGGAGCATGGAAGATTGGTCTCAAAGATTCAAAGGGCACTGATGAATATTTGGGTCCCTGTGCTCTGCTTCCTCTGGAGTGAAAAGTGCCATTTTTCTTTTGAATTTCTGCTTGTCTAATACCTTTGTCTATCTATCTGTTTTCCAACCATTCTTCATCCCTGTTTAAAGTATGATTCTTGAAATAATATGTTAGGACCCCCATTTTAGCTTACACTCACCCTTTAGTGATTGATATACTTAATTCTATAACTTATACCTTAAATAGTATTCCTTTTTCCTTCTTCTTTTGTTGAATTAGCTATTTTTTATCCTTGCTCTTTTCTTGATTCTGCTTTCGCATTCTTTACAGTTCATTTTTAATATCTGTCAATTTAGAAACCTACTATGCTTTAAAGTTTTACCCAAGTTTTACTTGTTCTTAAGCCATCTTTAAATATGTGTGTGTACTCTATCAAAAATAACCATTTTATACTATATGCATTTTGTGGGAAAATAAAATTTCATTCAATTGTGACCCAAAAAATGTACCTGCTCATATCTCCCCATACCTCAAGCAGAATGGAAACTTTAGTTCAAAGTTACTAAGTTTTCCTTTCAAGGATAACATCTCTATCAAGGATCTCTACTTAGTATTTTTATTACAATGTCCCAGTCACATCATTTTTATGTACTTAATTTTAATAATACCTATACTGTAAGATTCGTTGCACCCATTATTCCTTTCCTTTTTGTCTTTGCCTATCTTGGGATTTCTGTTCTGAATCAATTGTCATTTCCTCAAGTATTTTCCTCAGATAAGTATAGGGGCAGAATACTTCTCAAATACTCGCACTTATGAAAATGTTTATTTTTCCCCTGACAAATGATATCTTTCATGGTTATTAGTTTTTGGATGTTATGCTTTCCCTGAAGATTTTACAAATTTTGTTTCAGTGTTTTAACTTCTAATGATGCTGATAAAGTTTGAAACAAATAGATTCTCTTTCTATTGCAAATAACTTGATCTTTGGGTTTCACAACTTTAAAGTTTGTTCTGATTCTTTAACTTTGGGAATGCTGTCAACATCCCTCTTAATATGTTTACATTAATCCAGCCTGGGACTCAGGGAACCTATCACTTTTCATTCGTTTCTTTCTCTGCCCTTTTGGTTTTTGTTATTTTCATGTCATGACTACTGGATCTACCATTTGAATTTATTGTTTCTATATAATCCTCTACATTAAAAGTGTTTAGGGTGGTAATAGCTTGGGCTTTTGTTTCTCTGGTTTTGGTTTTTGTGCTGTTGTTTTACAGTACTGAGTTTTGAACTCTGGCCCTGATTTTTGCTTGTTATTTTGGATATAAGGCCTCCCTTCCTTCTTGGGTACAATCTTTCTGTTAGTATTCCCATTGTAGGTACAATAATAGGCATGTGTCGCTGTATCCAGTTCTCCATTGAGACAAGTTTCTCAAACTTTTCTGCCAGGATAGTATCAAATCAAGTTCCTCTCAGTCTCAGCCTCCCAAGTAGCTAGAATTATAGGCATGAGTCACAAGTGCCCAAATATAAGTTCTTAAGTTTTCACACTTGGTTCAAGAAATACTATAACCATGATCTTCATCAAATAAGTTTGGTTACAGGTTTTTTGTTGTCATTGGTTAGTTGGTTGGTTGGTTGATTGGTAGGTTTAAGGTCATCTGATTACTTTTCCTTAAAAGTTTAATTATCTCCCTCCTGCCCCCTATCATGACCCCCAAGTCATCTCTGGTCCTTTCCAACTTGGTAAGGAGAAAATACTACAATTATTTTTGGTATTTGGCTTGATCTTTCTTCAGATAGATGACTTTGGTTTGGTTTGGTTTGGTTTTGCTGCTACTAGGGCTTGAATATAGTGTGTCACACTCACTCTGTTTTCCTGCTCAAGGCTGTTGCTATGTGACTTGAACCACACCTCTAGCCCTGCTTTTTGCTAGCCATTTTGAAGATGGAACCTTGTAAATGTTTCTGCCCCAGCTGGCTTCAAAATTTGACCCTCTGGATCTCAGCCTCCTGAGTAACAAGGATTACAAGCATTAGTCACCAGTACCTGGCCAGATACATGACTCTTTGTCCAAATTTACCTCTACAGTTTGTCCTCTGTTGAGTTCAAGGTTCTGCTCATCAATCTCAAAATTACCCTAGCCTCTACTTAGTCTGTCTTTTTCTTCAGGTCTAATGCTATTTTTTAAAATTCTGAATTTATAATATAGTGATATCTGTCATTAAGGATTAAGCTTTTTATTACAACCATGCTTCTTTGTCTCTGGAGGTCTTATAAGCACCACACTACACTTGATACCTGGGTTTGGGTCTGCAAGCAGGTTTCTCTGAGATATGCAAATTGCCTGTAGCACCATGTACATGCCACTAATAATTTAGGGTTTTGAAACATACCTCCTATGTGACTTTATAATTTTCAGAAAATATACAAATGCTATTTCAGTAACATCAAATTTAGTTTGTGAAGCACCACAATTTTATCAAAAAATTCAACAATAGATTACAATCTCAAACCTTTATATTTCACATTTACTTTTTTGACTGAAAAATGTTTGGGGATGGTATTTTTAATTATCCTAATTACCATGATTTTTTTTTGTTGGTTGTAAGGCTTTAACTCTGGGCGTGGCGCTGTCCCTGAGCTCTTCAGCTCAAGGTAAGTGCTCTACCACTTTAGCCACAGCACCACTTCCGGTTTTCTAGATGTTTATTGGAGAGTCTCATGGACTTTCCTGCCTAGGCTGCCTTTGAACTGTAATCCTCAGATCTCAGCCTCCTGAGTAGCTAGAATTACAGGTGTGAGCCACTGGCACCCTGCCCTAATTATCATGATTAAAAGAAGTTTTTCTAAATCATTACTACTTATAAATTTTATGGCACCAGACAAAGAAAGAGACAAATACCTTTGTCATGTAGAAGATACAACAAGCTATCATGTGCTGTACACTCTCGTAACTTAAAACCTGTTTCTTTGCGAAGAGAATACTTGGCAGTCCTTGCAAAACCACTATACACTTTATTAAAATCTAAAAATATAGAAGCACAATAATTTTTGTGTTAATATATCATCCTCATTACGTTGTATCCAAATCATGTGAACATTAAGCTATAAAATGTTATTGCTGTCAATAATCATTGGTAAATTGCTTATGATGTACTGAGGAATATAGATAATATATTCAATTACCAAATGAATCATAGGAAATGAAAGAAATATGAAAAATAATGAGGAATATGGAATATATACATATATATAATGCTGCCACCAATAACACTACAATAAATACCCTTAATACAACATCTGTGAGATGATGCCCCACTAAGGACAGTGAAGCATCTTCCTCCAGGCCACAGACACCCTCTAACTCATGTACTATCATGTAATACAGTGTCCCTAGTGGGTAGAACATATGGGTAGGCCACATCTAAAACTCAGGGGTAAAGAAAAGATAGCATTTTGCCAACCAGTAATTTTATGTTATGTAATAAATAACCTGTGGTGGAATTGGTCTATCATACAAATGTATTTTTAATTTTATTAAGATTTCATTACATGAGATAAGTTAATCATAGAGGAGTTATTGTATCAGGAATATTTGTTTTTTATTTGTTTAAAATTAGTTTTGATTCAATTAAAATTAAAGTTACTTTATCAAAATCTAAGCATCTTTCCATGTTTCTCAACTACTTGGATTTGCTTGTGTAAAATGCTTATTCATATCATGTGTCAATTGTCCTATTAGGTTATTGTCTATTTGCAAGACTCTCTATTAGATACATATATACATATAGATAGATATATAGATATATACATATAGATAGATACCTCTACAGATGTGGGAATAATTTTTCTAATTCCATAAGTATTCTATCATTCTCTTACTGTCCCTTTTTTCAAAGGAAGATGTCCTATTGTTTCTAGAAGTTCTGTCTTAGATTTTTTGCAAACTATAGACTGCACATATCATTTCCTAGGATTTTTCCCTAAATATTTGGCTTTCTTTTACATTTAAGTCTTTAATATACCTAGACATGTTTATAGGGTAGACATAAAAGTCAAAGTGCACTTTCTTTCAGAAGAATTCAGGTGTTTCTTCTCCTCCCATTGAATGGGAATGCCAACTCAACCAATCAACTTAGAAAAAGATTTTAAGACTTAGAAAAACTGTAGCTTTGCCAACAACTTTGATTCAGCCTGAGATCCAAACCAGAAGACCTAACTAACCTGCGTTGATTCTTTTGACCTTGGGACTTATGAAAAAGTAAGTGGGTGTCCTTTTAAGATGTAGGTGATGGTGATTTGATTAACAGTGTTTAAGAAGCATATATAACTAATACAATTCCTCCAACCAAATCTCATCAACTTTTTCCATAAATTCCATCACCAAGTATATTTTCTTAGGTAATTCACTACATTTTCTCTTTATAATGGATTTAATAATGTGTGCAATAGTATATACTGTTCAATTATTATGTTACAAGAATATAATAATTGAAATAACTCTTAGAACTAAGAAATTACTATTGCCAGTATTTAACAATGGACAGTAATCAAGCTTCTGTTCAGACATACAACTAATTAAATGCTTTTCAATTAACTCTTAAAATTTCATTTTTTACCCATCTATATTTTGTAAGAGATACACTATTTTGCTTTTTTCAGAATGAATCTGTATATTTAAAAAAAAATTCCTTTAAGTAGAGTCATAGGAATACCTTTACCTGTATAACGGGTACCAAAACAATATTGTGATATATTATAGGAGCAAGGAGGCCATAACACTGAGTCACAGCTTGAAGGGCATAATTGGAATCATTAAGAAAGTTGCTAAGTTCCAATGCTACTAATATTCTCTCACATTCCATCAATCTAGCAATCTGCAAAGAAACAGCCTTGTAATTCAAACTGAACACAAAGTGATTAACTTAACATGTTTCTAAGGAGAATAAAGGATAGAAAATGTGATATTTGTGGCTTAATTACACGAATGTTGACATGAAGAAAATGCAAATTTGGAAACAACTTTCCCTAGTAATACATTTATATAATGCAATCTCAGAATTAACTTCAGAATATTAAAAAAAAAAAACCACAAGTACTACTAATCCCCTAAAAAGAACCTGTGTGTGTGTGTGTGTGTGTCCTTAAGCCTTTTTTTTCTTGCTCAAGGCTAGTACTCAACCACTTTAGCCACTGCTCCTCCTCCTCCTCTTCCTCCTAAGTCTCCCTCTCCCCCTCCCCCTCTCCCTCCCCCTCCTCATCGTCCTCATTCTTGGTAAACTGGAGACAAAAGTCTCAAAGGCTTATCTGCTGGGGCTGGCTTCGGTGATTTTCAGTCTCAGCCTCCAGAGTAACTAGGAATATAGGGGTAAGCCAACAGCACCATGTGTGAGTCTTTTATTGTCAAATTAAATATTGGCTTTTTTAATTTAAAAAATCTAGCTTTAAACAATAAGTAAAATATAACATTTCTGTTACAGATTCCAATTTTCCTTTTGTTCTGTCAGAAATGGTAAATTTTCAGTAAACTCATCAGTTATATATCTCCTGCTTATACTTTTAGTATTTAAATAAATAAGATGGTATAATCTCAAAGTTACATTTTGATATTAAATGTAACTCAAAATAAACAAAATTCATTCATTCTCCTTTCCCCTCTCTAGGGAAACAATCATCATTTTTCTATACATACAAAATTATATGAAAGGGAAACTGTGAGTGGCATAGTGATTCTTATACAATTACTTTTTACTAGAATGGTAATTTAGCATTCCGAATTCACTGAAGTACTTGAAAAATGTTACTTCGAAACCGGATATAATCAAAAAAGTAGCTAAATTCAATGTGGTAGGGACAAGTGGATGATTGTGAGTACTTGGGCTCTACAGCATAGTAATCTTTTCTTGAGCAAATATTTTTTCCACTTTCATTCTCCCAGAAATTGCCTCTATCTCACATAACAACTTACTGTTTAATTAATTATAAGTAAATGGATTTTTTAAAAAAAGGAAAAATAGCTAAAACATCTGAATCTAAAGTAAATAAGAAGAAAGGGAAAGAATAGAAAACAAAACATCAAGCTAGAATTTTTTAAATGTAGGATAATTATGTTGATGTGTGGCTTGTATCCAAGAGACACAGGAAGTGTAAAGAGGATCAAGGTCCAAGCTAGCCTGAGCATAAACAAAAGACTCTATTTGAAAATCATTAAAGCAAAAAGGGACAGGAATATGGCTCAAGTGATTGAATATCTGCTTAGCAAGTAGGATATCCAGATTCAAACATTCTAATACCACTAAAAAAGTGAAAATATTAAAAGGATTACAGATACATACAAGCATTGTTTATAACTGCTTTGAGACTCTATCAATAGGAAATAGGTTAAACATCTTCCTCAATACAGGAATACAGTAGGTTACTTTAAAAGAACATGGAACATAGACAGATGCATGCCAGCATGAAAAAACATCCAAGATAGAAAGAGTTTAAAAAGCAATTTACAATTCAACTTCTTGAAATAATAATAGCAATAGATTTGTCTATGTATATATTTTAAAAAATTAGACAAATCATGAAACCCTAGTATCACAGAAGTTATAGAATTAAAAGGATTTTTCATTTTATACATTATATACATTTGAATTCTGAAATATATATCTATGTTACTCTTGTACACATGGAAAAAAAGAAATTAAAAATAAGAGAAAATATACATGCACTGAGACCTATAAAACCTTTGTGGAATTTCAAATAATGCAACACATTCATATCATGGCTCCTCAGTTCATTCACAGAACACAAGACACAAACAAACAGAATATGACATTTACATATCATTGCAAAGTGACATGGGTTCAGCCACTTTAATTCACTTACTTGTTGAGCAGGGAAAATCTCATTGCCTTTAATATTATCACAGAACATATTTTCTTCTTTAATTTTAATGTCACTTGTTACAAAAATGTTTCTAAGAAAAAGGTATAAAAGGATTGAAGAAGTCTCGGTCAAAATATCTGAATGCAATCTGCAAAAGGAATAAATGCTGTTACAGGTAGAAGTATAAAATGATTGACTTAGCATGTGATTCATTTGCTCTGAGTATCTACACAATGATCCGAACGGCAATGAAAATAAATGCAGCAGCTATTCTTGAACAGCTGTTTAGACCAAAACTAAAGACAAGCTCATAATGAGGAAAACAAAGCTGTAGAAATCAGATATATAAAAATAAACAAAGTGGAAAAATTTTCTCATTCATATGTAAAATTATGTATCTGATTATATTATACATGATGTTATATATTTTATATATTCATATATAAAATTTCTTTTCAAACTATAACACCACTATAAATAATTTTGGAAAACAGGCCCAATACTTAAATTAATAAATTTTCTGAAAATAAGGATTATTTATAGCAAACTCAGCTGTTGTTGAAGAGAGTGTTTTAATAATTATTGATCATTTCTAATTATCTTTTTTCAACTGTAGCCAACAGTGCTGACCATTGGCAAAGCAGTGAACTTTGAAGCCTTCCTTTGTTTCCAATATTCTCTCCCTTGATCTAGGGCTTAGCTGATGATAAACCCTTACTTTTAAGCTTCAATCCATCTCTTCTCTATACCTCACGTCTCTATGATATAGGAAGGGATCTGACATCAGTAATTCATACTTGAGGATGATCACCACTGTATTAAACTCTAGCTTTATCTTTGCCATGAGAATTTTAGTGTGTTGCCCTGTAATAAACCCTGAACTTTCTCGTTGTCCTCATGATGTCCTTCAGTACCTTGACTTCTACCCTTACTTCAACCTGTCACCTCCTGGCTCCATTTCTTTACCTATCCAGCTCAAACTCTGGTCATTTTGTTCAAAAATGACCTTTCTAACATCTTAGGTTAAATGACATCATAAGTCATCTTAGGTTATGACATCATACAATAATTAATTTGCTTAACCTTACAGAGACGTCAATGCCAAATCTTCTAACCTCTGTTATGAAAAGCACTTATTCACCTATTTATTTCACTCATTCTTTCTTTCATTTCAAAGTAGAATTTTTAGTCTGCTTTGTACAGTGTACTGTGTTAGTGAGGCCCTAGGATATAAAGAGGAATCAAGTTGAGCCCTTAGCCATGAGGGAGCTAGATTTACTACAAATCCATGCTGTATGACACCAGCTGAGTCATTAGTGCTTCTCCACAATACTTCCATGTATTCTGGGATATTTCTTTGTTTGGATTCCCCCAGAAAAATATTTTCAATATTTTCAAATCCCTCTGCTGTCCTCTATGCTTTCCTTGTCTTCCTTTGACAATGCCCCTGTGACATTGTCACCTGAATTTTCTATTATCCTCCATCTCTTCCTCTCTACTTCCTCTACCCTTCCATCCACACTCCAAAAATATCCCCCATAAGCCTATCTTTCTCAAGCTTCTTGCTTCCCTCTTCTCTTCACAGTCCTGTTTCACATGCCTGGTCTCTGCTTGTTGTAACTCTCTACTTTGTAATTTTTCCTTAGCTGTCACAAAATGATTTTTGGTCCGTCATGCTACAGTTTATCATGGCTCTCTTAAATCTGCCAGTTATCTAACTGCCAAGTCTACATGCTTTTTCTTGGTTCTCATCCTACTTAACATCTTTGCAGCATTTGATTGAGCCTGATCTTATACTAGCATCTGATAGAGCTGGCCAGTCTCCTTGGCAATGCCTGTTTGTGGATTTTATCATTTACTTGGTAGCTCCTATCAGAATACTTCTTTTTTCCCCTTCTCCTACATTTTCCACCTAAATGTAAGCAATGCCCAGGAGTCAATCCCAGCCTTCTATCCTTTCTGTTAGTCCTTCCATGGAAGATAACATTTGTTTTCAAGAGCTTAATGATGATCTCCATGGATAACTTTCAAATCTCTACCTCTAGCCTTGGCTCCTTCCTGAGTGTCGCACTACATAAATATATCTATTGGATTCCTTCTGGAAAACTAAACTCAAAATATCCCCAATGAAATTCATTATCTCCCTGCAAACATCTTTCCACCTGCCATGTCCCCTTAGTAAATGCTACAGGCTTCCAAGTCAGTAACCTTAGAACTTTTAATCACTTTTCATTCTTTCCTGTCTTAATACACAAGTCACACAGCACTAGGATATTATATATAGCAAATGCTAAGCCCATGTTAGGTTAATTGAAATGGAATTATACTTTCAATGTAAATAGGCATTATCAATACCAAGCTATAATCATCATTTATAGGCTTGTTTATCTTTGGGAAGAGAAGGAGTTTGTCTTCCTGTTAAGATAATTTAGACATTGACCAGCAAGTAGAGGAGATTTGTGTTTTTTAATTTCTTTAGACACTAACCCTCACGTCTGAGGCTGCTCTTAACCTGTTCCTGTAAGGAAAATGATAGTAAAATCGAATGACAGCCTACCATTTTATAAGGCTGCTGCCAGCATATTGCAGTTATTGAAGATCTTATCTTAGGAGCCTCTTGAAACAAAGGAAAACTCTTCAGAATCTAACAGTCCATACATAAAGCCCTAAGCTTAACCAAACCTGATGTTGTTATAAAAGTCTCCAGTGAATATTTGGGTTTTTTGCTATAATGGGTAAGTATTAAGGTAGTATTTGGTATTTTTATCCATAACCTTCATCCATATGCCATCACTATTTTTCCTGATTCTATCAGGGAAATTTCTAGCATGGACTCAAGATTTAAAATGCAGGGCTAGGAAGGTGGCAAGGTGGCTTAGTGGTAGAGTGGTTGCTCTGCAGGCATGAGGCCTCAATATCATATAAACAGAAAAAGCCTGAAGTGTCACTGTAGCTCAAATAATAGAGTACTAGACTTGAGCTGAAGAGCTGAGGGAGAGTGCCCAGGCCCAGAGTCAGGCCCCACAACTGACAAAAAAAAAAAAAGAAAAAAAAGATTTGAGATGCATATTCTTACTATAATTTTTATTAGAAATACTTTCACATGGACTATCTTCACATGAAATTGACAGTAAACTAATTCAAGGTTTCACACCTAACATCTAAAGCAGTAAATTCACATTTTAAAATAATACTTCTAAGTACCTTCTCTGTGTTATTGTCATTATATTGCTTAAAGAAACAATGGATTGCTCATCTCGAGGCGGTGATGCAACAAAATAATCCCAAGCTGTTGAGAAAACTTTCTTGGCCAATTTATAGTTACCAGTCTGATAGGCAACCTGCAAAAAAAAAATAAGCACATCATCTCATGAGCTGTGTTGTATTTGTGACATGTATATTTTAAGGCAGAAGCAAGGAAAAGTCCTATCATTTGCTAACTTCATCCATAGTTATTCACTCTGGCTGCTCTGTGCCATGGTGAGGGACCTGTGGCCAATGGCAAGGGAGTCTGACATATTTTGAAATCTCTTTTTATTTCTAAATTGCATGGAAATTTGAAACTCTGGGAGGATGTTTCAAATCCTCATAAGCAAAACAAAGATCACATCTGAGCCAAATTAATTTCATTTTCATCTATCTCTGCAGTGCGCTCCATTTATTATAGATACTGTTATAATGAACAATCTGTTCCAAGAAAAACAATCAGATTTCCCAAACCCAGTCTGTGAAATATACTTCATTCTTTTCTAGTTCTGACTGACACTTTCAGAGCTTTTGTGCAACAAAGGGCTCACAGATGAAAAGGGTAAAGAATAAAAGAGAAATGCTTTCCAAGAAGTTCTATCTTTTACGTTTAACAAATTTAACATTAAGCAAAATAATTTAACTGGCAAAGCCTGAGAGCTCAGGAGAAAAAACATTTATCAACTTACCTATTCTTTTGGTAGAATATACTCCTTTTAAAAGATATTTTTAAATTATTCTATTTAAATATTTATGTAATTGTATGAAATTAATTATGTGCTGCTTCAAATCCTTTATGGAGGAAGATAAGGAATAAGGTCCAAGTAAATGCACTGAACATAACAGTGACATGTCACTAGCACATTTTCCACTCAAGAGAATAACTTCTGGGGCCAGAACTTTTCTATGCTGCCAAATAATTAACCAACCAATAGGCTGTTAACAAAGTTTTTAGTCTGTGCAAAGGCCTGGAGGGCTAGATGCTTCAAAACTTAGTAACAGCCTTATACTCCATGTAATTGAATAGCATTAAGGGAACAAACCATATGAAATCACCTAAAAACTACAAAAAATAGCTTAATTATTATGGAGGTTTTAGGGAAAAAAAGAATGAAGGCTTCAAGGAGGAGGCAGGGCTTCAGTTGAACCCTAAGGCAAGGAATTGTCACCATTTATATAAAATGTGAGAGAATCTAGTAGTAGAAATTAATGCAGAGCATTTAGAACAAGCTGGAGGGATGAGTTAGAATTGGAGTAAAATGGGCAACATGGTAGAGAGGTAAAAATGGGATATGATTCTTGCCACAGGCTTTCAACTTCTGGTATTTATTCCCTCCCATATCTATACCACCTCACAGCCTTTCCCAGCTGAGTTGATGGCAACATTGTCCTAGTTCATAAGCTGATACCTTACAGTCGTCATATTATTTGCACTAGAAACTCTCATTAGGTCCTTTTGGAGAGCATACCCAAATCTGAGAATTCTCATCCCTTTAATTACTGTTCCATCAGCCAAGCTACCTTCAATTCTCATTGGATCACAACAAGAAATAATGCTCCACCCATGACCTCTGATGGTCTTATTCCTATCTTGGCAGCCAGGCAAGCCTTTGACAATAGAAGTATAATTATGGTATTCCATGAGTCACAACCAATTTCACAACCATTTCAGGAAGGATAAAATTCTTAGGACTGGAGGCATACCTTATACGGTAGAGCACATGCCTACTGAACACAAGGTTCTGTATTCAAACTACCATACACATCCACAACACACACACACACATGCCAAAGTCTACTATTCCACTTACCTCTTAAATTCCCCTTACTACTCCTTCCACCCTCATTGGTCCCTCCTACTATAACATACTAGCCTCCTTGCTGTTTATCAGATTAAGTGGGTCTCCACATCTGAAAACTGGGGTTTCTCTGCCAATCCTTCTTTGGCAAAGTTCCTCCATATAGCCACTTTCTCTCATCCTTCAAGTATCTGTTCAAATCTCATCCTCCCTTATTGCTCCATTTACTATAATAACGGACCTTCAAATGTTCCACTTCACACTTCCATTGTCCCCACCATCTTCTACTTGTTTTTCCACAGCACTTATCATCTTCTCAAAGGCTAGTTTACTTATTTACTGTGTCCATTGTTTACTCCCTATATCCCACAATGCTGTTTGTTCATTTTGCTTAGAAAAGTAGTTCTCAAAGTATAATCCTTAAGACATAAGCATGCCTTAGAACTTGTTAGAGTTCTGGAAGTGTGGGACCCAGTAACCTGTTCAACCAACACTCCAAGTCATTCTGTTGCACAAGCCTGAAATAATACCTGGCACAGAGTAAGAACTTAACCAATAGGGTGTTAAATAAACTTTAAAATCCTCTTTTTCCTGACAGTTTCCCTCTCCTTACAGCACAGGATGCCCAGCAATTGCACGACTGTAACATGGTGATTAGTATGGGGTGAGTGCCTCCCTACAAAGCAAGACAGACTTTGTTAAAGGTATGCCAAACTTATGATTCCTTGGATTTACCAGGCAAATTTGAGAGAAAGTTTATTCCTTATACAAGGGATTCCTAGAAGAGAGCTAGGTGGGTGTAAGCAAGATTAGACCAACTTAGGAAAGGAGTAGAAAGAATGGAGAATAGAACAATAGGAAATCTCTACTGGCTGAGAGTTTAAATTCCCTGCTAGTGTCACAGGAAGAGAGGGACTCACAGTCCTTCCATCAGCTTACCCAGATGTGGGAAAGGAAAACAGAGGGGTGAGGTTAGACTCTTCATTACACTGGGTGGGTCAAGATGGAATCCTGGAAGACAGTTCTGTAGCCACAATTAAGGCATATATAGAAATCTAGGAACCATCATTTTTCTTCCAAAATAAAGAAAAAATTTAATCTTTAGAGAAGGATAATGAAGCTTATCTGTAAACAGAACCAAAGGTACAAGACCTAGAGCTTCCTTGATCCCTCAGCCTTCTCAGGACCTACCTGCCTTACCACCACAGGCCATGCTAGTGTCCTAACCTGAAATCAGGATTTTAGCTAAAACCACACTAAAAATTATCTAACAATCGTTACTGTTTGGGTAATAAGATTGATTTTTTAAAAGATGTTTATTTCACAGGATGAAGAGAAGACATCTAGCATAGAACCTGGAACAAAAGAAACACTGAGTAAAAAATTCATCAATAAATCAGATGAGTAGAGAGAATAATAATAATCAGATGATGAGAAGAAATGAAACTTCTTAAAGAACAAGTAACTCTTTTGCCCATCATTCTAAATGTTTCCAAATTTGAAGTAATAGACAAGAGTCAAGCATTTATGAATCAGTTCTAAATTAACTCATAGATGAATGTCTTTGTTCATAATCATTACAACAATTGCTCGCAAAAGTGTGCATGTTCTATCACAAAACTTTCACTGATACCAGGGAGACCTACTTACCAACACGAGCTTAGGCAGAGGATAATAGATAAGTGATAGAAAAAGAGTTACACATAGTGGAGGAGAAGGGAAAAGGACCAAAGAGAAGACAAGGAGCATAGAGAGAGGGTCACTTAAAAACAGATGGCAGAGATGAAGGCTGTGACAGAATTGGCACATGGCAGAAGCCCTATATTTGACCTCCTGAGATATGGAGAGAGTCATGGAATGACATAAGCCAATGACATAACCATCTATAACAAGCATCCTTAAAGAAAATTATTTAATGTCCCTGAGATACCCTTTCTAATATTCAGTGGAATTGGTAGGAAAAGATTTAGCTAACCTGCTTTCCCAACTATAAAATAAAAGCAATCATATCACCTTGCAAATACTGTAATTAATGAAATGGTGAATTTAAATTTTTTCTTTTTTTTTTTTTTGGTTGGTCGTGGGGCTTGAACTCTGGGCCTGGGCCCTGTCCCTCAGCTCTTCAGCTCAAGGCGAGCTCTATCACTCTATCCACAGCACCACTTTTGGTTTTCTAGTAGTTTATTGGAGATAAGAGTCTCACAGACTTTCCTGCCCAGGCTGGCTTTGAACCGTGATCCTCAGATCTCAGCCTCCTGAATAGCTAGGATTACATGTGTGAGCCACCAGCACCTGGCTCATTTCATTTCTTGTTGGTTAATAATTAAAATATATTTATAGGAAAGAGTGTGAGGTTTTGATCAATGTATACACTGTGGGATGATATAAGGCCAATATACATCACTTCCAATTCTTGTTATTTTAAACTTCCTCTTGCAACTATTTTGAAATATAAAATATGTTGTTACTAGCTATGATACCTTTATTGTACAATATAACACCAAAATATAATCTTACTTAAGTATAATTTTGTACTTAATAACAAATGTGTTCCCTTCCCTATCCACCTCCACTCCTGGCTTCTGAAAATTACTGTTCTTCTCTGTTTCTATGAACTGGACTTTTAGATGCATAAGTAATATCACAAATTTATCTTTCTGTGACTAACCTCAGAGAAATACAAAATAAAACTACAATAAGATATCACCTCATACTTGTTTGATTGGCTATTATAAAAATAGATGAAACTGTTGACAAAGACGGTAGAGAAGCCTCATATACTGTTAGTGGAACTGTAAATTAGTACAGTCATTTTGAAAAAAAATCAGTATAGGGCATTTGTAAAAAAAAAAAAAAATTAACCCAGCCGTCTCACTACTGAGTACAGAAATGCCTAAAGGATCTAAAATCAGTAGGCCAACGAAATATATGCAATCCTGATTTCATAGCTATATTATTCTCAATAGCCAAGATACGCAAATAGTCTAAATGTACATTGACAATGAACAGAATAATAAATCCTAAATTGCCTAAGATTCAGTAATTGAATCTGCTTCTTCGATGTTTGTAATAAATGATATTCCCATATTCATATTTTTAAAGCATCATGCCCACTCACTTTTGTCATTTGATAGTTCAATAAACCAATATGGCATTTGTGTTAATATCCAATTAGCAAAGAGAAAAAAATGGGATGAGGGACCTTTTCAAAAACAATAATCTCTCAGGTCAAGATTAGTATCCTGCTGGCATATTTTTAGTTTTCTATATTTTACATCATATTATTCAGCTCTTCTGGAAAAATAAAAAGAAATGAGGTTTAAAAAAGAGAATAAATATTTATGAAAAGAATATTATTCAAAAGGTTTACTCCATTTTTTCCCAAATTCCTGCAATCCCAGCCCTTGGGGGGCAAGGGCAAGTAGACTGCAAGTTTGAGTCAGCCTCAGCAATACAGAAAGACCCTGGTCAAAATCTAAATGAGATGTATAAGACACTACGTTGAAAACTAATTTTACAACTTTGGGGGGGGAGGGAGGGAGGAGCTGGGGAGGGAAAACTAGTAGAAGAAAAACAAAGGAGGGGGTAACAATGCTCAATGGCAAAGGTATTTTTACAATAAAAATATTTTTAAAAAAGCTAAAGGCTAGAGATGTAGCTCAATTGTAGAATGCTTGCTAATGATGCTTAAAGCCCTAGGTTCAATCCTGAGCACTACACAAAAGAAAAAGATATTAACAAGTTAAAATATTAGTTTTCTATATTAATAGAAAGTCTATTAAGGATTCACTTATAGATTGATATTAAGTAAAAGTACAACTTAAAATTCCAAAAGCCAACTGTAACCACAGGCTTTTGGTAAAATACCTTGTGTTTCCTTTTAAAGTATTAAGGTTAATGGCTCAGTGAAGAGAACCTGTCCTAAAACTAAAAACTAACCACTTCCATGAAATTAGATTGCTCTTCCAAAAGAAAGACATATTAAGCTGGAATTTAAAAGCTTAAACCTAATATAATATATATATAGAGAGAGAGAGATTTAGTAAGTGAGAAAGTTTTGCTTTTCCCACTTACCCTTATGAGACAGAATGTCCATAAACTATCATGAATGAATGGCAAAACTGAAAATACTTTACCAATAAAAGAAACATGCCATTATTTCATGATACTTCTCATTATCCCAGCAGTATAGCTTAGACTTAGTTTTATTAACTTTCAATGAAAGTTCTGCCAAATGTAACCCAAGAGTCAAACCACTCCCAGGAGAAAAATTAGGCCTAGATGAAATATTCAGTTCCTCACAATAACTCCATCATTGCAAATTAGGGAATATATTAAATTCCAAAGAAATCAAAATACCAAAAGCATCATGAGCCAGTATGACATGCCAAACCAATACTAGATGAATCCTAGCAATTCTCTCAACTTAATTTTGTTTGAAAAAATATAATAATATAAAATGCCACTGAGATCTATACTTATATTACTAATCAACTATGAAAAAATAGCACATTAGAAATATGATAAAATTTAGGATAGCCTTCAGCTCTAAGCCAAAAATAAGCTTAAAATTAGATGTTTGAGACAAGACATAGGTCAATGACTCACTCCAGAGTCTCTGCACTGGTGACATTTTAAGTAAGACAACAACTCTGTCAGCCAAAATGTTAATCATGAGTATAATCATAACTAAAACAACAGTGCTGTTTAGTCAGGATCTACTGAGTGATAAGTGTGAGGGAAAACACTGAGTATGCATAATTCCATTTAACTGTTCTTAATACCTCTGGGAGGAACTACTATTATTCCTACTTCACAGAAGGAAACTAGTTACTCAGTATCATTTGCCTATTGTGAGGGGCTAGAATTTTCATTCAGGCTTCTCTGTGTCAACCCAGAAAATTCCCATCTATGAATTTATCCTAAGAAAGTAATAATGCATTTAGTAAATATTTATATATAAAGCTGCAACCCCAGTACTTGAGAGGCTGAATCAGAGTATTATGAATTCAAGGCCTTGTACCAAAAATATACATACACATATAAATTCCTAATGGAATGGGAAAATGTCCATTTTTTAAATGTTTAAATGTCAATTATATATTAAATGAAAATATAACACTTCAAAACGATATGTATACCATGATTAAAATTACATATTATACATAAATGCATATACATGTGTAAGTGTATATATATATATATATGTATCTATAGAGACAGAAGTGCATAGATTGACAGATATATAAACAGACAGATAGGAAAGATAGTAGGCAGGTGGATTGGCAATAGGCAAGTGGATAAGATAGAATAGGATAATACTATGTAGGAAATACTATGGAAATAGTATGTATCCTAGGAAATACTGTGTATGAATGGAATGTTATGCAGCCATTAGAAAGGACAAAATAATGACATTCACAGGGAAATGGATGGAACTAGAAGAAATCATGTCGAGTGCAGTAAGCCAAGAGCAAAGAGACAAACGGCACATGGTCTCCCTGATAAGTGGATGAAATACAAAATGTAAGGTGATACGACAAAGTAAACAAGACTGGAGAAACAAAGGACCTCTACTCATCTGGTTGAATCATTACTAAATGACCCCATGCTGCTGATATGGGATATATGTGCACATTGGAGGGGAACTAGGAGGAGGGCACAGAACTAGAGGGAAATGGAAAAACATACAACAGTGGGACCCGTCAGCTGCACTGGACATTGATCAAAATGAACCAAGCAACTCAATAGCAGCGATGGAAGGAGGGAATGAGTGGGAAAGAGGGAACAGCTGACATATGCAAAAGGAAAGGAATATACATATCACCCAATGTGGAAGAAATAACTGTACAGTCAAAGCCCATATTCCTCATAAACTTTATAGACCACGATAGACAATTTGCCCCATGAAGGTTAGAATGTGTTTGTGGCTTTAACTAAGCATCACTATCCCACAATACTGTGAAATTATGTAATCACTTAATCACAATAAAAAAAATTGCAAAAAAAAGAAATATTATGTATGTATCAGAGTTACTCAACCCTGGCACTACTGACATTTGGGATTGGAAAATTCTTTGTAATTCTTTGAATTCTTTGTAATTGTGAGGCTGTAGAATGTTTAGTAGAATCCCTGGCCTCTATTTACTAGGTGCCAATAGCACCCCAGTAGGTTATACATATAGACACTGGTAAAATTGATCAGAGAAAGAAGTGCTATTCTGGATGATAACATATTTCTTTTTTCTATATGCATTTCAGTATTTTCCAAAATTCCTAAAACTATTATGTGTTATATTTGTAACCTAGGGGAAAATGTTACTGTAATAAAACAAACTTGCTAATAGAAGCAATGATTTCTATTATATGAAATTTAACTGCAATCATAGAAAACATGTTTCACAGGACCTTTAGAATAAGAAATTACTCAGCAAATCCTTAGTAGGAAAAAATAAATTGTGCAAAAAAAAAAAAACTAGCAGCAGTCTTTTCTACCTGTGTCAGGTACATCCGAGCCGTGATAGCAGAAAGAGGTGGATAAAGCAGAATTGGTTTAGTTGTCTCTCCAATGGCATCACCAATGAGCTTCCCATTAGAACAATAAGCAGCAATTGCAAAAATGTAGTTTTCATTAGTCTCCAAACCTTTCACTTCAAAAATGGTTTTGCCATCAGCTGGTATCTATTAATAAAAAATTCAAATTATATATGTAAAATCAAAAACAATGTGACTTTTAAATATAACTATGCATTCCTTGTTCTTTCTATGTTGGATTTTAGTCATGACTTAAGTTGAAAATAGAAATAGATTCACTGAAATAATGACTTCACAAGGGGAAAAATCCCATTTAATTGTCATTAATGAGGCTTTTGGTAAGATTTCTTGATATTTAATACAACATACCGCTTCTCCTGAATTTGGGAGATGATTATGGTTTAGTCTTACTTTTCCATAGTTTCCTTCTGCTTTGCAACCCAAAATGCAGTACCAAGACACCTGCCAAGGAGAAGGATGACATAATCACTTGCAATTCCTTTAAAAGCCATTTGGTTTCTTTTCTCTGGATGTAGCATAAGAAATAATTTTCTAAAATAAAAAAAAAACATATATAGCTGCTCCCATGCTTGGGGCTGGGAAGGTGGCTCAGTGGTAGAGTGCTTGCCTTGCATGCATGGGGCCCTGGGTTCGATTCCTCAGCACCACATAAGCAGAAAAAGCCAGAAATGGCGCTATGGCTCAAGTGATAGAGCACTAGCCTTGAGCTGAGGAGCTGAGGGACAGCTCCCAGGCCCAGAGCTCAGGCTCCATGACCAACCAAAAAAATAAAATAAAATAAAAATAAAAAATAAAGCTGCTCCCATGCTTTAAAGTATGAAACCATGTTTGCAAATATATTTAATCTTACTAAAGTAAAAACAAATAGAGTAAACTCACCTGGGACAATCAAGACTAAAATTTCATTATTATTTATTTTAACTACCAACTGAGAAGCTTTCACATGCTAAATATCATTAGGAAATTGACCAATTCTTTTTAATCACAACACAATTTCTATTTATAACACTCCTATGAAATGGAATTACTATCATCATAAGAAATAAAGTTGCAGAGATTCTAAATCATTGACCCCAAAATAGACAGTAGCATAAGTTGACTCCAAAGGCAATTTAAACTTGGTTGACTCAAGTTACGACTTGATAGGAACAAAGATCATCAGTGAAGAGATTTTCCTGTTTTCCATAACTGTATATGACAAAAAAGCAAGAGACTAAATTGTGGTGTTAAAATATAATTTAAAAGCATACATGAAAAAGACTGGAAAGGAAATAAGAACAGTGGTAGAGGTAACAAGGTAAAACGGCAAAAGGATGCATGGTAAAGTAGTAACACAGAGTTTATTTTTCTCCAGCATGTAATTTTCTGAATTATGACATTGACTATAATACTTTATTTACTTATTTATTTATTTTCGGTCGGTCGTGGAGCCTGAACTCTGGGCCTGGGCACTGTCCCTCAGCTCTTTAGCTCAAGGCTAGCGCTCTACCACTTGAGCCACAGCACCGCTTCCAGCTTATTTTGCTTATGCGGTTCTGAGGAATCGAACCCAGAGCCTCATGCATGCAAGGCAAGCGCTCTTCCACTGAGCCACCTTCCAGGCCCCGATTATAATTTTTTTTTTTTGGTCGGTCATGGGGGTTGAACTCTGGGCTTGGGTGCTATCCCTGCGCAATTCAGCTCAAGGCGAACGCTCTACCGCTTGAGCCACAGCGCCACTTCCGGTTTTCGAGTGGTTAATTGGAGATAAGAGTCTCATGGACTTTCCTGTCCGGGCTGGCTTTGAACCGTGATCCTCAGATCTCAGCCTCCTCAGTAGCTAGGATTACAGGCGTGAGCCACCGGCGCCCAGCTTATAATAATTTTTCAAGAAAGACATAAACCAAACACAAAATGAAAATCACACAGAAACAACAAATTTAACTTGATTAAATAATTAGACAATGACCCTTCTGCCAAGATGCCAAAATAATGGAGGTACATTACTGGAATAAACTATACGTTCTCACTGTAGGGAAAAGGAGAATGAGTTGATACCTAAGCAGTGGTATTATAAACAAGCCATACTTTTGGGGGTGGGAGGGCCATCACTGTGGCAATCTCTTTTCCCAGAGGCAAATTCTAAACTACAGGGGAGACTAGAAAAAGGGAAAATGTAATTGTCTCTAATAACCAAGAATTTTTTATAGCTTATGCCTGTTCCTCCTTCCTCCAGTCAACAGAAAAATCCTAATAGAGTCTAATCTACACAAGTGGATGATAACCCATGACTGTGTACCAGAATCAGTTTTGGAAAATATAGTTTGTACCCAAATGGTTGATTGGGCAATCAACAATTTTCTTAAATTAAGATCCTTAGCCTGCCTACTGTCAATGAGTTAGATCTTCTGATACAAGTTTCCAGTGCTTTGTGTTTTCAAAGAAAATTTCTCAGGTGATTGTTGCTACACATGATTAAATAAGAGCAACAATGAAAGGCAGAACCTTCAAGGACAGGAGAACACAGAGACTGTATACAAGGGTGAAAAAAACAACATAAATATTAGGAGGAAGTATGAAATTAAATTATCTTGATCACTCATGCAAAAAAAGAGTCCCATTTTTCATGGGGGAGGAGAGGGAAAAAAGACTATTATATGACTTAGATTGTTATTGCTTTAAGTTATACACTCCAAACCAGAATTTAGAGGGTAAAATTCTCTCTAAAAGCATTTTTACAAGCACATTTGGTATTTTTATTTTGTTCTACTGATCTTAGTTTGTATAACTCAAAAAAGCAACATGTAATTAGAATCTACATAAGAATAGAGATATCATGAACAAATCACTAACTTTGGAAGAATTTATAAACAATATAAATCACATTAGCATCTTCAACTATAAAAAAGATTTTAATGAAATGAATGCCTTAACAAGAGGTTTTGATAAAACAAAAGTTTAGCTGGCTCTGCAAAGCAGAGAACTTATTTAAGCCCATGGCACCACCTAGTGCTGATGAACAAGCAACAGCAGATGACCGTTCCCGAAGCAAGTTTCCCAACTTACTTCAACTTCATATAATGTGACAATTGACAAGAACTGGAAGGGAAGGTTAGATGTGGCACTCTTAGATGTTCCTCCTATTTTCAAGCATTGTAAACTAAATGTTCATTACACATAAATACATCAAAATTAAAATTTGGGCTAAGTTTAAAATTAAACAAACAAAAACTTCTAAATTGGTAAAGCCCTGCTCTTAAACAGATTCCAAAAGGCCAGAGTTGAACTGTACAAGTGTTAATAGCAGAAAAAAATGTTTATTATAGTAAATGGAAAACATTACACCAGTGGCAACACCTCTTACTGATGTCTGTCTCTCTATTAATCTGAAATTCTTCAAAGAATGAGCCATACTTCGTCTCTGTTTAGCTTCATCCCTCAATTACCTTGCTCAGAACTGGATATATTATAGATGTTTAATAAATGCTCATTTGACTAATTTGTGAGAAATCTCCAAATAATGGAGTCTATAACTCCACTACCAGTTTTGGTAAACTTTAATACAAATGTTTAACATAGGTGTAGAGAGACATAAATTAATATGCAAAGAACATTGTATATTAATCATCTTATTTTCATGGTAAACTTTTTTTTTTGCCGGTCCTGGGGCTTGAACTCAGGGTTCGGGCACTGTCCCTAAGCCTCTCTGTACTGAAAGCTAGCACTCTACCACTTGAGCCACAGTGCCACTTCCAGCTTTTTCTGTTTATGTGGTGCTGAGGAATTGAACCCGGGCCTCATGCATGCGAGACAAGCACTCTACCACTGAGCTACATTCCCAGCCTCAGTAAACACATTTTATAAATGAAAAATATCTTCAGAAAATGTATTTCTCCTTCCTAAAGTCAGACTGCTAATGAGGAATGTAGCTATAATTTTAAACTTAAATGTACTTGACTTCCAAGTATATTCATGTAAAACACTCTAAAATAATCAATAAAAATTTATTCTTGTATACAACATCAAAAACACATCATTAATCACGCAAAAGAGAAAAATACACTATTAAAATATAAATTAGGAGAAGAAAATTTCTTGCTAGAAAACTAAATCCCAAGTTTTAGTCCCATTTAAACCAGTTTCAAGCCATCATAAATGGGAATAGAGGCTCTTCCTAATAAATACTTGTTTACATTAAGCAAATCTATATTGGTTTAAGAACTTAGACTAGAACTCCCAAATTTCCACAGTCCATTTCCTCATCTCCTTCACTGGCTCTGGGAGCAACTAATCCCTCTTCAAATGTCTGATTCATTTCAAGTGAAGCCTCTCTTGGGCATATTTAAATGTTAGCATATTCCTATGCCACAGCAACAAAGATAGGAAGGAGGAAGTTTCTCTTACCATAGAGTTGGGTGAAAATATCCCATAAATTGCATAAGGGGGAAATTCTGTCATGAAGTAACAGTATACATGAGACATTAGAATACTAATCTAGGGTCCAGTGCTTACAATGAAGACTAATCGGATACTACAAGCAATAAAAGCATGAATCATTACAGTCATAAAAGTACTTCAGGTGCTCTGCATGAGGTGAAGATCATAATGGGCAGCCTACCTTAACATCAGAAATAAATGGAGCAGGCTTAAACGTCACAGAGCAATGAGTCCGGGACAGCAGAATAGGTGGAGGAGGGATTCTGCGTTTCTTTGTTTTTGAATTTTCCAAATACTTCTGATGTGAATATAGAGCACTTTGTTCTGCTTCTACCTTCTCAATTAAAGAATATGCTTCCTATAATGAAGTGTGAAAGCAGAAAAAAATACATTTCAAGAGCTTAAACTTCGTATTTGTAAAATTCTGGTTACATTAACTAACATTATCTTTCCTATTTGCTGTTTCTTGAGCCTCAGAGGCATATAAATGAATGATTTTGAATATTTGCAAAATGACTAATAAACAAGGCTAACTATGATTACCAATGGTATCATCTTTATGCTTAACTGTTGTTAGTACTGCATATTAATATGAGACTTTTTAAATCAAGCCCTCTGAACATCTACCATCATTTCCATTATCCATTTAAAAAATAACATTATTATCTGCAAACCTGAAAGCAATCATTATTTTAAGAGGTTATTCATAAGGAAGGTTAGACATATAAAACAAAAGAATATAAATATTTGATGTAAATTACATTTCACCTTCTGAGCATGGTGGCATAGGTATGTATGTAATCCCAACATCTCAACAGGCAGAGGCAAGAGAATCATGATTCAAGGTCAGCCCAAGCAAAGTTAGAGAGATCCTATCTCAAACAAAAAATTATAGAAGTAGATTCTTGAGAGCATGGCTTAGCGCAAGAGGTAGAGTTCCCTGGGTTCAATAACTAGTATCAAAAAAAGATCAACTATATTTCTAAAAAAGCAAGTGGTGATAAATAAATTTCCTAATATTTAGCACACAGGAATTAATTGACTAATGATAGTTAAAATAATAATAAAATAGTATTTTAGTCTTAATAATCCTAGTTAAACTATCTGTGTTTTTTCACTTTTCTATTTGAACTATTTTTTTTTTTTTGGTCTGGGGCTTAACTCAGGAGTCTCATTTACACTCAGCTTGTTTGCTCACAGCCAGTACTCTTGAGCCATGCTTCCAGCTAGGTGTTTTGTTGGTTAACTAGAGATAAAATCTTGCAGCCTTTTTTTTTTTTTTGTTAGGGCAGGCTTCAAATCATGGTCCTCTGAATGTCTGCCTTCCTGAGTACCTAGGGATATAAGCATGAGCCACCAGCACCCAACTATTTGAACATTTTTAACATCTATTATTAATTGTTTTTATTCTTTTCCCCAAAATATATTGAAGCTAGGTCTAAAACAAAGATCAGAATTACCTTCTTCTTATTATATTTTATTGAAAATAGTTAACATCAAAGAATAAAGTCATTAGTTGTAATTAAAAATATCTATAATGATTTTTAAATTCTACTTATTTTGTACTAGGAGATATTGGAAAATATTCCCACATTTTCAGGTCAATAATCTCAATGGTTTGCAAGAACAATTGTTCCTTTGTTCAGGAAGCAATATCTCATAACCTCTTAGAGCCAATATGCCATATGTATTTAGACCCTAAGCTAACTTATATATACATGATAGGTGTGCAGAGTAACTGTGGAATCCTGAAATGAATCAGTCAAAAGGTTCGGCCAATAAATCTTAATGTAAAGAGATTCTACATTACCTCACAAAAGAAATAAATTCTGAGGGCTCTTCCCATGCTGATTTGTGCTGCAATGTGCCACAAAAACCAAGAACCAAAAGTATTTCTCTGCTTATAGTTTGCACTAAAGAAAATGAAACCTGCCTGTCTTCAGAAATTACCCAATGCTTATAAGGACAAGCTGACATTAAATATACTTGACACAGGCCTGACACTACAGTGCAGCAAAACACTAATGAAAGATGTAATGCAATCTTGAAGGCATGATTAAGACATATGTAAACAAGTAGCACAGGACTGGAATATTCACTACTTATTGAGTTGACCTCACTGTTCTGGGTTTTCAACATGATGCTATACATCAGAAGAAGATAAAAGTAGATTAAGTCATCTCCAAGAACCCTAGGACAGAATATTGTTGAAGATAACATATTAAATGTTTAAGATAAATCTAAGAGAAAACATAGGAAGAAATGTTTATTCTCATAAAGAGAATATAAAGCAAGTGCCAGTGGCTTATCACATAAGCCTTGCTACTTAGGAAGCTGAGATTTGAAGGCTTGAGGTTTTAAATCCAGCCTTACAGAAAAGTCCTGGAGACTCCATCTCCAATTAATCAGCAAAGTGAAAGACTGAAAGTATAGTTCTAGTGGTAGAGCACCAGTCACAAGCAAGGAAACCTTGAAGGTGTAAAGCAAAACACAGAGTAATTATGGTGCTGCTGCTGATGGCTAACATCTGATGGCTAACATTTATTGGCTGTTTATTCTATATCAAAAGTGAAGCATTTTATATAAATCATTTTCCAGATGATGAAATTAAAACCTTACGAGAGTACAAATAACTTGACTCAAGACCAATAGTTACAGGAATACCACAACTCTAATCCAAGTCCCTTTACCACCATGTTATCTTAATAAAAAGCTAAGTTTAAAAATAAAATAGAAGAGGGGATGGGAAGTTGGTTCAGTGGTAGAGTGTTTGCTTTACATGTATGAGGCCCTGGGTTCAGTTCCTCAGTACCACATAAGCAGAAAAAAGCCAGAAGTAGTGCTGTGGTTCAAGTGGTAGGGCACTAGCCTTGAGCTGAAGAGCTGAGGGACAGTGCTCAGGCCTCGACCAAAAAAAAAAAATATATATATATATATGTGCATATATATATATATATATATATGAGTAGCCTAGATGAAGTTTGCAATACAACTAAACAACATCTGAAAAGAAAAAATATGCTAAAATCCTGTTAGTATTTGAAACTTGAAAGTGGTAATTTGACCTCAGAGAAGGAGGTCAGAATCAGAAAGGCTTTATTCTATCATGATATCACAGAGAACAAATATTTAAGAGCTGAAACAATCTGTGAAAAAAGAGAATTCCTATATATTTCCCTCAAAAGTAAATAGGATTAATGACTGAAATGATATGAAAAAGAAAAAATAATTAAACACTGTTAACAAAGTTAATAGAATGTTTTTAGGGGATTCCAAGATGCAAATTCAGAAAATATTAAAGCCAGAAGTTATTAGAATATCTGGTAGCTCTATTGTTAGTTCTGGTTTCAAAATGGGACTATGTAATTATTAAAAATAATCTATTAAATTGTAATGTTCTTTTGCTTATAGTTGAAGTACAATTACCAGAATGTGGAATTGTTAAAATCATCTCTGCTGTAAATTCACTTAAGTTCTAACAAATAGGAGAAAATGATGGAACAATTGGATTTCTTTTTAAAATAAGTTTTTTATTGTGAAAATACTGTACAGAGGGTTTACAATCACATGAGCAAGGTAATGAGTACTTTTCTTATCAAGCATGGTTACCTCCTCCTTTTTTTTTTCCTCTACCATCCCTTCCCTCCCATCTCCACAACTATATTCCTCCCCACCCCCCTGCCCCTATCCCCCACCCTCCGCCTAAATTGTAAAGTTCATTTTTTGACATAGCATCTTGTACATCTCATTGTTGCAATGGGTTAACCAGTATCCCTATTTAAACAATTTATTTTTTCCCTTCCACTCCCCAAATTTGACCAACATCAAATACAGTGAAAATAAAGGTTATACCATGGGGGAGGATATACAAAGCAACAAAAAAATCACATGGTACCCTATAACTACATTAGAAATAATAGCAAGAAAGAAAGAAACACTTGTATCCTTATCTTGGGGTTCATTTCGCTTAACATCATCTTATCTGACCTTTTCATCTTGTCTCAGACATATACTAGTTATTGCAAATAAGGGAAGCCATGGGACCTATGTTTCTTTGCGCCTGACTTTTTTCACTTAATATATTTTTTTCCAAGGAACAATTGGATTTCTTTGCAATAGAAACAACTGGAAAACCAGGTCTGCAGCAAAGCAGCCCCAGAGGAGCAGAACATAATTATCACAATATGATCAAGATACAGGCACTGGAATGAATAAATAGCCAAATTTTCACTCATTAAGCAACACAAAGAAATTTCTTTCCTCAGATTCCTTCCCATTTTCAATTAGAGTACACAGACTAAAGTTTTATTCTTTTCATCTCTGCACTGTAGATTCAGGTTCCCCTAGAGGAGCGATCAATAGGCTTCCCTGGCATCACTGCTGTCCTCTTAAGGACAAGTCCCACACTCATTATATCTAATGGAGAAGAAATTACCCTCCCCCCCAAAATGGCATCTGAAAGGTGAAATGGATACTGGGAAGAAAGCAAGGGCACTGAGCACTACCTTGGAAACCCTTAGCACTTGCGTAGAAGGGTGTTTTTGCCTCTTTCCAGGGAGAAATGGCATCTCAAAAGATGCTGAGTGTTGTACCCTGCAAAGATGCAGATGCTGATGTATTCCCCAGTTGACTAAAGTCTTGACATAAAGCCACATAATTACTGCTCTACTTGATCAGAAGTCAGTGAATTCAGTATGAATTTCTAGGTGCACTTCCCTAAAGTTGGTAGATGGTATAATGTATAAAAATTAACCTTCCAGAGGTCAAATAAGGAGGGAAAATGGAGAAAAATAAAACCTGCCTGTCAAGAAAAATAGCCAGTCATTTATCTGATTTGGAAAGCTAATGAGTCATTATCAAAAGGTTTGTCCCTCATCTGTGGCACCAAGTTGGTTCACTTTTAATTGATTCAAAATAAACCAGACACCTGATGAGATTATCTGGATCCACAGGGGCAGGAAGGTTTTGAAAAACTAAAACAGGCTATAAATTATTTAAGAGTTCAGAGGAGACCCAAGTTTTTCATACCTTTTTATGGTATCTAGCGACACATCAACTATTGATATGGGGACAATTTTGTTACAAGATCATGATAATGTAAAACATTGTGTAATATACCCCAGCAGAAAATGATTGTCAAGGGAAAGAAACTTATTTGTCTTCTTTAAAGAAGAAAAGTTTGGCAATTACTTGAGCCATAATATCGCTGTTTAGTAGAGTACCCTGAGGACTGATCATCAAGCCTTAACATTTAGATAAAAACTACCCCTGAGGAGCAGAGGTGACTAGCAGAAGATTACAGGACCTCAAAAATAAATATTCAACATGATCTCAGTTGGTGAAAATTCTTGTGGAGGATTACCATAAAATCAGACTCTAAATGTATCTCATGAGTCTATCCTGACAAGACATTATACTCATAACTTTTTCTCAAGTTCAAATAGTTTCACTTAAGAACCAAGGAAGAGAAATGTGCTGGCAACTTGAGATCTCCCATATCCCCAGAATGCTCCTCTCTCTCAGTAGGAAGAAGGTAAAAACACAACAAGGGAATGGCATATTGTGGCAGTAGGAAGATCAGAATGAGTCATAATAAAACAAAGGAGAAAACTCCAGAGCTTTTACTCTCTTCAGGCTACAAAAACCTATGTGATTAGTCCTGAGAGCAACATTTCTAAAAAGAAAGATAAAGTTTATTTTCCTGGAAACAAAACTGAAGTACCAAATGCTTTCTAAACAAATGGCCACAAAAATATCTGCTGAGAAAAATGGATCTAAGCACACCAACAAAGATCAGAGGAGACTTGGCCTTGTCAACACTTATCCAATACTGCCATCAGACCTAACACAAGTACAGTACTTTCAGGACAGACTTCTCTACCTTGAACAATAAAACCATCTTTCCATCCAAAACTCTGAGACTAGGATAAAAGGCTTCTTAGGACTTTGTCTCTACCTTCCCACAGGTCTCATATATTACCATCCTATCTCCCACCCACCTTTGCATCCAAGCCCAGCAAAGTGAATGATCCACTATGACTGAATGAGCACACTATGACTTTTGTTCCCTTAGCAAGTTCTCTCTGCCTAGAATGCTTTTCTTCTTTGCCCTCCTCTGTGTCTGGCTACTCAGTACTCTTGCAGTTTTCAACTTTAGTTTGCTACTGTGTGTCTTTCAATACTCAGCTTCTCCCAAGCTGTAGGTATTTCCCTAGATGTTTTGCACTGCTGATTTAGGTACTCCTCTGCTAAATTTTACTGGTACCCTTGCAGTTAAAGCACCTGTGAAACTCACCCATGGTTACCTACTTACTTATTTATGCTTCCACAGACTGGATTTATCTATGAGTAAACCCAGGGACACAAAGAGAAGGTAGGGACCACAAGGGCAGGCCCACAAAGAAGAAGCAATCGATCAATATTTGTTGAATATGTAAAGAACTTTGATTTTTATCCCCTGCACTTAAAATACTATCAGTCACATAAGGAATTTTTCAATAAATACTTACTGAGTGGTTCTTAGTCACTAAAAATTATCTTTAGATGATAAACTGATAGACAGATAACTAGAAAGACATGCATGGGAAAACTTGAATTTCAAGATTCTACTTGTTCATTTCAAATACTTACCTTCTAGCTCTCTCAGACCTTCATTTTCTGGTCCTTGACTTGATCTTAATCTCATGAAGATATTTAGTCTCTTAATAATTCTACACAAAATTTGCTCTCTCATATGGTACTTTACTTTTTTTGTCAGTCATGAGGTTTGAACTCTGGGCCTGGGCACTGTCCCTCAGCTCTTCAGCTCAAAGTGAGCACTCTACCACTTGAGCCACAGTGCCACTTCCAGTTTTTCTGGTGGTTTATTGGAGACAAGAGTCTAACTGACTTTCCTGCCCAGGCTGGCTTTGAACTGTGATCCTCAGATCTCAGCCTCCTGAGTAGCTAGGATTACAGTATGAGCCACTGGAGCCCAGCGGGACTTTACTTTTTTTTTAACCTCTCTTTCTCCACCTCTCCCTTTCCTTCTCCCTCTCATCTTTAGTATTTCTTTCTTTGTTCCAGCTGTTCACCTATAGCAGACTAATATGCTAAATTTTGTCTTAAATCCCCTTAACTCTGTATCCTCCTATCTTTGATCTTTTTTCCTTCTCCTAACAGCCGAATTATTTGCAACATTATTCTCTGTTCAAATTATTTGCAACATTGTTCTCTGTCTTCAAGTGCCATTCACTCAGTTTGTATCTGGAATGTGCCTCAAGGCCTATGTGTGAAAGGCTTAGTCAGCACTAAGCCTACCAGCATGTGGAGAAACATTTACCAGAGAGAAACTAGTAGAGAGAAGTTAGGTCATTGCAAACATGTATTTGAAGAGGATACTGAAACCCAAACAGCTCTTTTGTGTATACCCTTCCCTCCCTTTTCCATAATCCCTACTCTTTTCCTATCCATCATGAGGGGAACAGGCTTCCTAACACCACAGTACTGTATTGGCTTGCCACAGGCCCAAAAGCAACAGGGCCAAGTAAACCTCTGAAACTACAAATCAAAATAAACTTTTCCTCCCTTCAAGTCAGTTTACTCAGGTATGCTGTCACGCAATGGAAAGCTGAATAGTACAGTCAGTGTAATCAAAACTTTACAGGCCATACATGAGGTAAAGGGAAAGAAGATCCCATAGCTCAAAATGTGATTGACTTGGGGAAGTTAACATAAAATCAACATACCCAAAAGAGGAAAGAATAATTCCCAGACTAGAGTGAGACCCAATTAAAGGTATCAACAAGGGCTAGGGACATAGCTCAATGGCAGACAATGTGCTTAACATACGCAAGGTCCTGATTCAATCCCTGGCACACAAACACAAATTAGCCACAGTATCTATCTGAGAAAGCCTGAAGGCTTTAAGCATTCTAATTCCAAAGAGAGAAATGCAGGAGGCCAGCACAATATTATTCCAATACTATAATTCCCCTGCTTATAACTGCTTCTGATTTTATTTGGTTCCCATGTAAGTTGTCCCTGGGGAAATATTATCTCTTATTTCAGGATAGTTCAGGACTAGAGATGTAGATTAGTACTCTTCTCAGGCTGAACTTAATATAACAAACCTGAAAATTCACAATAGAATATAACAACAAAGTGTTTTGACACTGCTGAAGTTTGAATACAGAACCTCATGCTTGCTAAGTAGGCACTCTACCACTTAAGATAAACTCCCAGCCATTTCTCCTTTAGGCATATTTCAGGAAGGGTCTCGCACTGTTTTCTGGGGGAAGGGCTCAGACCTGGAAATGACTATCTTTGGCTTCCCACATTGCTGAGATTACAGATGCATACCACCAACTTATCTTATTACTTATTGAAACAGGTTTTCTTAACTTTTAGCCTAGGTTGGTCTCAAACTGAAATCTTCCCCATATCCATCTCCTGGTTGCTAGAATTATAGGCCTGAGCTACTACACGAAGCCTATTTTTTAAAAAACAGAGAGAAACAAAGCATGCATTTATGGACATGTCAAAATGAAACTGCTTTGTACAACAAATGGATGCTAATAATAAAATGCAGGAAAAAGAAAAACAAAGCACTCATTATAACAGAAGTTGTATGCCAGAACTAAAAGAAGAAATTAAATACTGTTACCATCAAGATGTTCAATGCAGATGTAGATATTACATTATTCTCAAATAGTAAAAGGGCCTTCTGCATTAAGTAGACTGCTTTGGAGAGCTTATTCATTTTTATTTTGTTCATTACACTTTCTTCTGCAAAGGCAAACAGTTATGTTACCAAAATGACAAAATAAAACTATCATTCAAATCTTTGTGGTAAGAGGGAGAAATACAATACAATTTTAATTACCTGTAAAACAATCAGGTCTTCTAGACTTTTTCATCTTTTCTGAAGCTTTTGTAGACATACTTTTGCTATCACTTGGGATCTGAAAAACTGAAGAAAACTTTCACTATAATTAGGCTTTATCATTTTAAACTTTAGTTATTATCTGTTTTTAAATGCATTGCTTCCTCTATCATATGTCATCTTATTCTTTATTAATAGTTAGAAGTTCAAATAGACTCCTTGTGATGCCATCCTACTTCAGATCTTCTTTCATTTGTCACAGTATGCCTCAGGACAGAAAATTTCCAAGTAACAAAAATATTTGATTTTTTATTTTATCTTGAGTAAAAATTACCTTGAAGGTAAATTTTTGTTCACTTCACCTTTTCTTAAATCATTGATGACAAGTCCTGATAGCAACTAGTTGTCAAAATTCCTCTCAGCCCTTCCTAGAGAAACTGTGTCACATCAGAGTCCCTGTGAAGGCTGAGGACAGCAGGGAGACCAGAGTCCCCTTCAAGACTCTCAGCTAAAACATGAATCGTTGCCACTTGTTGGTCCTGAAGTATAGATGGACAGTGGTCTGGGAGGGAAAGGAGTTGGATGAGGGAGGAGAGCAAAGAATCTAAAGGTCTGCTGGAACCCAAAGATAAAAACTGGATCACTAATTCTCGATATCCAGGTCTGGTCCTCACCTCAAGAGACCCGGCCAATATTTTGGCTCTGTTTTAGGTGAATGTGTCTGTAGTAACTTTACAATAAAGCCATTTTAGTTATATTCTCACTTAGTCCAGTACACAGGAGTTACCTTGGGGCGGTAATTGATGAAAAAATGGCAAAAGACCCCACTGAAAAATATAACATTTCTTTAATGGCAAAGGGTCAGGAAACTGATCTGCATGCGGACAGCAATGCAAAGCAGGAAATAATGCATCATTCTTTCCCTAACAAGGGTATATAAATGGTCATCAATTGCTCCTGATTATTGTCATTGACGATAAGAAGGAAGAAATTTCTAGGGAATTCTGAATGTCAGGCACAGATGACTCACTTTCTTACCATGATTATGGACAAGCAGTTATCATAAAGTTGTAGAATAAGAATGACACACTCAGTATTTAGGGAACTTCAGTTTGAGAGTAACCTGCTTAGTAAAGAAAGACAGGAGGAGCACAGTAATATCTACAATAGGGCTAAAGTTCAATAAAGCAGAGGAAAACATTAAAGATAGCCAGAGATACAGAAAGGAAATACTACCCCAATAATACTGTTTAAAACTGAACTCAAGTCTACCATCAATATCTTTAAGTGGATTCAGACTTAAAAAAAAACATTAACACAGCCATTAAAAGAATAAAATAATGTCATTTACAGGGAAATGAATGGAACTAATACAAATCACATTAACTGAGGTAAGATCAGAGAGACAAATGATACGTGTGCTCTCTTATCTGTGGAAATTAGATCTAAAATGAAGTAGGATATGGCAAATTATACAGGATTCTAGAATCTCACACACAGTGAAACCAAAAGAGGATACTCTTTTTAGGAGAGCAACACAAAGGCCCATTGCCAAAATGCCTCTTCATATTATACAAAATAATATACGTACTGAAACAAACTCCAAGATATGGAAACAAACTCCAAGATATGGAAACAAAGTTTTTGGTTTTTGATAATTCTGTCTTCTTTACTTTATAGATGGTTTATTCACATGTATATCTTTGGGAGGGTCGGGGGAGGGCATAGAAGTTTAAGGGGAAAACGGGTGAAAAGACAGGAGAAAGTGGTCCCAGGCCAGCCCTAAGCAATAAATCCAAGATCCTATCAGAAAAATAGCAATGCATAAGCTCACACCTGTTATCCTAGCTACTCAGGAGACTGACATCTGAGGATCACAAGCCAGCCTAGGCAGGAAAGTCCATGAGACTCTTATCTGTAATTAACCACCAAAAAGCTAGAAGTAGAGCTATGACTCAAGTGGTAGAGTGCTAGCCTTGAGCAAAAGTGCTCAGGGATAGTTCAAGCCCCATGACTGGTAAACACACACACACACACATACACACACACACTGATAGAGCACCTGCCTAGCAAGCATGAGGCTCCATATCCAAACCCCAGTATTGCCAATAAAGAAGAAAGAAAGAGAGGGAAGGAAAGAAAATTGGAAGGAAGGAAGGAAGGAAGGAAGGGAAAGAAAGAAAGAAAGAAAGAAAGAAAGAAAGAAAGAAAGAAAGAAAGAAAGAAAGAAAGAAAGAAAGAAAGAAAGAAAGAAAGAAAGAAAGAGAGAGGACGGAAGGAAGGTATGAAAGAAAGAGAGAGGGAGGGAGACGTCTATTGGTACTAACCAGAGAAGAAAAAAGAAAACAAAATAATCAAATTTATCTGAAGAACACTCAGTCAACTAGAATACAACTACAAATTAAATTGAATCTATTTTTAAACAGTATAGTTCTTTGCTTTAAGGACTGTTACCGTGCAATTGGTCAAGAAGTGCAATGGCTATTCGGTGCTGAGCTTGAATGAGTTCCAGATGCAAATCCATCATGAAACTATTTTCTGAGATTGGTTTGTAAGTGTCTCCATCTGTATCATGGGAGCACTTTTGTCAGGAAGAGTTAAAGTAAAAATGAAAAGAAAAAGCATCAAAACACACTGAAAATAACTAAATCCTATCATCACATCAAGTTGTATCTTATTCAGTTCCATTAAATTCTGCTCCCTTCTGAACCCTTTGTTATTGGCTCATACACCAATAAGTACACTCAGAATTCATTAATGACCTCTTCAGTGACAAATTCAAAGACACTATTCTTGAGATACTGCTAGGAAAATATATTTCTGCCCTATAAGAGGAAAACTGCTACAAAATCATGCTTTCCTTATCCATTTGCAAGTCATCCCTCTTACTACACAAGTAGAACTTCAACCTGATACAAGATTTTCCCATTCTCACCTTGACATAGCAATGGTCAATTACTGATGATCCATTTGGCAAAGTAGTTAACATGAAATGTAAATTCATTCCATTAATTGTTTTATCAAGAAGTTCATAAGCATAAGACAACTGTTCCACTGGTGTTTTCTAAAATAGTTTCATAAACATAAAGGAATAAAAGAAAACTTAGGGAAAATCATATACAACATTTCCAAACTCTTCTTAACAGCAGTTCAAAACTAAGTAGCAGAAACTTAAGTAATTTACCCAACGTTAACAGTGTAGGACATCTTAATAAATGTGTTTCTCTTTGACTAAACATTGAGTGCTATCAATAAAGATGAAAATAATATATTTCATCATTTTCCAAGTATAAATTAAACTTTTCACAAACATGTATATAATTTCAATTTATTGTTTTCAAAGTTCTGATTATATCTAGTATGGTAATAATACAAACTTACATTCCCAGTAATAGGGAGGTGGAGACAGGACAATCAGGAGTTTGAAACCAGCCTAAACTACACAGAGAGAACCAGACCAGCCTGACCTACAGAACAAGGCCTTGTCTCAAAAAGAATTTTTAAATATACAGCTTATATAATTCATCATTTTGCATACTTAATTTTTAAAAGTTATTTTATTTAAATCCCAAGTGATTTTTAAATATTTACAACTATTGAGTAGTTGTACAAAATCTCAGAACTAGAAGTGTAGATTTTATCTGTGTGTGGTGGCACATGCCTATAATTCAGCAACTGGGAGGCTGAAGCAGAAGGATTACAAGGCCTGCCTGTCATGCAGAATGATTTTGAGATTAGTCTATCTCAAAAAAATCAAAGGCTTGAGCTGAAACTCAGTGGTAGAGTGCCTGCTTTCCAGGTGTTAGGCCCTATATTTGATCACTAGAACAAAACAAAAAGATCTAGGGTCCAACAAACCCAGTGGTCTACATCTACATCATAATTTTAAAAATCTACTTTTTCACTCAATTATATGTTGCTAAAATGCATTCAGACTGGGGTAAGTCAGGATTATGAGCACAGAAGGATTCTAGATTTTTACAAACAGAAAAAGAGTCAGTGAACAGAATAAGAAGTATCCATCACTATTAGAAGACATGAAGAAGCAAACCTGAAGAAAGCTGCCAATGACAATTGAATCTAGGAGGCAGTCGACAACCTCAAACACCTACTACATGGTAGCTGTTCAACTACAAGAGCTCACACAATGTGACTGGTAAATTCTTACCTCTCATCTGCCACTCCAGAATGAAAACTCTCATATTCTGCAATAGAATCCCTATGAATCCCCCTTCTTGGAAATACTAGCCACTTGGAGCCATAGGGAAATGAAATGCTGCAAATACAGTTCCAGATTGCCCCTATCATTCAAAGGTGACCCAGAGATGGGTTGTAGTGATGCCAAGCTGACTCTAGTCCAAATCCTACCATAATTCATTCATCTCAGATTCATGTAACATTAACAGAGGCTATTCTGAAAAGATGTCACAGTTTATTTACTCATCTGCATATAGACACTTAAGACACTATTACTAAATATGCTGTCAGGCATTATACATATCTGTGAATAAAAATGAAGTTATTACTTACTTTATTGTTTTATATCTTTTTTCTGGTTTTTTTAAATCATCTAAGATTTATAGAAAATGATGGAAAGAAGAATGACATATTCTTACATGGTTACAGACTAGATGGACTACTTTTAATCTTTAGGCATAACATTAATTGAGGGTCTTTGGATGATACACTTTACTAGATAAGTAAGCCTTCTATTCTGAATGTTCAGGAGTCATTTTTCAAAGGATGGTCATGCCAGATGCTGGTGGCTAACATCTGCAATTCTAGCTACACAGGAGGGCTGAGGTATGAGAATCAAGATCCCAAGTTAGCTGGGGCAAAAAAGAGAAAAATCCATGAGACTCATCTCCAATTAACCATCAAAACCTGGAAATGGAGCTGTGGCTCAACTGGTAAAGTCCTAGTTTTGAGCAAAAAAGCTCAGGAACAGTGTCCTCACCCAGAGTTCAAGTCCTAGGAATGGTAAATAAATAAGTAAATAAATAAATAAAGTTGTTTAATCTTATCAAATCATTTTCCACTAAAGAATTACAGGCTCGGAGATGTTCCCAAGTAACTCAAGCAGCATGAGTTCAAATAGAAACCTATTTATGGGCAGGCTCAAGGTTATAACTCATTAGGGAAAGAGACTTTCTCCCACCCACTCCTCTTCTGAAGACCAAGGCTGAGATAATTCTCAACATAGACAGACTTTGTTCTAGTTGATCATAGGATGTAATGTCAGTGCCAACTTCATCTTTCATGTGCTCAAGCTTTATTCCTGGAAGCCTGTTAAAAATCTAAGCTTCTCATGCCCAGCTACCTACTACAGCACTCACTTGTAAACTTGCCACTCAGGTTTTCAGCTCGCCTTTCTATTTTGGACCCAGGCATTTACCTTACTTTCTTGAGAGCTCCACTTAAGGATTCTTTATTCAGTTTTTTTCCAGCAGTTCCAGGTTTTTTTCTACCTGGATTTGAATGCATCTAGGTAGTTATTTGGCCAAATACTATTTAAACATCAAAAAATGTCAAAGCCTCCTCACACATTCACATTCCATCCTTATTGTGATCATCACCATGGTCATCCCATTACCATCTTCATCTTCATCACTGCTAACATTTTATTAAAATATGCTCTCACAAGGGGATAAATGCTTTACATAGACTGCTTTTTTAATTGCCATAGCATTATAGGCTAGACACTCATTAGTAGACCATTCATTAATAAACCATCTATTGAAGAAACAGATACTATACATTTAGCAACATTTTGAGTAGTTTTACGTAATGTAATCCTAGTAGTACTTCATATATTTTTCAAATAGCTTGTATATAGGCAAGATACATAATTTATTCCATATATAGACTCTGGTAGGTGAGCATACAGATTTGGACCCTCCCTGTAATAGTAAACTGTCAGTCATTTTCCTACTTTTCCCTTCTCCAGGTAGGTTAGAAAACTCTTGAAATGCAGAGCTCTGTGTAAAACACATAACACAAAGAAGCTACTAGATGCCAGGTGCTATTTTCTAAAATATTACCAATATTTCACTTAAACAAGGTAAGTACCCCAGGTCAGTTGAGCAGGCTCTGAACTTTAGGGCTTAACATTCACATGGTTGCCGTCACAGACTTTATTTTCATTCTGACAATTTCTGCTGTAAATTGTCTGGAGGAGATGTCTTTTTCTGATTTAAATAACAGCAATGTCTTCTAAATGGTCTTTAGTTTCTTTGTTGTAGCAAATTTTATACATTCTAAGCAACTGTTTTCATTTAGTGGCTTTAACTGCCAGAAAATTACTATCTCAAAGGCAGAAATAAGGGGATACTAGGAGGCTAGCCTGGGCAATAAGAAAGAGACTCCATCTCCATCAATGTCTGAACACAATGGTACAGCAGCTTACCATCCCCAGGGACAAGGGGAAACAAAATAGGAGGACTACATCCCAGATTGGCCCAAGCAAATAATGGCAGACTGTAATTTAAAAATAACCAATTCAAAAAGGGGTTGGGGTTGGAGACAAGTGCAAGACCCTAAATTCAATCCCAGTACTGCCAAAAAGAAAAATTCCATTTCAAGCCAAACCTAACACTTGAGAAATTGCACTAGGAATCCTATTCTTGCTATATGATACCTCAGAGAATACAAGCTAGCCCACTAAACCAGTGAGTCTCAAACTTCAGTGTGCTTAGGAATCTACCTGAAGAACATTTAAGAAGCTCATACTTGGGCTGGGAATGTGGTTTAGTGGTAGAGTGCTTGCCTAGCATGCATGAAGGCCTGGGTTTGATTCCTCAGTACCACATACACAGAAAAATCCAGAAGTGGTGCTGTGGGTTAAATGGTAGAGTACTAGCCCTGAGCAAAAGAAGCTCAGAGACAGTGCCCAGGTCCAGAGTTCAAGCCCCAGGACTGGCTGAAAAAAAAAAAAAGAAAGAAAAAAGAAGCTCATACTTGAAATTAAAATTGGATGTCTAGAGTGAGAAATGGCAAGCTGTATAATTTGAGAAGCTCTTAGAAAAAAAAAAAAACAAAATGGTCAGACAACCATCTCTTATGCAGTTAATCTCTGCTCCCAATTTGAGATTTCTCAAAACTAACTCTCTTCAGAGGAGATAATACCACATAAAGAACTCAACTTTGTATCATTGAGAACACAATTAGAAGATGAACATTAACCCGAGTAAGTAAATTTAGAATAGATTCCTCCTCTAGTACTGCAACACATTCATAAAGTCATTTGATTAATATCTAGTGTTTCTTAGGACTTCATTGATACCAAGTATGGCAGAAGTCTGGGTGAAATAATTCTTCAAAATAATTATCAATTGAGGTGGGTGCTGGTGGCTTACACCAATAAATCCTAGCTACTCAGGAGTCTGTGATCTGAGGATCATGGTTCAAAGCCAGCCCAAGCAAGAAAGTCCATGAGACACTTACCTACAATTAACTAAAAAGCTGGAAGTGGAGCTGTGGCTCAAGTTATAGAGTGCTAGCCTTGAGCGAAAGAGCCCAGGAATAGTATCTAGCCCTTAGTTCAATCCCCAGGACTTGGATGAAAAGAAAAATTGCCCTTTAGTCTTATATTTCAAGAGACTGTCACAAATAAAGATAATGGGGTAAGTAGCATATTATAAAAGACCAATAAAAGTTATTCAGGCCAGGCACTGGTGGCTCACGCCTGTAATCCTAGCTACTCAGGAGGCTGAGATCTGAGGATCATGGTTCAAAGCCAGCCCAGGCAGGAAAGCCCGTGAGACTCTTATCTGTAATAAACCACTAGAACACTGGAAGTGGTGCTGTGGCTCAAGCAGTAGAGAACTGGCCTGGAGCTGAAGAGTGCAGGGACAACACCCAAACCTAGAGTGCAAGCCCCACGACCAACAAAAAAAAAAAGTTATTCAGATATGTATTTAAAATATATTTAAGCTTGTTTACAACTATTAAAACTGAGCAAGGAAACCAACTGAAATAGTTTTGGGAAGAGGGAAGGGAGAGAAAGAGGGGGGTGAGGCTGATTGGAACGTAATAAAATCTTCCTCTGTATAACTAACATTAGTTTGAAAGTATCTTTTATATAAATACCCTACAGTTTTTTATAATTAGTATAGTGGCTAAAAGCATGGGCCTTGAAGATAAAACACCTGAATTCAAATCCCTGATCTAACTGTTCCTGGGTGACTTTTAAGTTGCATGTAGCAAAAATGAAGAATATGTTTACCTAAATCAACTGGGTTGGATCTCACTGAAAGTGAAAATATACTATACTGAGAAGTATAGTATACTAAAAGGAAAAAGTATGAAAATATTTATATACATAGAAAAATGGCAAAACAATATTCTGTATTGCTTGGAAACATACACATATGTAATAAAAATATCAAGATACCTGGAATTTATCATCAACATCATAAATTATATATTGGAAAGTAATTAGTCCTAGGTGGAGGACAGGCAATGAAATGCAACCAGGAGTGAAAGATGTAAGTATTTTCTTCAAGGCTGTCCCTCTGTATCCTGAGCTCCACATCCATGGATTTAGTAGATCACAGATGAAAAATATTTGTGGAAAAATATGTCTAAACTGAACATGTTCAGACATCTTCTTATCATTACTTCTTAAACAATTTAATAAGTGAGGGTCAGTGGTGAACTAAGGCTGAGTCCATCTAATGTACCATAACTGTTCAAAGTACTTTTTTTTGCAGTACAAATAGTAAAATTTTAATGAATCCCAATGAGCAAATATAAACATACCTCAACAAGTGAGGAAGATACTTGGCATTATTCTTCAAAGCTTCGAGGCCCTACTTGTACAGAAGTAATTTATAGAAAAACTATTCACTGCTTATTGAATCTCAAATTCTATAGATGATTCACAATGGTAATCTCAGATACCTGCAGCCCACCAGAAACTAATTTAACATTCTTGGTGAAAATACTTCATTTCTAAACTTGTATTAACCCTTGAACTGTCTGCTCATTCTTCATGTGATTTAATTTCTTTTAGTTACCTGGTATGAGAAGTTTGAGAGGGCTGAAAAGGTGGCTCAGTGATAGAGTGCTTGCCTTGCATACATGAGGCCCTGGGTTTGATTCCTCAGCACCACATAAGCAGAAAAAAAAAGCCGGAAGTGGCGCTGTGGCTCGAGTGGGAGCTGGGGATGTAGTTCAGTGAGAAATTTGAGATACACAGTCCATTACAATGGCCAGGGATCACCTTGGTGGTCCAGTGATACTTCTATGCTAACTAAGGGAGATACGTGGTCAGAAACAAGAGAGCTGGGCAGACGGGGTGAGCCCCCCTCCTGCAGGTTAAGATGCACCCCTCTAATTCTATAGTGCAGAGTAGTCAAATTACTTTTTTAAAAAACTGTCATGAACAGTTATCTTTTTTTCTCCCAAACTTGCATTGAGAGTTGCATTTCACTGTACATCATATAAAACAGTCAGCCCTTATAAGACGACATGCTCTGCATAATGCATTCAGAATCATAGATTGTTTTTGATTCGTCTTCATCTTTTTTTCCCTGACTGTGCAGGAGTTGGAGTCTCTTTTATTTCCTCATTCACACTGGATACAGGTTGTTTAAAAACGATTTCATCATTTTTATCACTCAGTTCAGCCACTTCTGATTTTCGTTTCTCAAAAAATGTTGGTGTACAAACTGGGGTGGGGCCCTTGCTATCCACAGGCTTCTCAGGGGTGCTTTCTGAAGCAACTTTGTCTTCTCCTTAGGCACACTTGAACCCTTTCTCTTAGATATAATCAATGACAGAAAACTATAATCAATTCCATTTGCTGCTAATTTCTTCCTGAATAAGGTTTCTTTCCTTTTAAATCGCACTTCCATCTGCATCTTTTGTGTAAAATTCCTGCACTGATTATAGGGCTTTACTGCTGGGTATGTGGGCTAACGTAATGCAATATTCCATTCTTTAAAAAGTTCTTCTTGTATTTTTTCTCCTGGCATAAAACGACACACTAGCATTCTCCCACCCAAAAGGTAGTTGTCCATGGTGTCAGCAACTCTCTTGGCTACCTCCTCAGATTCAAATTCCACAAATGCGTCGCCTCTGCTATTTCCAGTCCTTTTACTTCTGGACAGATTAAATCTTGTAATAGTGCCAAACTGGGAGAAATAAGTCTGGATCTGATTTTCATAAATTGCTTTAGGTAAGTGGCCCACAAAGATCACTCCAGGAGTAAGATTGTCTTGCTTTTTCCGCTTGGTAATGCGTCAGTGAACCTGCTCCTTCTGAAACTGGACATTGTCCTGCAGGTTCAGCAACAGAATCCACACTGTGGAGGCAATGAAGGCCGCCCTCTCAAAAATGGGCAAGCTCAGAGTACATTTTAATCAGTGACTGTATTAGTTACGTTTGCATTGCTGTGGCCAAACACTTGAGAAAACAACTTAGAGAATGAAAGATTTATTTGAGCTCCCAGCTTAAAGGGTTCATTCCATGGTTACTTGGCCTCATCTGTTTGGCCGGAACATCATGATGAGGGAGGAAGTGTAAGGCAGAAAAGCTTCCATCATGGTGGACAGGAGAAAGACAAGGAGAAAGAAGGAGATATAGTCCCAAGGATTCTCCCCGAGTGACCTTCTTCCTCCAGTCAGACCTCCTAAAAGTCTCAGAACACTCCAAAACTGTGCCATCAGCTGGTACCAACTAATCAACACATGAGACTGTGAGGACCATTCCACATTCAAACCATAATAGATAAGCACTCATTCGGTCTGCCAGAGGCATAGACTGAATAAAACACTGTTCCCTCTATAAATCCATTAATCGCAATATATTCAAAATACTAGTGATAATGTAACTGTAAATCCTTTTATGCCATTTTTATCTACTTTTAATTTTTTTCTAGCATAAAGGCAAAAGGTAGGAAAACAGCTCAGAAACCATAGGTTCTTAAACTTTAAATATTCACAATTATTTTTATAATGAGCTATTATATATTTGATATTTGAAATGTTGTTATTTAAAAATAAAAATTCATGGAGCTTTTTTGTTGTTCTTGTTTACTTTTTGTTCCAATACTGAGGCTTGAACTCAGGGCCTGGGTGCTTTCCCTTAGTTGTTTGGGTTTTTTTTTTCCTCACTCTACAACTTGAGCCCTGCCTCCACTTCTAGCTTTTGAACTGGAGATAAGAATCTCACGGACTTTCCTTCACAAGCTAGCTTTGAACCATGATCTTCAGATCTCAACCTCCTGAGCAGATAGGATTACAGGTGTGAACCACTAGCAACTCATAAATTTATGTTTTTAATTATTTTTTATTTTTTTCAATAATTATTTTAATTATTTTTAATTCTGTAACATGTTAGTTTACCTTTAGTATTGAAATACCTTCTGGGATCCCTTTTGGGGTTCCAGAAAGTTCCTCATTTCCTCTTTTTGTAGATGTACCTGGAAAACAAAGGAGAATGGGATGGAAGAAGAGAGGAAGGGAAAAAAGGAGAAAAGTTGGAAGAGAAGAAAAAGAAAATAGGAGAGGAAGAAGCAAAGAAAAGCAGAGAAACAGAGGAAAAGAAAATATATATCAAAATCATTTAAAACGTTATACTAAGTTGATTGCCTTTTTAATTCTTAAATGCCAGAAATGATTTAACACTAGAATTTGACCAAATACCAAATTGTTTCTTTTATGTAATTTTTTTTGTTAAGCAGCCTAAAAAATTTTGTTTATCAACAAAGTGATATCATTGTAGAGATTAGTCTTCCAATATATTCTAGAAAGTCTATTTTGAAACATCCAGAAAAAAAATAGCAAAGAAGCCTAATGAATTTAGGTAAATATAAGAGAAGTTTAACCTAAATTAGAAGAATATAAATTATAAATATTTATATAGCAATGCTAAATTCTCTATTTTAAAATGTTTAATAATTCAAACTAAACAATGTATTATTTAACAAATAATAAAATAAATATATTTTAGACTAACATAAATAAACATAAAATAATGATTTGGGACTTATGTTTTATGTGTCAATACACATTACTAAGCATAACATCCTCAGAGAAATTTAAATGTTAAAATAAAAACATCCCCTTTTGACATCAATACAGAAGTTTCCAAATTTATAAATAGATCACCTCTGTATATAATAAACATTTAACAAAGAATCACTGGCTTAAATCGTACTTACTCCAGCTATAATTTAACAGTATAAAACAATCGTTTTCAAAAGTAACTAGTACATGAAACAGAAAAAAACTGAATAACTTTTTGTTTCCAGTAATGAGTAATCTAGAAAAGTTATCCTAACTGGAGAAAAACTGGAAAATATTTTGTTTTAATCTACAAACTAAGAAGATAGTAAAAATAATAATAAATACAGGGCAAAGATCTTGAGTAGAGAACCTGCCTAGATCCTGGGAAGGAGTCCATAGAGTATAGAACAGTGTAGAAGCTATTCTTAACTAGGAGCTATGTTCTAAAAAGGGAAAATAAGCTGAATGATGATTTGACAACTATGAGGGACTAGGTTAGCAGAAAATTAGGTGAGGAAAAATGGAGATTAAATGTGAAAGAACATTGATCCAAGTGTCCAGCAAGAATCAATGGTTAAGTTCTTTCTTCATGAAGCAGTCATAGACCTGAAAAATGGAAGAGATCAAAAGATTTAAAAAAATAAAAATAAAAGGAGGGAAAAAAGAATGGTGAGGGAAAAACAGAAGTCAGTGGTAATTAGGAATGAAGAAGAGGAACATGAATGAGGAGAAAGTAAAGTTCTGTCTGCCATTGAACCACAGAGTGCATAACCTTCTTAAAATGTACCTGTTTAACACTGTGTCCTCTAGTTCTGAAAAAAAATCATCAGTGAATCATGATATTGAAAGGCTTAGATTTCTTTTTTTGAATTTTAATTTTTGTTGATGGACAGAGGGGTAACAGTTACTTAGGTAATGAATACATATATTTTTGAACAGTGTCATCTCTTCCCTTGTTAAAAAGCTTAGTTTTCATGATTGGAAGTTTTCTTATATTCTAATTTATGTTTACCTATTTCTATTTATGCAGATATACATTAGTAATCTTATTTTTCATCTAATATTTTACCTGGAGATTTTTTAAATTTCCTTTTGGGGATTCCAAAACATTCTAATATTTCACATAATCGTAATGTGACCTCTGCCATCACCACAATATCAATCCCTTCCACTTTACAGGAATGAATCACTTCACTTATCTGCCACAGAAGATAAACCCACTAAAAAGAGAAAACACATGGAAAGAAAGTTTAAAATGTATTACATTGTACTGAGTCAGATTTTTTTCAAAGCAGTTCTTCCTTGACTTCACCATCTTCCATTCTTGAAGTATTACATAGACTTCTTATTAATACACCTTAATGATTAGTAATACAAAGTGATCCTAAAAATATGCCATTTTGGAAGTGGCGCTGTGGCTCAACTGACAGAGCACTCACCTAGAGCTGAAGAGCTCAGGGACGGTGCCCAAGCCCAGAGTTCAAACCCCACAACCAACAACAAATATATATATATATATATATATATATATATATATATATGCCATTCAACAAACTCATTTATGTACATTCATAAACAAGATCTGTTTGTTTATCCTCTGAATAGCTATAAATAGAAAGTTTATTATCTACTATCTTTCTATATCACCAAAAATTATCTGCCTTCTCAAAGTTCTTATCTTCCCTTTAAGGCAATTGTATTTAGTCACTATCAAAGTCCTCTGAATTCATGAGGAATTAAGTATAGGTTTCAGGCTCCAATCTATACGCTTATAAATTGACATCAATATGTATATCTGTAAAGCTTAGCATGTGAAGCCAACCAACTACTCTTAGTAGATCTAAAATGATAAAAAAAATCATAAGTTGGCTAAATATAGGTTGAAAGTTCAGACATATGCAAACTAGTATAGCTAATTTTAGAAAGCTCAGAATCATTGGAGCTGAAACATTACTAAAATAATATCTCATGTGTTTTTGTGTTATAATATCAGATATTGAGCTAGTATGCTTTCCCTTTCCCATGAAATTAAATGTAAATATATTATTATAAAGTAAAAACTAAATTCCTTAAAAATTAACTTACTTATTTGGCTTCTATATTTTTAATCCTCCTGACAAATTTATCCAAGTTCATATGACCTTAGCCACATACTTATTCCCTGCTTTAAAATTGAAATATTCTTCCACTCCCTACAACCAAATTGGTGCTGGGGTACAGAAACACACCTTGAAATAAAAGCTTGCTCAGCACTACAAAGACTATCTTCTTAACATCTATATCTGCAATGGTAAGTTTTACTCAAGTAGATTAAACAGAAGAAATCTAGCTTGGAAATTTGTATCACAATTTGAATTAACAACAAAGGAAAGAAGGAAGGAGAGAGGGAGAGAGGGAGGGAGGGAGGGAAGGAGGGAAATAAAAAAGTATTACTTTGTTAGTGCTGATTTTCTGAATGTATTTTACATAGTCATATTTGGACACATTGATCTTCTGAATTCCTACTTTGCATTTCTGCCACAGGAGCATTAACATGTCCACAACGATTTCTTTATCAGGCTGAACACTCTGAAAATGAAATTAAGTAAGTAACTAATAAGAAGATACATATATATATGACATTGTATGTCAGGCAACACTCTGGGCTTTATTGTTAATTATATGTGCCAATTTATTTATCATCCCTCACATAAACCCAACAAGGCACTTAACAGTACTATATCTTCCATTTACATATGAGTAACATGAAACACAAGGAGATGATATGATTGTTCCATGGACAAAATAACTAGAAAGTTGCACATCCAACACATTCAAATCTAATGGCCTAGTTCAAGTCCTTACTCTCAGACAATACTCTATACATGTGCTACTCCTGTCTAAAAAAAAAAATTCAAAAAAAGAAAGAAAAGTTCCAAGTATTTTTAGACACATGTGTAAACCCATAAGTCAATCAGACTCTCAGATTTACTCATATTGTTCTCTTTTAAAGTTCTTGTATTAAAGTAATAAAGAATTGGGAGTGGGAAGGAGAAATACTAGTAACTTAAGAGAGTAGAGATCTGAGAAGGTACCTCAGCAAGGAAGACAGGCATAAACTGAACCGAACTTCACTCCCTGTACCAACAGATGATCCCCAATAAGTGTTTCCCCTTTCCAGACAAAATTATTTGGGTCATTTGAAAAGAACTGAGTTATACAAAGGTAAGAATTACACTTAACATATACCAAAATTTTGAGTTCCTTCACACAGCTCTAAGACTTCATTTGATATGCATGTCATACTTTAGTACCACGTTTGGGAACATAACCCAGATCAGACTTCAAGAAATGTTTACTGAGCTAAACTAAGATACATATAATATTTTTTAAAACTTATAGATGAAAGATCCTTAGTCTTTTCAGCCTTGTTATTTTTATTAATTTTCCCACTATGCTAATTACATTGCTGTTAAATATTTTTCTCTCAAAACTTAAATACCTGCCACATGTATTCTAATAAACAAGGAAGAAATGAAAAAATGTAGAAGAGACAAATTTTTATTCCCCTTCACTGTATCTCACTTCCATGGACAAATGTCAACATAATATACTCTATAATTGTGGATTCCAAGCTTTTCACATAACAATAAAACCAAATTTTCAAATGAAATTCCACCAGAACTCCAGTGTAACATATAAAACTTCACGGAACAGACTAGGGTGCCCTGCTCAAAGCTGGACTTCTGAGGAAGATCAGAAAAGTCCCATGAACCCCTGTAATACAGTTTTAAAACCAGACAGCATAGATCAATGTCAGAGTACTTGCCTCTGCATGGACTCAAGGCTGCAGGTTCCATCCTCAGTATCACCATAAAAAGAATGCATAAAAACAAAAAAACTGTACTCTACTAGTTTTGCCTAAAGCACTCACATCTATGTACAGGTCATTTCTAAATACTAGCCAATCATCATGTGCAAAGCAATATCCAGTATTAACCAGGGTCTGTGGTCATAGGCTGTAAAGCCCTTCATCATTAGAAGTACAACTAGCCCACCACCTGCCCCAAAAGAGCAATGGATTGACACCCAAGTGATGACAATAATAAAAAGAAACATAAAATATCAGCCCAAGTACAAATTCTGTAATATCTTAAATCTGTCTTTAGCTGAGTGATAACTTCCTTCCACACTAATATGTTACTCAAAGTTCACTAACTCACCTTTGAAGAAGAGTCACAGACACAGAAATGCAAGATTGCTGCAGACTGAAAAATGTCTTCTAAAGAGCCACTATTTCCCAGGTAAGTTTCTGCATTTTAAAAAGCAGAAGAATATGGGGGAAATCCATTAGGAAATGCCAGATATAAAAGAAACAGAAAACACAGAAATTCTATAAAACAGGCATAAATGATAACTGGGAAAATACCACATAAACAAGATAACTTAAATATTTCTGTATAAAAACTAATCTAAGTAGCTCTACTCTAATTAAAAGTCTGTTTTAATTAATCCATGACATGTATGCCAACAATATTCAAAGAGAAACTGAAGAGCATTATAATTTTAAAGTACATATAAAATGTGGCAATGAAAAAAAGTAATAAAATTACTTATTCAGAAATCAAAGAGAAAAAATGCATACCATTACTTGATACAAATTGTTATCTGCAATTGAGCAACTGTATAATAACATGTGAAACATTAAAACACAGAATTTGATGTTGGTATAATTTGGGGAGGGGAAGGGAAAAAACAATTTTTTTTAAATAGGAATACAGGTAGACCCATTGCAATAAGAGATATACAAGATGTTATGTTGAAAAACGAACTTTACAACTTTTGGCAGGGGGCACGATGGGAAGGGATGGGAAGGAGAAACAAAGGAGGAGGCAACAATGCTTGATAAGAAATGTACTCATTACCTTGCCCATGTAATTGTAACCCCTCTGTATGGTATTTTCACAATAAAAAAAGAATTAAATAATTTTCACTAGTCTAAAAAGTAGACCAGATTTCTAATTACATACACAGTATCTTTTGAATTCTTTAAATTCTGGAAGGAAAAATACTGCATCTAAAAAGAGAAGGTAGGCAACCCAACAGCCCATTACTAAAGTGAACTGATGCCTCTTGCCTTTGCACATACAGCCCCTAGGCTTTACAGTTACCTCAACAAGACAACTGCTTAGTATAACCTTATTACTCTACTCTAAACTGTCAACAGAATAAAATGCATAATCTTTACAAGGTACAGAAACCCCATTACTTGGCTCCCAGATGTTTCCATGCTTGTCACCTAATACATTCCCCAGCTCCACTACCTCTACCAATACACACCAGCCATTCCTCTCCCCTCACCTTGCCTTCAGTCACCAAATACATTCTTGCCTTTAGGCCTTTTACCTCCTGTTCCTTCTCACTAGAATAAGCGCATTTTATGAATTAAAACAAAATACTTCAAACAGTAAATACTTACCACTATTAGTAAACTTTTTAAAATACGTATGAATGGGATGTCCTTCTTTATCATTTTCCAAAGGCAAAATCAACCCTTTGTTTCTCTTGACATTGATTAGTGGTTCTATTGCAATCAGAAGAATTAAGTCTTTCTCTGCTTTCTTTGACTCTGGATCATTCTCCTTCTGAGAGAAGATATCCCCCAAGTTAATTAGCAACTCAGTACCATTTTAACAAAACAAAAAAATCATGAATGGTGTTGCCTGTTACCTCCAGAGAAAGAAGAAGTTGTACAGCTGAAGATTCAAATAAACTCCATTCTTCATAAGTAAAAGCTAATTTTATAAATTTCAGAGCAGCATCCAGAGAAATCACATTTTTCTTCTCTACCATGCACTCCAGCAGTGATATTCTGGGAAACTCAAGCTTTCCACTTGTACCAATATTTGCTATGAAAAAAAGGAGAGAGATATGAAAATCATCCATGCAAAGAAATATAAATACAAAATATAAATACAAAATATAAATATCAGACACTACCAGACTCTAAGGCAACAAGAGCAAATTGGTGAGCATGTTCCCTTTCTTCACTGAGACCAGATACATGACCAAACCAGAAATATAAGTGGACAAATACAGGATACTGTGGGAGCAAGTAGGAAGGGCCCAACAGAGATTTGAGGGAGGGTGAAAATCTAGTCAAGAATAGCTACCAGAATAAACATGGACACTCAACATGTAATTACCAACAGTTATTTGTTGTTAACTGCTCATAGTTGTTACCATTACTTCCCAAATGAGGTGGCTACATGTACACTGGGAACTCAGGGAAGAGATCTAAAATAAGGACATAGCTTTTAGAGTCATCATTATGTATATCAATAGCAAATGGTACGATCAGCCATAAACATCCTGAGAACACCAACATTTAAGAGTCTATTTTCCTCTCTATTATGAACTCCAGCAGCAAAGTTCTGAAAAAGAGGGTACATGCTACTTGGGAGGCTGAAACAGAAAAAATTGTGGGTCAAGATCAGCCTGAGCAAAAAAAAAAAAAAACCATGAGATTCCTTTTCCATCAATAACTGGGCGCGGTAGTGTGTCATCCTAGATAAGATCATAATGATCATGGCTCCAAACTAATTGGGGCAGAAAAGTCCATGATAATTCAACTTTAACGGAAGAAGTTGGGTTTGGTAGCTGTGCCTGTCATCCCAACTACTACAAGAAGCCTAAAATGGCCTATCATGACCCAGGCATACCCAGGAAGTAATCAAGGAAAATCCTATCTCAAAAATAATGTGAAGGGTAAACAAAGGAGGAGGCTGCAATGCTTGATAAGAAATGTACTCATTATCTTGCCCATGTAATTGTAACCCGTCTGTACAGTATGTTCACAAAAAATAAAAAAAAATAAAAAATAAATGACTACAGGGGGCGGATGGAAGCGCGGCGGCGCGCGGCTGTCACTACGGCGGTGAGGACCTGGCGGTAACCTGGGGGGCCAAACTGCGGCTGCTGCCCAAGTGGTTTAGGCGAGTCTGAGCCGCAGCCCGGCCAGACTTGTGCTGGCCAGACTTGTGCTCTGCCCGGAGGAGCCGGAGCCGTAGAGGTTGCGCAGGCGCGGGACTCCCGGGCCCACATGTCTCTGGTGGCGGAAGCCTTAGTTTCGCAGATGGCAGCTACAGAACCTTGGCCAGAAAATGCTACATTATATCAGCAACTGAAAGGGGAACAAATTTTGCTTTCTGACAATGCAGTTTCTCTTGCTGTGCAGACCTTTTTGCAGATGTGTAATTTGCCTATAAAAGTGGTTTGTAGGGCAAATGCAGAATATATGTGTCCATCTAGGTCATTGTCTTAGTGATGGATTGGATGATGTCCAAAAAGTAGCAATGAAAGCTTATATGGAATTAGTCAACAATATACTTTTGACTGCAGAGTTGTATCTTCAGTGGTGTGATAAAGCTACAGTAGAGGAGATTACTCATTCTAGGTATGGGTCTCCTTACCCAGGGCCTCTGAATCATATTTTGACCACCAGAAACAGTGGGAAGTCAAACATAAGATGAAAGCTATTGGATGGGGCAACAAGACCCTGGACCAAGTCTTAGAAGATGTAGACCAGTGCTGTCAAGCTCTTTCTCAAAGACTGGGAACACAACCATATTTCTTCAACAAGCAGCCTACTGAACTTGATGCCCTGGTATTTGGCCATCTGTACACCATTCTCACCACTCGACTGACCAATGATGAACTTTCTGAGAAGGTGAAAAACTATAGTAACCTCCTTGCTTTCTGTAGAAGAATTGAACAGCACTACTTTGAAGATCGTGGTCGATGCAGGTTGTCTTCGAATTACATTTTAATATAGCTATTTTTAAAATAACTGGAAACGTTTTACTTGAATGTTATAATAGACATTGGAATCAGAATTTTAAAGCCAAAAACACTGTTCTTTTGCATCCTCACAACAAATAATGTATCCTATATGTATTCTTTATACTCTTCCTGTGTATACATTGTTAATTTCCAATTGTCTCATTTGATGTATTGTACTCTAAATCTTATAAGCATATGAAAATAAAGTTTAAACAATTGTAAAAAAAAAAAAAGTAATGACTACAGTAAAGGTCTAGAAAGCATAGCTCAGTACAGAGCACCTGCCTAGGAAGCCCAAGACCTGATTTCAAACCCCAGTACCACAAACAGAGAGAACAGGGTGGGTATGGAGGGAGAAAAGGCTCAAAAGAGTGTTGAGAAAGAAGTCATAGAATCACACAAATACAGAGAGTACAAAAAGATAACTGAAGTGACTGAGCAATAAAGAGAATTGCTCTTTGTATTCTCAGTAGCATGGTAGATACATTAGGCTTTCTGATATACAATAGAAGAAAAGATTGAGAACTTTGAAAATCAAAATCTGGTTGTACATATAGACATAGAGAGAGGAAGGTGAAAAATGACATGGAGTAAAAGAACTGCTTGGAGAAACGAAGCTTGGAAAGATCAAGGAGAAGGGAGAAGGCACAAAAGAAAAATCCCTTCCATTTTAATAACAGGTGTTGGAAAGAACAAAGATAGATGAGTGTAGGTTTTGGGTTTTGAGTGAAAGAATTCAAGGAACTTCTGTGTGGAGAAATGAACCCAAACTGGCCCAGTGAGTGAAAGAATTCAAGGAACTTCTGTGTGGGGAAATGAACACAAACTGGCCCAGCTCCCTGCCTTTGGACACACACACACACACACACACACACAAATATACACACCACAGAACTTGACTAAAGCTATATAATGTATGGTCTAGCTTTTCACTTCTCCTTCCAAGTAGACTTCTCAGCCAAATTGGCTATCACAAGGCAATAGAAGATAAGCTTATGAGGGAAAGATACTAAATGCACAGCATCTTCAAAGAATAGCCACAAATTCAACAGAAAAATGGAAGACAGGGAAGGAGAACTGAGACACAAGTGTCTCTTGGCAGCCTTTCTCCCAAACAAGGTCCAGAGCAAGGCAGCAGAAGTACTAAACACGAGTATTATTTCAAATAGCTAGCCTCTGCCTCAGAAGTTTTATTCCAAAAGCAAAGGGTAGCTGAAAATAGATCAACATTCAAAGTCTCTCACCACATTCATAGAAATAAAAGAGAAATGATTTGATCAATGAAATAAATCCAAAATTCAACAACTAGGCAGAATTAAAAACCAAGGTTCAAAGCCAGCCTGGGCAGGAAAATCCTCAAGCATCTTAACTCCATTTTTGGCTCAACTATGGCTCAAGTGGTAGAGAGTTAGCCTTGAGCAAAAAAGCTCAGGGACAGCTCCAAGGCCCTGAGATCAAGCCCCAGGACCAGCACAAAAAAACCTGAATAATTACACAAGCTAACAAACAAAACCATCTTGGAAATCAAAGATCAAAGATACTTTCTTCACCTGAAAAATATATCTATAAAAACTGCTTTAGCAAACATACTAATGATAAAATGTTGAAAGTTTTCTGTTTGAGATTTAAAAAATGAGACAAAGATAAATGCTGTCATCATCCTTCCCATGTGTTTATTAGAGATCCCATCTAGCACAATAAGTAACAGAAAACAGGCAAGAAATAACAGGAAAAAGGAAATTTAAAAGGGTAAGAATTTGAAAGAAGTATAATTGTCATTACCCACAGATTATTATATACCCATAAAATACAAAAAAATCTACAAATAAACAGTTTAAATTATCAATTGCCATTAGCAAGGTTAATACATAAACTGGATATGGGGTTGAGAGTGCTATTTTGTTTTATTTTTCAGGTGGAATTTCACACTTTTTATGTAGGACAGCTTCAGACTATAATCTTTCTACATATGCCTCCCATGTAGCTGAGATTACACAAATGAATCATTCTACCCAGCTTGTTGGTTGATATGAGAGTCTCACTGACTTTTCACTCAGGTTGGCCTTAGACAACAATCCTCCTAATCTCTGCCTCCCAAATAGTGAGGGTTAGAGGTGTGTGTTAAACCATCCAACATTTTTTTATATATACTAACAAGTTAATTTTTTGTTATAAAATAATATCTTATCGTTTTATTTACCTACAAAGAGTTCTTTTCCTGCTATAAACAGTTCTGTAACAACATCTCGAAGCTCCACTTCATCAGTAGCAAAAGGTCCAGTTTGCAGTACTCGCCTATTTGAATCAGAAAGAGCTTCCAAGACAGCCAGAAACCGGGATGCAGTGCTGTCAAACAACTCTTCCAGTAGCCGTTCTGTAAGAGTACGTGGCCACGAATTCTAGAGTGCAAAAAAATCAGTCCATTTTTCAAAGATAATATAAGACCATGAAAAGTAAGGTATAGTTAACTAATGCTAACACAAATAGTACTTATATTAACGATCAGATGGGGCTTTCAGGGTTTTTTTTCATTTCTTTCTTTCAGTAGTACTGGGGAGTAAATTCAGGGTTTTGTACTTGCTAGAAAGGTACTTTACAACTTGAACCATGCTCTCAACCCTTTCTGCTTTAGGCATTTTTCAAAATAGGGTATTCTATAATCCCAGGTTAGTCTAGACAACAATTCTCCTATTTATATTACCTAAATAGATGGGGATGACATGTTCAGCTTTTTCTGTTGAGATCCTTTAATCTCTCTTTCTGGATATAAGCGTTCTTCTAAGATTGGTTAAAATAGAGATTTAAAAGTAGTTAAATTGGCTAGGCATTGGTGGCTCACTCCTGTAAAAGTCAGGACTGTGACTCAAGCTTTTCCTACATTCCACTGTACTTGACAACACAGATATTCAGTACGTGATAGTTGAATGAAAGAGTAAAAATAATCAATTATGATAGCTAATATTTATTAAGAACCTACTCTGTTCCAAAGACCTCTTAAGGGTTTTATATATAACATTTAATCCCTCTAACATGATTTCCTTCTTCAAACTTAACACAAAACATAGTTATTTTGTTTATTATGTAGTATTAGTCAGCTTTCTTGTCAGTATGACAGAATGACTGACAACAGCTCAGGGAAGAGGGATTTATTATGACCCACTGTTTCAGAGGTGATGTTTGAGCAGAACATAGTGGCAAAAGTATATGGCAGAGAATCTCCCTCACCTCATGGTGGACAGGAAGAAGGGTAAGGAAGGGACCAGCGACTGTCTGTGTATAATGTCCAACAACATACCACTAGTGGCCTAATTTCTTCAGCTTGGCTCCATATCCTCAAATTCCCAGAACCTCTCAAAATAGTGTCACAAGCTGAGGACCAGGTATTCAAAACATAAGCCTTTGGGGCAGTAATTTCAACCTTTATTTTCCTTATCTGAAGGAGATAAGCACTAAACCACATGATTTCAAAATTTTTCTCTGGGTTCTAAAGCTCAGCAACTCTTATATCAGAATCTTCTCCTCTATCTCCCCACTTCATTTACATTTTCAGTCCCTTTATAGAAGCTCAGGAAAAAGAGAGCTGATGGCCATGAAGGATTCAGGGACAGCTTAAGTTAGACAGAGAACTGGGCCTTGAGGGACACTGAGCTCAAAATGGGGAGGGCAGGGCAAGGAGAAACGGGTAGCACCCCATAGGGATATCTGTCTCATTCCATTTTCTAAGACAGTCATTAACAGTTCTCCAAATACGCCTGTGGTTGGGAGAGGTCATGTAAGAAGAGACTTATGACACTCCCTGGCTCCTGTGAGACACTCCAGAATTCACTCTCTCCTTCAGCAGAAAGACTAGTATTTGCTGATTGAGACTGTTCCCCAGCCTGGCTCTGAGCAGCTTTGAGCACAGTTCCCTGATAACTCCCCTAGCATCTGACCCCAGAGAGAAATAAATTTTTTTAAGGCACCTGAAGTGTGTGGTTGTCTGTTGCTTCAGTACAACATAGTTCCTAGACTCTCTCATGGGGCAACCTGAAAGCTGATGAGAAGGGGTGCTTCTACCTCTCTCCAACCTCAAAACTAGCATTAGACAAGCATAGACAAGGCCAGTGCATACCTACTCAGAAAATTGTTCATCGGCAGGGGCCTGTTTCTTCGAGCCATTCCAGATTCTCTAGTTAACCTATCATTTCTTAACATGATGTCCCTTTAACATGGCAAAACTGCATTTGTATAAGATATAGAAAGGCTTAAAGAAAGGGATGAAGTGAGGCCATATCCTAAGTGGGGAAAGTTTCTTCTATGATTGTCCACTAGTGTAGAAAAGTGGAAGCAGGGTTTAATCACTAATGGCTATGCTCAAAAGACACTACTGAGTAATAGAAACAGACTGCAAAAGGAGTCACAAGTAGAGAAGACTTTTTAGGCTTACACTTTGTATTTCCTTTAGGTTAAGTCTTATCTTTGGTCTAAACAAAACTTTGTTTTTTCTTCGAGATTCAAATACTCCTCTTTTGAAGATCATCACTGCCATCTGTCTCAAAGAGAAGAAATACAAACCAGGTTACAACAGGCAGCACTTCTCAGCTACCAATATCAAGCATTTCATCAGTGATGGGGTGCAGTCAATCTCAGTAACTTCATAAAAATTTTATACCTTTAATGTAGCCTCTCTATAATATCTTCTGGAATCTTCCTGAGACATTGAAGAGCTCATCAATTCCAACTGTCTTAACTCATCAATTTTAGCTAAAGCACGCCGAGCGAATGCCTGTGTGCAATTAAAATGTTTATTCATAATAAGTTGGAATATAGTATTAAAAATGTATAAAGCAATAAGCTTTGTTGTCTTAGACATTTGCTGATTTAATGTGCAAATTAGACCACCAGCTGATGCTGACTTCTTTTAACATGATAGTTCTCCAGGCTATCATTTCTTATAAGCACCATTAAACTCTATAAATCTAAAGTTAAACTGTCAAGACTAACTTGATGAATGCTTATACACACACACACAAAAAAAATATATACTCATACTTACACACACACACACTATATATATATATATATATATATATATATATATATATATATATTCACATGAGCTTCTAAAACTCTAACCTTCCTAGCATAATATGCTGGATAACTTATTCGACTATTCATACAGTGACCACTATGCTATGAGGGTCTTAAAAAGCTTTATTTAATTTTGAATTCCCAATACTCAACATACAGGAAGTAACTAATAAATATCTAAGGGAGGGAGGAAGGAAAGCTTGCATATTTAATCATTTCATTCATTTAATCAATCATTGCTATACAGTAATTCTCTACAGATATTACCAGAAGTTCAAAAGAGCTATGTTGGTATAATTTGTGGAGGGGAAGGGAAAAACAAATTGTTTAAGTAGGGATACAGGTGGACCCATTGCAACAATGAGACGTACAAATCGTTATGTCGAAAACAAACTTTACAACTTTGGTGGGGGGGGGAGGAGAGTTGGGTGGGGTGGCGGAGGGAGGATGGGATGGGAAGGGGAAACAAAGGAGGAGACTACAATGCTTGATAAGAAATGTATTCATTATCTTGCTCATGTAATTATAACCCCTCTGTACAGTATTTTCACAATAAAAAAGAAATTGTGTAATTTGTTTTGCCATTTCTTTGAAATAGTTATATTTTCTTTGAATAATTTTGTTATCTTTTAATAGGTATACAAAGAAGTTGACATTCACCAAAGCAGTTTATGAATATAGTGCCTTTTGATCAGTGTCTCCCCTTTCAACATTCTCACTCACCTCTCCCAACCCACCCCTTCTCTTACTTTGCTTAATTTTTAGGTTATGTATTGAATTTTTGCCAGCTAACAAAGCATTTTATGTCTATAGTGCATCTTGATCTGTGTCAACAATTCAACATCTTCACCCCCACATCAGTCTCCCTTTCTCTTATATTTCTCAACTCTGTGGTATATACAATGAAGTCTTGCCTGCAGTGTTCCCCCTTCCCCTCTTCATTCTTCTACTTCTCTCCTCGTGGCCCCACCCTCCCCTTTTGAAAGTACTCTTTGTAGCACTTATTTTGTTGGGCTTTGACTTATCTTTTTAAAGAATTATACCAGTTGAGCTAGAATGTGTCTATAAATCTATAAGTAAATATACTGGGTGGCAAACAAGTGGTTACAAATGAATTAAGTAGAAGAGACACTATGAAGAACTCAAATATTTATGTTTTTTTATGAAAATGTTTTCAAAACCACCACAATATTAACACGTATGAATAGCAAATTTTCTTATGAGGAAGAACCCCATCAGAATTGAATGACTAGAACTACATAGAAATCACCTGGGCTGGGAAGGTGGCTCAGTGGTAGAGCGCTTGCCTTGCATGCATGAGGCCCTGGGTTCGATTCCTCAGCACCACATGAGCAAAAAGAAAAAAAGCTGGAAGTGGCGCTGTGGCTCAAGTGGTGGTGCGCTAGCCTTGAGCTGAAGAGCTGAGGGACAGCACCTAGGCCCAGAGTTCAGGCCCACAACCATACCCCCCCCCAAAAAAAATCACCTCCACTTATAACTTAAACAGCTATAGTAAAGTGTGCCACCTCTAATGTCCCAAAGCTTTACATGGTGAGTCATTTTTAGAGTATGTCCCAGGCTACAAAGGATTCCATGAAGGTTGAATTCAACTATTTTCCTGCCTGTGGACCTCTACCATCTAATCCTTCAGAATTAGTCCAGTCAGGAAAAACCAAATGTAAGGCATGATTAATGGGCTAAGTGATTTATTTATGGCTGTGAGCAGGATCTGAGAAGGTATTTTTACAGCTGTGGAGGCTGTGTCCTGTATAACACTCGCAGCCAGAGGGTTGAGTGAAGGGCAAATGCCAACTTGCCAGCCCCTTACACCAAATCATGCATGCCCCCCAGGACAGAGATGTGTTGGCCCAAATGAAAAGGGTTTCTATTTCTGGTTTTCACTAAAGTCCCGTTCATTAACCAAGCTAGTACTACATCTTTTTTTTTTTAATAAAGATGCATTTTATTTAACCACAATAGTGATGAAATTAAAACATTTAATGACAGCTAAAGTTGACAAGGATATGGGAAATAGACAATCTCACGTTTACTCATAGGTGAATAAATTACTACCTTTCTGTAACACTAATTTCTACTGTGAAAGTGTACATTCCGGTTTATCTATTATTACTGATACTTTAAAGAAATCATCCTGATCTATGGAGAGATTTTCCTTCCCCACCCAGGACTATTTCTTACAGTTTTATTGTAAATGCAGAAAAGCTAGAAATAACCAGAATGCTTCTTTGAGCAATAAAGGTTTGGTTAAAAGGAATGATAAATTTATACAGTGAATTTACATATATTACTCTGCATTAGCATATTTAAATATAATTTCTACTGCTATACTATAAATTAATTAGTTAAAGGAATTCTAAGGCTGTATGTGTATCATAAACTCAGTCTTATA